ATCAGTGGATTCTTTGTGAAATAACTTTATTAAGCGTTCAAACCAATCATCAGGGAGTCTGGACCAATACATCTCTGAAAATATAACATAAAATACATTGACAAATCCAACATGGCCACAGACCTGAGTGTTGTAAATGTCTTCCAGCTTTACCTAGCACCTTGCGAGCTGCAGAATTCAGCTCAAGGATTTTGGAGGCCAGAGCTTCAATGAGTTTGGTTCTTTGTTTCTTGAGACCATTGATGAGCTCAGGGAGGAGAAGATAAAGTCTCAGAGCTTCCACACCAGTTGGGTTTGGATTCAGAGATGGCAGCAGCGTCTGCTGAACCACCTTCACCACCTGAGGTACAAAATAAACATTCACTGCAGCTATTTGGTTCAGATGCAAGGAACATGTCAATGTTAGATCATCATTACCTCTGAAATCAGACTTTTACTTGCGAATAACTTTGCAAAGGATGTTTTAACCAGATCAAAATCCAGGCCACAATGCTCCACAGACGTCTGATAATGTTCATCGCGACTACAGAGACACATTTTTATAAATATGAGACTGATTTAAAAAAGGTCTAGATTACTAGACAAGACTACCTAATTTTACCTTGTTTTGAGAAAACTTCCATTCAGTGAGGCAGCGGAGGAGAACACTGTGTTTATTTCACTGTAAATTATAGAATAACACATTTTTAATATTCATATGCATTACTTCAGCATAATACATAGCTCAATTTCATTACTACATTACTATACTTCTAAAAAAAATGGAAGCAAGATTCTTCTTATACTAAAGATTAAGATTAATACTTGATGGAGAAAATAGTAATTGCATAATTCAATTATAATAATTAGTAAGATTAAAAGAAAGGCAAATGTATTAAGGTCCCACCACACTTTTAGATGCATTTACAAAATAATTTAGGACATGCACATAGTATCATATACTATAAATCATGTCAACATTGTCGTTCTACAGTTTACAACTCACTTCTTTACTGTTGGCCATGGGTCACTTTCAGACACCCAGCGGTCAATCATTCTGTCATTTAGTGTCAAAATTCCTCCATTTGAACCAGATTTAGGCTTTTCAGACTCATTTCCAGGATTCTACAAAAGAAAATGTAAAAGTTAACGCAGAGCATCAATCAATCTCAAACTATTTATAAATGAGGACTGTTCATCTTACCTTGAAAAACAAGGCAAAGGAGTGGTGTTCTCCAGTGATGAGTTTTTCCATCGTAAATTCAGTACATTCTGCGAGCATCAAATATTTAGCTGGTTTAGAACAAACACAACATTCAGGAAAATAAAAGCTACTGCTAAAATATGACTTCTATTACCAGTTGGCAGAAGCACTGGTAACGGCACAGACTGCTTGACCTGTTCTCCATTTCCCAGCTGCCCTTGCATCCCACATCCAAATGAGTAGATCAGCTTTGACGATTCCTCAAATACAAGCGTGTGATGTCTTCATGTTAGAAATAAAAATATTTAACCGGACACACTTGCATTTGGGATTATGTAATTATACCATTCAGAGAATCACCATGTGTTGGTTGAGAGTGTTTTAAGTGTTGAAAACACTCTAGTTTACCTCCCACATGTGACCTGCGACACTTTAGATCCCCACAGTTCAGCAATCAGTCGTGGATGATGTTCATCTTTAAGTGAGTTGTGCCCAAGCTGACCAAAACCTCCTGATCCAAATGTGAACACTGTTCCTCCCTGACAAATATCAACCATTTACTACTTTATTCTGTGCTCATTGTGTTGTATTACATAAATCAACCACAATACCTTTGACAGAGTGGCAGTGTGTTCTCCTCCACATGAGATGGACACTGTTTTCTTTCCACACAAGCTTTTAACAATTGTAGGGACGAATCTGTCTGTGGTGACAAGACACTATTATAGCTTCCATTTCTATGATATTCATACTATGATACAGCACTGGCTGACATCATATATAATGTTTTTTCAAGATGAAATAAGAAGACCTTTAGTGTCTCCGAGACCCAGCTGTCCAGCAGAGTTGCTCCCCCACCCAAACACGACTCCTGACAGAGACAACACAAAGCTGTGGTTTCCTCCAGCGCTGATCTGAGCCACTGGGATCTCACACAGACTCTGGAGGTGTTGAGGAGACTGAGTGCCGGCCTGCTCTTTCCTCAAACCCAGCTGACCATGAGTGTTCTCGCCCCAAACGAACAACTGACCATCTGAAAGACCAACAGCTCAATAAATCATCAAATCAGTTCATCTCAGTCAGAAGACAGAATGTTTGTGAATACCATTGCTCAGCGCCATTGAATGCTGGTCTCCACATGCGATCTGAATCACCTGCCTGTTCTCCAGACTTTTAAGAGGTCTGAAAGCACAAGATAACAAGTTAGATATAAATGTCATTATCATTAAAATAATTTATGCTGCTTTTTAATCAAACCTGCACACTGTAGATTGGTCCATAATGAGAACTTTTCCATCATCAGCAAGAAGAACTGCACCAGCTTCCCCACAGACAATAGATCTGATTCTCTCATTCTGTAGCTGTAATGGTTCTGGAGTAAATAATAGCATATCGAGGTTGTTCTTTAAATTATATTACAATATTACTAATTAATAAAACTAGCATATTGTTTATATTATTATATAAAGTTCTGACAAATTATCATTTAAAGTCATACCTAGTTTTTCATCAGCATCTTCATTGTGCAGTCTCAGGACCGACACCTTCCCCTCTCTGATGAATCCAATACAACTCTTTCCAGCTGAGATGTCCTGAACTGCTGAACTCGGACAGAATTTTATTCCCCAGTTTCCATGTCTGACCTGCTCAGGTTTAACCAGACCGAATCCTTCTCTGACCTGCGCTCCCCAATAACACAACATGTTCACCGCGAGGATGAAAACTTCAGACTCTCTGAATCTATGGACCGGAAAACTCACCAATATCAAACTGACAACAAAAAACAGTAGCAATCTGCTGGTTTCATCCCAAATGAAACCTGCTTGTATTGTCAGAAAACGGAGTGTTCCAGAATCCAGCAGTCCAGTTTATTTAACGGCGAGTGAATGGCTGATCTGAGGACTATCCGCCGCATTTCCCCCTTTGGATGGTTGCGTTTAACTGGGAAACGAAACCAAAACTTAAAGCGATAGTTCATCCAAAATTAAGACTGTTATTCAGGACTATTTATTATTAAAGCCTATTTTCACCGTAGTCTTTAGTAAATTGTAAACGCGTATTAAAATAATGTCTCTGTGTATATTGACTGAAAAACAAAACCGATCCTTAAAGGGATAGTTCACTCACATTGAAGACCGTATCTCGTTTTAATTGTTTACAATAACACCTAATAAGATCAAAACATGACATAGATGACAATGAAAGTGCCATTTTAAAATATTAGGAAACAACATTTTTATAACCTGCACATTTCAATATAACTATACAACTTGCTTACCTTCATAATACAGTAATGTGCAATGTAGTTTAAGAAAATTAATGGTTCTCACATGGTTCGAGTACTATTTTACATATAGACACTGTAAACCAAAATGTTCAGCAACATGCACTTGATGGCATATATTTTTGTATTGACAATGATGACATCAGGGGTCTGTTTTTCGTACCTTGCTCAAATGATCTATGATGATTTTTGATCTCTTAATCTTGATAACTGATCTCTGGCTAATTTAGTTCCTCAAACAAGTCAGTGAATCAGATTTAAAATGTCTGGATGAACTGATCTGAGATCGCTGCGTGTGTTAAGGACAAATTGATCTATTGATCCTGAAAATCATGATCAGCAGTGCAACGATTGGCTGACGGCACAGCAGCGTAACGACATCATCTGATTAATATTTAATAATCCATGTGAGCAAAATTACATCAAATTAGCAGTAAACGGTTTGTTAAATATTATACGCAATAAATTTCCATATTTGTTGAGAGCTGCAGGCTTTACACAAGTATTCATTATGTATTACAGTGGATTTAGTTCTACATTTAGAGAATTTTTTCTTAATTATAGTAGCCTTGACTTCGTTTTTTAAATCGGTGTAAGAAATAACTGTGTAAATTAACTTTGCATCCAAATAGCTTTTTGATATCGGTAAAGGTATCAATCACCAGCATATTAGTTATCAAAACGTGCATGACTGCATAAATTATTACCTTTTTTTTAAAAAAGTTGAATATTGTGCATGTAAGCGTTTGCATCTAAAAAATGTATAGCAATAGTCTTTGTACTTTTTATTAACTTGCTATTTTCCCATGTGTATATAACTACTGTAAGAAACTATCAGCATTTTGTACATACTTTCAATATTATCTTTGCTTGAACTCACCGGATCTAATCCTGTTTTTATAAAATGAACCTGCTCCTACCCAGGCTTGAGCTACCAGAACTGTTACTATGACAACACTTGAGCTACCAGAACTGTTACTATGACAAGTCTCAGATGAGTTTTGAATAATGTAACAATCCTAAAACATGTCAAATCGTCAACATCCAAATCCAGCTAATTAAGTATTCCACGTACAAAGATGAAAATTCCTAGTCAACTTTAGACATTTGTTTTCTGCAAAAATGGTAGTGTGCTTGATACTTATTTTACCTGCGATAGATAGATAGACAGACGCATAGATACATAGATGACATGCATATTGATTACATTCTATAAAAGGTGCATTAGTTAGATTAAGTAAATAAATGTTTTGCTCTCTATATAAATAATAATACTTTTATATATACAATAGTAGTCAACATTTCGCAACACTGTTCTGTACAAATTTGAGACTAAAAAGATTCTTAGGTGACATTTTTAAACCACAAAGATGATGTAATATTTAAAGAGCCCTTAAAATGTTTGAAAATGTCCTTCTAAGCAGTGTGTGACAGCTCTAAGTGAATGAAAACATCCAGCAAAGGGTTAAATCTGAAAGCGCACCATGTTTAAAACTATTGATTCTCTAAAATAAATGAATCGACTCAAGAATCAGCCTGTTGTTGGAGACCCCCAAAACCAAACTATGAACTTTTATTTGCAATATCGGGGCCCTTTAACATAACTATTTTACATTCTTGACTTAACATATTTTTGGAACTGAGAAGTCTGGAATCCCAGGCAAGTTCACCCTCGTCCAAAAACAGCACAAGAGTTGACTGCATGTATTAACTTATCGCGAAGTGTGTTGATATCACTGTATTTTGGAAGAACTAATCTTTCAAAACAGGTTTGGGCTTCTGGCAAATGGTCATCTGGATCAGGACAGTCTGTCTGAGAAATCTTCAGAGCACGTTTTGAGAAACCTCCAGCAGGTACACGCTCCGTTCCATACAAGAACACTGAAGAGAAAGGAGAATCAGTGAAGCTGAGAGCCAATAATAACACTTGTTAATTATGCAAATTACTCAAGCTTACTCAGAAATTTCTTCTTGTTCTCTTCAGAGAGCTCAAAGAAAACAGTCCAGAAGTTCTTGATGAGCTCATCAGAGGCAGAGCAGCCTTCATAGGAAGCCGACTGAAAGGGAACAAGTCAGGTGTGCTATGAAATGAATGTGAAAAGCTTGTTGCAAATGTCTCTAAAAAGTCTCTAGTATCCATTTACCTGTTGAAGCTCATTCCAGTTATATTGAGGAGAGCCGTGGAGAAGCTCCTGCAGCTCTTCAGGGTGAAACATGGTCCACGCATCGAGCGGGCAGCCCTCAGAGAACCCTTCCGTAAACTGCTCAAACTGTGTCTTCACGGACTTGTTGAACACAAAGTCGACGTACAAATCCACATACTTCTGTCTAGATGGATAGATAGATGGATGGATAGATGGATGTATAGATAGATAGATAGATAGATCGATAGATCGATAGATAGATAGATAGATATTCCTACCTGTTAACTTTGTTTACTTGAATTTGACTTCCATTTGGGACGAGTTCTTGCCCTTTGCACTGGCAAAGATAAATAACAGCACAAATGACAACAGTTAATCATCTAAGCTATTGTAGACTTACAGTAATGTATATACAAATCAATCATAGAAACAGGGCCGGAGTGGGACTACTTTTTAGCTCTGGAATTTCAAGACTTAGACCGGCCCACCTCAGTCGAGGACTGACTATATTAAAATAACGTCATTTCCAATTCAGTTTCAAATGACACTAACACGTCTTTTTCAAGGAAACAGCTGCTTTAGAACTTCAAATGTTTTTCATAAATATGAGAACATTAATTCTTTATAGATATCCAGTCCTTTGTAACAGTCATCACACAAAAAAAAAAAAAAAAAAAATATATATATATATATATATATATATATATATATATATATATATATATATATATATATATATATATATATATATATATATATATACATATACATATATATACATATATATACATATATATACATATATATACACACACACATATATACCCCTACATAAGTAACCCAAACAGTATTATATGTCTTAACACTGAAAATGAAAAAAATACTCTGGTAAGGTTCGAACTCGGATTGGCGTCGTCGTAACGTAACGTGCTAACCACTAGACCACGATGGCTCAGGTAAGCACTGCACTGTTATCTGCTGCTATTGATGTCTACTCTTTTTCTCCCCTTTTTAGATTTCTGATCAAGTTATGTCAGATTTATTAATGTAGTGAATCATCTGATTTTCATTGAGCAGGTGTAATATTCATTAATATTAATTAATATTCACTAAGGTGAAGCTGTTAGTGGTGAAATGGGGTGCAGCCCGCAGGTTAATGATGATCATCATTAACCTGCGGGCTACATTTTGCTCACGGGGCTGCGAGAAAATAAATAAAAAGAGCGGAGCTGCAGCAAATTAATGAATAAAAAGAGTGAGGTTATGGTCAAATAAACAAATAAATGAAAAAAGTGCAACTGCTGAGAGTGCAAGCAGCTAGGGACACCGGCCCTCGCGGCCAAAAAAAACAGACCGGCCCTCCGGGAATTCTCCCGGTTCTCCTGATAATCCAATCCGGGCCTGCATAGAAACTATATTACCGTGAAATCCAAATGTTGCAAATCCACTACTTCCTCCTCGTCCTCCTCAAGAAGGTTTTTCAGACTTCTAATGAGAATTTATAAAAGTACAATTAAAATATGATCTACTCTGAAACCATTCGAGAAATGGTAAAAACGTCAGGTGTTTACCTGGCCTCCACAGGTGAGAGCTCCTCCAGATCATCCAGACTGGGCTTCTGCTGGAGGAGTTTCTTGAATAAGGCCAGTGGAAAGTCAATGTTGATGTGATGTCTGTTGTAGAGCGCCATTCCACAGATCACTCCAAGATAGTAGAAATCCCTATGGTCCTGTGTATGCTAAAAGACATCAGCATCATTCACATCAATACATGAGAAATGTCACACTGGGCAAAACGAATAAATGTTGTCAAACATACATGAGGATTGAACCAAACCAGTGAACTCTCATGAACTTCCAGAATCTTTTTATCCCATTCAATAAAAGACTTGGAGATAAGGGAGAAGAATTCGGCTGATATAACCTTTTCATCTATTTCATCCTCCCCGATGAACGCCACCTGCACAGGAGACAATTTCATTAAGGTAAAAATCCATTTCAGACATTTCAACTCTGATTTCATTTCTCTGTTTTACCTGCAATGGATGCATAAACGAGTAGGTAAATGGTCTAAGATACTGAAGGGTGTCCGTCAGCACTGATTCCCTGTTTATGTGCAACAAGTTGCCATTCAAATGTACCACCAGTAGGTCTAGTAAGCTCCGTATGCATTGCTCCTGCAAGAGCTAAAAAGAGTACAATTATGTTATCTTTTAAAGGATAGTTGTCCAGAGGAATGAAATATGTATTTCTGTCCAAATACAGTAAGTTGACTTACAATAAACATGCTCTTTTTAGTTAAAAAGTCAGACACAAAAGGGAACTTGACCAATATTTCAGCTGTTTTCTGAAAGTAAAGATGCATGAAAGCATTTTTAGATTTCTTAAACAAAGCTCATTATGCATATCATGCAAGATACCTTTAATACTCACAAAGTAGTAATCTTCCAGTTTCATCCTATTGTGCAATTCTTCATTGATTGGAAGCCGCGATGCCATCCAAAGCACTTCTGCAGAAGTGGCGTCCAGCTTTTGGCATAGAAAAAAAGATTTCAGTGATATTTTGGTTTTCCTTTAAAAATATTGTCCTGTTGTTCAACAGAATTCAAAATTGATTTGGTTCTTACTGTTTCGAGGAGATCATTGACCTCAGGAATGATGAAGTCGTGATTTGTGATGTTGGTACTGCAACAGATCTTCACAACAGAGACATAAACAACTATTACACAATGATCAGGTTGCATTTCACCTGATTCGCGATTCAGTTTTTACCTGATAGGCCATCTGAAGGATCTCCAAAAAGTTCTTCAAGTGTCTAGTTGATTGATCGTCAGTTTCACCCCTCGAAATCTGTTTTATCAGCTCTGCAGATTCTTTGTGAAATAACTTTATCAAGGCTTCAAACCAATCATCAGGGAGTCTGGACCAATACATCTCTGAAAATATAACATAAAATACATTGACAAATCCAACATGGCCACAGTGTTGTAAATGTCTTCCAGCTTTACCTAGCACTTTGCGAGCTGCAGGACACAGCTCAAGGATTTTGAAGGCCAGAGCTTCAATGAGTTTAGTTCTTTGCTTCTTGAGACCATTGATGAGCTCAGGGAGGAGAAGATAAAGTCTCAGAGCTTCCTCACCAGTTGGGTTTGGATTCAGAGATGGCAGCAGCGTCTGCTGAACCACCTTCACCACCTGAGGTACAAAATAAACATTCACTGCAGCTATTTGGTTCAGTCGCAAGTAAGTAATGTGTATTTATATAGCGCATTTATCGTGTAAGGAACATGTCAATGTTAGATCATCATTACCTCTGAAATCAGACTTTTACTTGTGGATAACTTCGCAAAGGATGTTTTAACCAGATCAAAATCCAAGCCACAACGCTCCACAGACGTCTGATAATGTTCATCGCGACTACAGAGACACATTTTTATAAATATGAGACTGACTGATTTAAAAAAGGTCTAGATTACTAGACAAGACTACCTAATTTTACCTTGTTTTGAGAAAACTTCCATTCAGTGAGGCAGCAGAGGAGAACACTGTGTTTATTTCACTGTAAATTATAGAATAACACATTTTTAATATTCATATGCATTACTTCAGCATAATACATAGCTCAATTTCATTACTACATTACTATACTTCTAAAGAAATAAAAGCAAGATTCTTCTTATACTAAAGATTAAGATTAATACTTGATGGAGAAAATAGTAATTGCATAATTCAATTATAATAATTAGTAAGATTAAAAGAAAGGCAAATGTATTAAGGTCCCACCACACTTTTAGATGCATTTACAAAATAATTTAGGACATGCACATAGTATCATATACTATAAATCATGTCAACATTGTCATTCTACAGTTTACAACTCACTTCTTTATTGTTGGCCATGGGTCACTTTCAGACACCCAGCGGTCAATTATTCTGTCATTTAGTGTCAAAATTCCTCCATTTGAACCAGATTTAGGCTTTTCAGACTCATTTCCAGGACTCTACAAAAGAAAATGTAAAAGTTAACGCAGAGCATCAATCAATCTCAAACTATTTATAAATGAGGACTGTTCATCTTACCTTGAAAAACAAGGCAAAGGAGTGGTTTTCTCCAGCGATGAGTTTTTCCATCGTAAATTCAGTACATTCTGCGAGCATCAAATATTTAGCTGGTTTAGAACAAACACAACATTCAGGAAAATAATAGCTACTGCTAAAATATGATTTATATTACCAGTTGGCAGAAGCACTGGTAACGGCACAGACTGCTTGACCTGTTCTCCATTTCCCAACTGCCCTTGCATCCCACATCCAAACGAGTAGATCTGATTTGACGAATCCTCAAATACAAGCGTGTGATGTCTTCATGTAAGAAATAAAAATATTTTAACCAGACAAACACTTGCATTTGGGATTATGTAATTTAACCATTCATAGAGTCACCATGTGTTGGATGAGAGTGTTTTAAGTGTTGAAAACACTCTAGTTTACCTCCCACATGTGACCTGCGACACTTTAGATCCCCACAGTTCAGCAACCAGTCGTGGATGATGTTCATCTTTAAGTGAGTTGTGCCCAAGCTGACCAAAACCTCCTGATCCAAATGTGAACACTGTTCCTCCCTGACAAATATCAACCATTTACTACTTTATTCTCTGCTCAGTGTGTTGTATTACATAAATCAACCACAATACCTTTGACAGAGTGGCAGTGTGTTCTCCTCCACATGAGATGGACACTGTTTTCTTTCCACTCAGACTTTTAACAATTGTAGGGATGAATCGGTCTGTGGTGACAAGACAATATTTATGTGCGAATGGCATTCATACTATGATACAGCACTGGCTGACATCATATAAAATGTTTTTTCAAGATGAAATAAGAAGACCTGTAGTGTCTCCGAGACCCAGCTGTCCAGCAGAGTTGCTCCCCCACCCAAACACGACTCCTGACAGAGACAACACAAAGCTGTGGTTTCCTCCAGCGCTGATCTGAGCCACTGGGATCCCACACAGACTCTGGAGGTGTTGAGGAGACTGAGTGCCGGCCTGCTCTTTCCTCAAACCCAGCTGACCAAGAGCATTCTCGCCCCAAACGAACAACTGACCATCTGAAAGACCAACAGCTCAATAAATCATCAAATCAGTTCATCTCAGTCAGAAGACAGAATAGAATACCGTTGGTCAGCGCCATTGAATGCTGGTCTCCACATGCGATCTGAATCACCTGCCTGTTCTCCAGACCTTTAAGAGGCCTGAAAACACAAGATAATGGGTTAGGTTCAGAGCTTTACATTAACACCCGCCAACCCACCAAATGCAGGTAGATTTCAGCACTGGCGGGATAGACAGACACCTCCACTAGCCACTTTGGCTGGATGAAAATGATTTTTAAATTGTAGTTTTCTTAAAAGCAGGGTTTAACAATAAGCATGGCCCAATATTCGTGCAAATGTGATCTTAGAATTAAGAAGCAGTACAACTGACAAAAATAACAGTGTTCGCGCGAGCAAAACAGGAAAAAAAGAAGGTAAATATCAAAGGAGAGTTCGATTACTGGCAGGCACAGGTGATGTGATGCGCACGACTGTTAAAAAGAGCGTACGCGCTCCCATTGACTTGCGAGAAGCAACCGTGCCTAGAGGAAGCGCAAGTGGTGCTTTCCGTTCCTTTTGAAATAGACTAGACAAAGCGATGATCGTGCACTCACAGTCCTACTGCTTTCAAGAGCTCAAGATAAAAAAAAATACATATTCTTATGTAAGCAGCAGCGGTCACTGCCTTCATTTTAAATGTTCTTTGAACAGATTATTAACAGGCCTATATTAACCATGTTCACGTGATTATTCTTTCATTATCAAACACGGTATGTTTCACCTGCTTTCTTTTGCTAACAGTTATTTTTGTTAATATGGTTTAATTATATTTTTTTACAATAAGATTGCTTTAATGGGAGATTAGATTACTCCCCATTTGTGTGTAGTTCACTGGTGATCTGGAACTTATAGCCAGGACAGATTACTTTGCATATTTTGGATACATAATTATTCTTTTTTTTTAATGTAATGTTTTTTTTTAAGAAAAGTTTTGTTGAATTAAAAAATGCACCTATAAAGCTATATTTCCTTGTTTTGACACATAAAAAAAATTGTGGCTTAGAAATACTTATTTGGTGTGGTCAGAGATGAATTTGGTAAATCCTTAATTTTGAGCCCTGAAAAGTAGGGCTGGGCGATATGGCAAAAAAAATCTAGATTTTTTATAAAGTTTCATTGATTTACGATTTCGATTTTTTTTTTATTGTGTAACTAGTAAACTTAAAACATTACAACAACATGACTGAAGTAATGAAGTAATATTCTCTTTATGAGTAACTTAAAAAAAAAACATCTGGTTAAGGAACATTGTATTTTTAATGGCCATGCCATACATAAATTGGTCAACAAGGTGTAAAGAAATGTAAAACAAATTCACGAGTTAGATAGCATTGCAGAATATTTGAATAAAAAATTTTTTTGCAAGTTTTGCTGAGCCTAGGAAAGATTGGCTGTCAGCTCGGCTTTGACTTTGTCTTCTGATTGAATGACAGGTTGTAATGCTGCTGCCTTTTTCTTAAAAAGATACAGTGGAAAAAAAGGAAACTGTAAAGCCTAATTTAACCCAATGTGAGAAGTTGTGGACGTATAGCAGGAGCAAATACAAGCACCAGATGTGTGTCTAATATAAAATAATATATTTAATCTATTTTTCTTTTTCCCCCTTTTAAATATCAATCATTTCATGCGCTTTGCACCACTCGCTGTATCATGCCGCCTGATCTGTCTGGTTTTCAACTAGGTCCGCTAAATGATGTCATAAGGGCGGGTACTTTCATTTTCATTGCTACAGCTGCTGCTCACCTCTGCTCGTGTTCAAACCCAAATATCAGCACGGTTCAAACAAAGATCGGCGCTGTTTTTAACATGGCATGTTTTTACGTCCTTCAAACATGTTGAGAGATCGAGTTTATTGACTTGATGAGGGAATATGTCTTGACAATCCAGACGTGACTCAGACTAATGCAACAAGTAAAATCCTACATGACTTCACACTTTAACAGGCAGTCAAGCAGGTCGCACACCAGAAGCGCTGCGACACGGCACGCATATGACAGTTTAAAGTATCACACACCAGAAGCGCACATTCGCATGATATTTAACATGAAACTAATCAGATGGCGCTTTGTGGCACGGCCGAAATATGAACTGCCTCCTGAATCGTGGCTGGGCGGTGCTGGTATGTGTATAGAAACCTATTTAGAATTCTAAAATCCATGGCGCAGCATGGTGCTGCGCGGTGCGTTGCCGAGCGGCGCTTCTGGTGTGCAACCTGCTTCATACAGAAAGTGAACCAAAGCGCATTTGTGCCGTTATAATGTATCAAAAATATATTTTTTTAAAAATGGCTATTTCTCGATTTAATATAAAATTAAATCTTCGTCAAAACGTAAATTTGAATCGCCCAGCCCTACTGAAAAGTCATGAAATAAAAACTGATTGCATTGCGACAACCCATTTGCTCATGCACACTGAGCAAGCTAACACACAATTCATACAAAAAGTTAAATGAATGAGAATGCATGTGGACATAACACAACATCTAAGTCAAGTCAGTTTAGCATGTCAAAGTCAAATTTATGCATATAAAATATATTTCCTCAACAAGAAAAGTCTGGCTAGTGAAAATGGAGAGTGGCTAGTAATGTTGAAAAATCTACTAGCCACAGTGGGCGGTGATCAAAAAAGTTAATGTCAAGCCCTGACAAGATTTAAATGTCATTATCATTTATAATCATCCATGCTGCTTTTGCTAGATAATCAAACCTGCACACTGTAGATTGGTCCATAACGAGAACTTTTCCATCATCAGCAAGAAGAACTGCACCAGCTTCTCCACAGACAATAGATCTGATTCTCTCATTCTGTAGCTGTAATGGTTCTGGAGTAAATGATATTATTAATAGCACATCAAAAGATTGTTCTTTAAATTGTAAATAAATTACATTAAAGAATTATTACATTGTTTATATCAGTGGTTCTCAAACTGTGGTACCTGTACCACTAGTGCAGGGGCGGCCAACCCTCTTCCTGGAGAGCAACCTTCCTGCAGATTTCAGTTGCAACCCATATCAAACACACCTGAATCAATTAATTAGGACCTGAGCACCACGTGATAATTACAGGCAGGTGTGTTTGATATGGGTTGCAACTGAAATCTGCAGGAAGGTAGCTCTCCAGGAAGAAGGTTGGCCGCCCCTGCACTAGTGGTACGCGGAGGAATCAAATATGTAATATGTACATGTGACATATAAGCTGCGTCCCAAATCGCATACTTATGCACTATTCTACACCATTTTGTAGTATAAATAGTGCAAGTAATGTGTTCACACTGAAAACTCTAAAAATAATAAGTGCACTTTAATTACCCGGATGATGCACTCATTCAGCCGCTAAAATGAAGTGTGGAATGATGGACACTTCACGCACTCAACGACCGCAGGTTTGCTTACGTAGCGGAAGGGGTGGAGCTATCGGACGCACATGTTGGATAACTTTATTTATTTTGGATGGTGAAAGCAAAATTCTCCTACGAGAGTGATTATAGCGCCTCCCGATGGTGAATGCGGCAATACTCACGATAGGTATTATTTGATAATTCGGTCGTTTTTTTCACTGATTTGGCAACCGTCAAACGTCATCAGGGAAACGGTTTGAATTTCCGCTTGGTAAAAAAAACATTAGTGTGCCATTTGGGACAACACTACATACATGTACTATCCTGTAGAGTGTGTAAGTGCATAAGTACATAGTGCATAGTGTATAGTGTGCCATTTGGGACGCAGCTACAGCCTATATTTATGAGGTCCAAGCAACATCTCCAGGTTATGATAAATAGACTACTATTATATTAATAATTTGCATTTAAGTACAGGAATTTTTTAGTAACAGTCAGTAGCCCACCATGTTTAACTTTTAAAAGCACATTTCAATTTAAACGTAGACGTTTTATTAGATTTGTTTTTTGTTTGTTTTACATATAAGCACAGTGCAGTGTTAATGTTCAAACTATTTTTTTAAATGTTTAAAGTGTCTGATAATAATAGATGTTCTCAACAATAGGAATTAATCTGTAGCTTCTTTACTGGGCCTAATACACTACTGTCACGTTATTTCAATACTGATCATTATGGTGGTCCTTGGAAAGACCATTTTTTTCTGAGGTGGTACTTGGTGAAAATAGTTTGAGATCCACTGGTTATTAGATTAGATTAGATTAGATTCAACTTTATTGTCATTACACATGTACAAGTACAATGGAACGAAATGCAGTTTAGGTCTAACCAGCAGTGCAACAGCAGCAAGTGCAGGATACAGGAATAAGTTATAAAGTGCAGTTATAGAAAACTATGGTGATATTTACAGATGGATGTACTATGAACATTATATACAGGTTGGATAAGCTATGAACAGATTTACAATATATGTGCAGGTTGCTATTAATAATCAGTAGTGTGCAGATAAATAAACATGATTACAAGTGTATATGTTACAATATATGAATATATGTACAGGGATAGACGAACATGATTACAAGTGTATATGTTACAATATATGAATATATGTACAGGTTGCTATTAATAATCAGTAGTATGCAGATAAATAAGCATGATTACAAGTGTATATGTATGGTGGGTGTGTACATAATAACAAATGCCCATATGCAGTGGGTATGTACAGTTCAATAAGTAAACAGTTCAATGTGGTGCAGTGAATGTGCAAATTTTATATGTGCAAATGTTAAACAGTGCAGTTATTGTGAGGAGTTTAAGTTAGAGGAGAGTGGGGGGTGTATTGGGGGGGAGCAAAAGAGTCAGTGTGGGGCACTGACTCTTTTGTCTCTTTTTATAGTAGTATTATAAAGTTATAACATAAAAGTATCATTTAAAGTCATACCTAGTTTTTCATCAGCATCTTCATTGTGCAGTCTCAGGATCCACGCCGTTCCCTCTCTGATGAATCCAACATAACTCTTTCCAGTTGAGATGTCCTGAACAAGTGTGCCGCAAGCCTACGTTTGAGTGAAGGTTTCGGCCGTTAGATCGCCCCCTGGGGGCTGGCTGCAGTACAAGTCATAAAGCCCGCCTCCTCCGTGTTAATGAAGGAGACTTGAGCCCAAATAAAAAAAAATATTACACTTGCAATAAAATGTCCCGAAAGATAGTTCTGGTCGATTAAGGCACTGGTTATTGTGCTGAAATAGGTGCAGATCTTCATTTTTGTAAACAGTTTGTTTTTAGCAGTAATTTAATGCTGGGCGTGTCATCGTGATTGACAGCTGTGATTGACAGTTTCTCAAAGCAGCGCGTCTGAGCTTCGGCAAGAGACTGAAGTAGACTGAAATGTTATTATTCGATTTCTGTGTTATTTTACCATGACAAAATGAGTTCAGTAGTAAACTATAGTTTCTGACATACATGATCCTGGTGGAACACTGTTTATTCGCTAAGTTCAGGGCTTTTTTCGGGCTTTATTAGTTTGCTGATACACGCCTAGCCACCCAGATAGCAAAACACAGTTCCGGCTAGATTCTCGCCTGCCGGAGACTTATCTCTTAGAGCTCAGACTGACTAATGTTACCTCTGCTGGACCTACTCCGGATGCCTGGACTCACTACCCAATTCCAGCCCGAGTCAATCGAGCCAGATGCGGCGGCCGAGCGACACCGGCGCTGCCGCATGCGAGCCGGAATCAGCCCGCGACGCCGCGAGTAAGTTATGCGATGCGGCCTGGAGCTGGCGCGATTGAATATATAAAACCCTCATATTTGTTAACGTTATTACATCCATTTGTGTTGATATGACCGCAAACGCATGCTGAGAAGTTCGGGGGGCGTGGTTGATTTTACATAAAGCGTTTGGTTGGAAGCTCGACTCTGCTCATTTTCGCGGCTCCTCCTCTGGCTCCATCAGACAATCCTTCTGCGCATGTCTGGCTCCAATTTCAGCAGTCTTTTGCGACAGTTTGTGCCCGTCAAGCAGGCGTTTTGCCCTCAAGGCGTTCAATGGGGAAAAGGGCTGTCGCGTCGTCCATATTTTTTACAGTCATTGGTCCTGAACTGCTGAACTCGGACAGATGGATTTTATCCCCCAGTTTCCATGTATGACTTGCTCAGGTTTAACCAGACCGAATCCTTCTCGGACCTGCGCTCCCCAATAACACAACATGTTCACCGCGAGTATGAAAGCTTTAGACTCTCTGAATCCTTGGACCAAAAAACTCAGTCATATCACACGGTTAACAAACAACACTAACGTTAAGCAGCAATGTGCCTATGTCACAAAATGGCGATCGACACCGGAAGTAGGGAAAACTTTGTTCCGGTAGAATAAGAGTGCAACTAATTTTGCAGCGTACATTTTTGTACTAATTCGAAAAATTCGTTAATTTGTCGTTTCATATTTTTCCTAGCGATTAAACTATTAAGAGGCGTTGGATTTGGGCTATTCGGAGAGATGAGGGGTGGAATTTACTGTGAGTAAAGGCAGCACTTCTGAGTGCACTTTACGAAGGATGAAGTTCTCGTCCATCCGGGTGAGTGCAGCACGTTAATACAATCATTTTAAAAAGACCACTCAACAATGATATCACAGTAATTAATTGTTTGTTAAACAGAAATTATATTACATTATATTTTTGCTATATGAAATTATGAGCATAGTAATATTGTGGAGCATTAGTAATGTGTTGTATAAATGTTACTTATTTTAGTAACCTGCCGCTAAAATGCATACCATTAGTATATTTAAAAAACCCATTTATAACATTTAATTATTGTCCTTAGTTCTGCTTTAAACTACCTTAACCATTCATTCTGACATTTTCTCATAACACTTACTTATTCTTTTATGATTTAACTACCTGAATCATGTATTTTTGATTAAAGGGACGGTTCAGAATTAAAATTGTCAATATTTACTCACACTGTTTTTTTTTCACAAAGGCATATTTGAAAATAGAAATTATTATTAGTAAATAGTTTTCAATGTCTATTTGTTTACTGTCATTCTTCAAAATACCCAGTTCTTTTGTAGTGTTAATACAAATTAATAAATAAATGAATACAGGCCTGGAAAAACCTGAGGGTGAGTGAATTATGACAGAATTGCCAAATTGGGGTGATCAACTCATTTAAGACAAAATGTGCAATGTTAAGGAATATTCAGTAGGGATGCACCGATTCCACTTTTTTACAAACCGATACGAGTATGAGTATTTTAATTTGTGTATTGACCGATACCGAGTACCACTTCATAGATTTGGTTTCAATTAAGTTTATTTTTCAGAGTTTTTTTTTTTTTTTGCCTTTAGCAAGGATGAACACAAAAATGTTTAACAGAAGGCTGTTCCAAGCCAAAAATATACACACATTGTTGATAACCCTGCATATATATATATATATATATATATATATATATATATATATATATATATATATATATATATATATATATATATATATATATATATATATACCTTCATAAAACAGTGATCTGCAATGTATATTAAGACACTCAAGGAAAATTAATGGTTCTCACATGGTTCGAGTAAAATTTTACATATAGACACGATAGATATACACATATAAATTGCATATATTTTTGTATTGACAACTTTGACATCTGTGGTCCGTTCTTCGTACCTCGCTTAAATGATCTAAGATGATTTCGCAGATCCTGGATATTTTAATATTGATAACTGATCTCTCGCTAATTTGGTTCTTCAAACAAGTTTGTGAATCAGATAAAAATGTCTGGATAAACTTATCTGAGATCGCTGCATGTGTCGTGAAGGACAGATCTATCGATCCTCGAAATCATGATCAGCAATGCAACGATTGGTTGACGGCACAGCAGATTTATGACATCATCTAATTAATATTCAATTATCAGTGTGAGCAAAATTACATCAAATTAGCAGTAAATGGTTTGTTAAATATGACACGCAATAACTTTACACCTTGTTGTGGGCTGCATGCTTTTATGTGTCAAGAGCAATTTATTTAGTTTTACAGTTAGAGCGGATTTTCCTTATTATAGTAGTATTATAGTATCCGTTTTTTTAATCAGTGTAAAGAATAACTGGATTTTTACAAAAGCATTTTGATATTGGTAAAGGCGTCTGCAACTTTTATGAAGCATCAGATCACCAGCATATTAACTGTCAAAACATGTTTATGACTGCATAAATGTATTATTGCTTTTAAAAAGTCACATATTGTGCATGTCTAGTATCATACACAAATTGTACTAAAGCGATCTAAAAAGTTCATATCAATAAGTTTTGTCTTTGCACCACCAGGTGGCAGTCTTTGTACTTTCATTTCAGAGTGCAGATTGCATACGTTTTATTAATATGTATAACTTTATTTATTTTATTAATAACTATAACTTTATATATAAGTAGTTAAAAAAATATTTACTCTTTTTCCAAGTGTATATAAATACTACTGTAAGAAAATATCAGAATTCGGCACATACTTTCAGTATTATCTTTGCTTGAACTGACCCGATCTAATCCTGTTTATATGAATTGAACCTGCTCCCGACCAGGTTTGATCTACCAGAACTGTTGTTATGACAACAACAATCAGATCAGTTTGGAAAAACGAAACGATCCTGGATCATGTCAAATCATCAACATCCAAATCCAGCTTACTGAGTAATCCACGTACGAAGAACAGACCCCTGCAATGTCGAGAGATGTTTACTCTAGACCAAAAACCTCACAAACGTTTATTGCGTGTGTTAGCTTGTTGCGAAGTGTGTTGATATCAGTGTATTTCGGAAGAACTAATCTGCCAAAACAGGTCTGGGCCTTTGGTAAATGGTCATCTGGATCAGGACAGTCTCTTGTAGAAATCTTGATACGGCGCTTTGAGAAACCTCCAGCAGGTACACGCTCCGTTCCATACAAGAACACTGAAGAGTAAGAGAATCAGTGAAGCTGAGAGCCTATAATATAAATGCTTAATTATGCAAATGAGGCAAAGTATTCAAGCTTACTTAGAAATTTCTTCTTGTGTTCTTCAGAGAGCTCAAAGAAAACAGTCCAGAAGTTCTTGATGAGCTCATCAGAGGCAGAACAGCCTTCATAGGAAGCCGACTGCACCAAAACAGGTCTTAAGTACTTATAATTTAAAAGTGTGTTGTAAATATCTATGTAGTATCCATTTACCTGTTGAAACTCCTTCCAGTTATATTGAGGAGAGCCGTGGAGAAGCTCCTGCAGCTCTTCAGGGTGAAACATGGTCCACGCATCGAGCGGGCAGCCCTTAGAGAACCCTCTCGTAAACTGCTCAAACTGAGTCTTCACAGACTTGTTGAACACAAAGTCAACGTACAAATCCACATACTTCTGTCTACATGAAAAAAACACAGTGTTCTTATTTTGAAATAAAAAAAGCTGGAAGTGCAAAATGTTGCCATATATGTCTGGTATAGTCTAATATCCCTTTTTCAGTTGTCTTTTATGTAATGTGTTCAGCAGTAACGTATTATAGAAAGTCGAGACAAGTTTGACTGAAACTTTAAAATGCATCTTGAGATAGATAGATAGATAGATAGATAGATAGATAGATAGATAGATAGATAGATAGATACATTCTCACCTGGTAAAGTAGGTGTTAGGCTAATATTAATTTACATTAAAGACTGACAAGGGTTGCTCAATAACTACAGAGAGATTCTGTCTGGGCTTTCACTGCCATTTATACCCCCCCTTCCTTCATGTGTTCAATACTTTTTACCTTTGTCATTTCATTTTATTACGCATAACTTAATTTCTAATCTTATTTGTTTTGTTTTCTTTGTATGTATGGATTCATTTGGTTGTTACTGACATCTGGTGAAAATTCCTAGTCAACAGCATCATTAGACATTTGTTTTCTGCAAAAAATGGTGGTGTGCTTGATACGATAGATAGATAGATAGATAGATAGATAGATAGATAGATAGAGAGATAGATAGATAGATAGATAGATAGATAGATAGATAGATAGATAGATAGATAGATAGATAGATAGATAGATAGATAGATAGATAGATAGATAGATAGATAGATAGATAGATAGATAGATAGATAGATAGAGCAAACTCTTGCTACCTGTTAACTTTGTTTACTTGAATTTGACTTCCATTTGGAACGAGTTCATGCCCTTTGACCTGAAAAAGCAAAATAACAGCACAAATAAATAGATTTAAACAGCAGTATATGCACATAAAATCTGACCATACAAATCCTTACCGTGAAATCCAAAAAGAGTAAATCCACTACTTCCTCATCCTCCTTAAGAAGGTTTTTCAGGCTTCTAATGTTGAATTATAAAAGTACAATTAGAATATGATCTGCTCTGAAAAGCACTAGTGAAACCATTGTGTGAAATGGCCTGGTTTGTAGTTTCTACCTGGCCTCCACAGGTGAAAGCTCCTCCAGATCATCCAGACTGGGCTTCTGCTGGAGGAGTTTCTTGAATAAGGCCAGTGGAAAGTCAATGTTGATGTGATGTCTGTTGTAGAGCGCCATTCCACAGATCACTCCAAGATAGTAGAAATTTTTATTGCCCCGTGTATGCTGAAAGACAAGCATTTTGCATATTAATATTTGAATAAAACCACATTAAGGGGAAATTCTAATTCATGTTTTAGAACTTACATGAGGATTGAACCAAACCAGTGAACTCGGATGAACTTCCAGAATCTTTTTATCCCATTTAAGAAAAGACTTGGAGATAAGAGAGAAGAATTCTGCTGATAAACCCCTCATATCTATTCCATCCTCCCCGATGAACGCCACCTGCACAGGAGACAATTCAAATCCAAAACATATCCCATTGCAAGCTACCAAATTCGATGTTTCCTTATCTTATGCATTCTAGTGGTATCTACGTACCCTTGATAGATGGGAAAATGAGTGGGTGTTTTGCCTGAGATACTTCAGTGTGTCCATCAACAATGACTCTCTGTTTATGTGCAACACGTTGAACGTGGCATTGCCTAAAAACCTGTTTGAAGATCTCCGTATCATTTTAATCTCAAGGTGCTAAGAAAAGTAGAATTACATTAAGCTTAACTTGCATTGGCATAATATGATTGCATTTAGAGATATTTAGCATTTGACATTCTCACATCTTTAACTTACATTAAAAATTCCCCGTTTAGATGCATAGTCAGCCACAAAAGGGAACTTGACCAATATTTCAAGTGTTTTCTGAAAGAAATGCACTAATATAAGAACATTTCATCAAAATAATTTCAAATGTCAATGTTAGATTGAAACCTACAATGAAATAATCTCTCAATTTCATCATGTAAACATAATCCACGAATGGATCCCAATCGGCCAGGTCATCTATGGTGGCCTGCAGCTATTGAAATAAATAAAGACAATTCTTTGGTATTTTGTTTTTCCCCTCAAAAAAAATAAAATAAAATATAAATTAATAAGAAATAAGATTAATTTTGGTTCTCACCGCATTTAGAAGATCACTGATCTCATAAATGATGAAATCACTAATAGTGATGTCTCTGTGGGTACTGCAACAGACCTTCACAGAAAGAAAGACTTTTACAACAATGATCAGGTTCAGTTTCAGTCATTTTGATCACATGTATAAAAAGGCACCTTATAGGCCATCTGAAGGATTCGCAATAAGTTCTGCAGGTGTTTGAGATCCGAATCCATTGCACACACTGACATATAGTCAATCAGATCAGCAGATTCTTTGTGAAATAGCTTCACCAAGCTTTTGAGCCAGTCATCTGGAAGTTTGGACCAGAACATCTCTGAGGAAATAAAAGAAAACAATAGTCTGGTTCTGGAGGTAAAAACTCTGAAGGGAAATCTTTGAGCAATAACCAGGGTTGCCAATTTCAGGAAAAAATTCCACCCTGATGACAACCCACAAAAAATTTAAGACTTCACACAAAGCTGATGATTGGTAATAAGCTTGTTTGGCATGCTGTTCTGGAAGAGAGCCCTGAGCTTATAAGATCCTTGAGCCCTGGGCTCCCTTCCGTTAGCAGGGCGAGAGGGGAGTTTGAGCTCAGATAGATCTCCATGAACTCCCCAAACTTATTTCTGGCTAATAACAGATATAGGGATGCTAAGGAGAGATGTGTGGCTTGCTAAGAGCTTGATTATGATGCCAATTAGGTATGTTTAATTTACTTTTTAAATTTGTGTTGTTGTTTTTTTGACTGTGGAAGGAAACCGAACCCACACTCCCAGAAAGAAAGGTATAAGAGCTGTCACTGGGGCAATACCTTTTCAAAAGGTACATATTTGTACCTGAAAAGTCCATATTAGCACTTCAAAGGTACATTTTAGGTGCATTTGTGTACTGATACAGTATGTACCTTTGAGGTACCGCTAAGGACTCTTTAGGTACAAATATGTAACTTTTGAAAAGGTACTGCCCCAGTGACAGCTCTTGTACCTTTATTTCTGAGAGTGCAGGGAAAACCCATACGAACACAGGGAGAACAAGCAAACTCCACACAAAAAGGTCAACTTTGAGTAGGGACTTCAACCAGAGATATTCTTGCTGTGAGGCAACAGTGGTAATCACTTAACCACCGTGGTACCCATCTAAAAGGAGAGGGAGTAAGGGTGGGTGGGGGATTTGTCAAGACGAAGATACTGAGATAAAAAAAGAAAAAAACTCTGGTTATTTATAGTGAGTTAGGAATCATCTGATTAGTGAATTAATCGTAAGCTAATGTGGGACCAACCATGAACAATCATTCTCTCGAAATTACTTTACAAATAAAACACTTAAAATTAGCCCAATATTTCTAACTGATTCCCACAAAAGAGAAAGGTCTTGAATATTGTCTCTAAACGTTTTATTAATTTTTTTTTGCTGTTGTTCGAACTTCTTAAGCTGAAACAACACAATTCTTGGGATTTTTTGGGACAACTTAATTGTTTTATGTTCAAGGAACCTTAATTTGTTATGTTAACTTAATACATTTGTGGTGGAACAACCTTTGTCAAATGTGGGCTTAACTGACATTCTGATCATTTAATATGTGACATGCTTTTAGTTTTATTCGCCCGCTTGTACTTTCAGGTTGCCAGGTATGCATTCCATGATCAATTTTCTTTATAATACAATTGATTTTTATTTTATTTTATATTCATAAGAAAGAAACATTCTGGCGGAAAAAACAACAACTAATTTTTCCCATGTATTTCTAAAAGAGATAGATTTTGCGGGAAAACCATGACCCTGGCATCACTGGCAATAACTGAACATTCTTAGAAGACAGGCATGCTTTGAGCTCATTTGTGTATGTTTTTATTGTTTCCATTAATTAATTTTATTTGTGAAACATCAATGTTTAATAGTCAAATTTGTGCAGAACAACTACATTATCCATAACAACAAATTCCACCAATCAAAGAGTAGCACTAAGCAAAATGCACTAAAATAAACCCATACGAAGTACATCAAATATAAACAAGTTGGTCTTTCTCAAAATACTTAATATTGAACTTGGCTTCAAAGTCAATGCGTCAAATTAAAGTTTGCAATGTGATTCACCTACAGAAGTTGCCAGTGCACAGAAAAGCACACAGACGATACCACAAATAAAGTGAATTAGCTTTACAGTACCTAACATCTCACGAGCAGCAGAATTCAGCTGAAGGATTTTAGAGGCCAGAGCTTTATTAAGTTCACTTCTTTGGTATTGCTCGAGACCTTTGATAAGCTCAGGGAGGAGAAGATAAAGTCTCAGTGATTCCTCATGAGCTGGCTTTGGATTCAGAGATGGCAGCAGTGTCTGCTGAATCACCTTCACCACCTGTGACATCAAATGAACACGGTTTAATTCTATTTGCCGACACCTGAGGCTTGCACATTAATTTGACTAGTTCTTAGGTTTGTGAAAATCTTGTTTGGTCAGTACATGTACTATGAATGTATTATTAATAAGTAATATTTCTTGAGTCGTCTGCAGAAATTACAGATGCCACAGCAGTTTTACATTAAAATGAAACTGAGTTTTGTAGTTTAATGCAAAATGATGCTATTACCTCTGAGATCACTTTTTCATTGTCTGTTAACTTTGAAAAAGATTTCCCAACCAGGTCAAAATCCTGCTCATCGAGGCTAGGAAAATGAAAATGTACATAAAATGATGGACTACGCTTTATAATAGTCAAGCAAAATTAAAAATAAATATAATGTCTATCTGGTTGTGACTTACCTTGGTTTGAGAAAACTTCCATTTAAGCAGACGGCAGATGAGAAAACTTTTTTGATTTCCCTGTAAATTGCCCATGAACATTATGGATTACTGTAACTGATAAGATTCATGTACAATTTTGAATAAATTGTTTTGTGCTTTATAATATTTATTAAATATAGACATAAACCCGGAACTGACACTCTCTGGCATGGATTATTTATTCATTCATTTTCTTGTCGGCTTAGTCCCTTTATTAATCCGGGGTCGCCACAGCAGAATAAACCGCCAACTTATCCAGCAAGTTTTTACACAGCGGATGCCCTTCCAGCCGCAACCCATCTCTGGGAAACATCCACACACACATTCACACATACTGTACACTCATACGGACAATTTAGCCTACCCAATTCACCTGTACCGCATGTCTTTGGACTGTGGGGGAAACCGGAGCACCCGGAGGAAACCCATGCAAACACAGAGAGAACATGCAAACTCCACACAGAAAGGCCAACTGGCCTGTAATTATTTATTAACTCTAATTAAATGTAAAGCTGATAGAAACAAATCGACTGAATGTAGCAGACACTGTTTATTATTCAGTCACAAGATGGCGCCAAAAAGTCAAGCGGTTTGAAAGATGACGACATAAATAATGTTTTCGCTTTAATCATTCATTAACTGTAAAGCTAACAGAAACAAACCGATTGGATTTTGTAACATACGCAGGCCTATACTTATTATTCAGGTCACAAGATGGCGCCAAAAAGACAAAAACAGCGGTTTGAAAGATATAACGACATAAATGTGTAACTTAAACTTTTCCACACACTTGCCAGAGCTGACCTTAAATAAGATTTGTCTATTTGACAAAAATGTATAAATAAATATATTCGACCAATTTTTCAAAATAAAAAGTATAATGTTCCTAAGGGCACATTTTACTGGGCATCCCTCAGTGACCTACAGACTGGAAAAAAGCCTGGCTATTACCTCATAAGTACTGCATTCCCAATCAAACAAAAGAGGTTCATTTTAAAATTGTTCATAAAATATCTCCAGTGAAGAGTACTTTGGCAAAGTATTTGGAGGTTGATAGTTCATGCACATTTTGTAAAACTGAAGACGAAATGCTGTTTCACATATTTTTTCAATGTGAAAACACAAAAAGCTTATATCTCCTTATAGGTAATTATTGCTTCTTCTAGACCCTTTCAACTACAACATATTAGTTACTATAAAGGTAAAACTGATATATCAGAGAACTACATTATTAACTTTTTTATTTTGTATGGAAAATATTTTATTCACAAACAAAAATTCTCCAATTCGCAGCCTTCTTTTTCACATTTTTTAATTAAAATTGATGTTTTTATTAAATGTTTTAGACTGGTGTGAAGATACAAGATGTGCAGCACCTAAAACTACAGATATTGGAAGCCTGTGCTGGCATTTCTCCTGCGGTGTTGCTATCAGGGTGTGAAGAGTGGGAGAAGAGGGTTGCATTGACAATTTAACACGTTGGGCAGCATATTGAACACATTTTATAACTAGTCAGAAACTTGTGACTCATGAAAGAATAAAGTTACGTTAAAACCAAGCACACCATTGTTTTTCATTGTGAAATTCCCAATAAGTTTCATGTGTCACATGACCCTCTTATTGAAAAAACAAAAGTTGGATCCAAGATGGCCAACTTAAAAATGGCCACCATGGTCACCACCCATCTTGAAAAGTTTGCCCCCTCACATAAACTAATGTGCCACAAACAAAACATTGATATCACCAACCATTCCCATTTTATTAAGGTGTATCCATATAAATGGCCCACCCTGTACATTAATATTATCATCACAGACAGTTAATAAGATTCGAAGTTCCCAGATAAGCCTGTGTTATTAGTTCCAGCGGTTGTTATCTGGGAATAATGAACCTTTGAATGTTCTAATTGACCATTATTGGAAAAAGTGTTTTTCATAGACACATGTGAACAAAAACGGATATAAACAAAGCCCAACATGCTTCATAATTAATGACATACATAAACAATCAAATGGAATAAATATTAAGACAAAAACACTGAATTAAACACTCACTTCTTTACTGTTGGCCATGGGTAACTTCCAGACACCCAGCGGTCAATCATTCTGTCATTTAGTGTCAAAATACCTCCATTCATGCTAGATTTAGGTTTAGTAGACTCATTCCCAGGATTCTACAAAAGATAATTTCAAATTTATTGTAGTGTATTAAAATTATTAATATATTTATTCATAAATGTCTGTCTTACTTTGAAAAACAAGGCAAATGAATGCTTTTCTCCAGCGATTATTTTTTCCATCGTAAATTCACAATTACAGTCTGTGTGCAACAAATATTTACATTTTGATCATTGAGTAGCACTGTTAATATGAACACATTCAAAACTAATTAGCTTATTAATTATTATTACCAGTTGGCAGAAGCACTGGTAACGGCACAGACTGCTTGACCTGTTCTCCATTTCCCAGCTGCCCTTGCATCCCACATCCAAATGAGTAGATCCGATTTGTTAATGCAACTAATACAAGAGTGTGATGTCTTTGTTCAAGAAAGTATCAAATGCTTGGTTAATGAACAGTAGTTACATTAAACCATCCTACCAAGTTACTAAAGCTTCTGCTGACTCTAGTTTACCTCCCACATGTGACCTGTGACACTTTAGATCCCCACAGTTCAGCAACCAGTCGTGGATGATGTTCATCTTTAAGTGAGTTGTGCCCAAGCTGACCGAAACCTCCTGATCCAAATGTGAACACTGTTCCTCCCTGACAAATATCAACCATTTACTACTTTATTCTCTGCTCAGTGTGTTGTATTATATAAATCAACCACAATACCTTTGACAGAGTGGCAGTGTGTTCTCCTCCACATGAGATGGACACTGTTTTCTTTCCACTCAAGCTTTTAACAATTGTAGGGACGAATCTGTCTGTGGTGACAAGACACTATTATTGCTTCCATTTCTATAATATTCATACTATGATACAGCACTGGCTGACATTATATATAATGTTTTTTCAAGATGAAATAAGTAGACCTGTAGTGTCTCCGAGACCCAGCTGTCCAGCAGAGTTGCTCCCCCACCCAAACACGACTCCTGACAGAGACAACACAAAGCTGTGGTTTCCTCCAGCGCTGATCTGAGCCACTGGGATCCCACACAGACTCTGGAGGTGTTGAGGAGACTGAATGAGGGCCTGCTCTTTCCTCAAACCCAGCTGACCATGAGCGTTCTCGCCCCAAACGAACAACTGACCATCTGAAAGACCAACAGCTCAATAAATCATCAAATCAGTTCATCTCAGTCAGAAGACAGAATGTTTGTGAATACCATTGCTCAGCGCCACTGAATGCTGGTCTCCACATGCGATCTGAATCACCTTTGTGTTGTCCAGACCTTTAAGAGGCCTGCAGAGACATAACAATCTCTCAGATATCATATTTAAGAAAATTAATATTGTCATGCTTTATAAAACATACCTGCACACTGTGTATTTGTCCATAAGGAGAACTTTTCCACCATCAGCAAGAAGAACTGCACCATCTTCTCCACAGACAATTGATCTGATTTTCTCCCTTTTTAGATCCAGTTGTTCTACAGAAACATATATTTTTAATAGTTTAACTTCTGTTCAGACTTTAAACACACATAGCACATGCACTCTCATTAGGGTGTGACGGTTTTTAGTATTTTGTAATTATATTTTTTAATGCAATTAGGGTGTCATGAACACACAACACATCCAACCTTGAGGCAGATGAGCTACAGCAGCAGAAGACCACACCAAGTGCCACTCCTGTCAGCTAAGAACAGAAAACTGAGGCTACAATTCTCACAGGCTCACCAAAATTGTACAATAGAAGATTGAAAAAACGTTGCCTGGTCTGATGAGTCTAGATTTCTGCTGCAAAATTCGGATGGTCGGGTCAGAATTTGGTGTCAGCACCATGAAATCATGGATCCATCCTGCCTTGCATCAACAGTTCACCAGCACTGCATCAACAGTGCTGCTGATGGTGTATTGGTGTGGGGGATATTTTCTTGGCACACTTTGGGCCCATTAGTACCAATTGAGCATCGTGTCAACGCCACAGCCTACCTGAGTATTGTTGCTCATGTCAATATGGACCAAAATCTCTGTGGAATATTTCCAGTACCTTGTTGAATCTATGCCATCAAAGATGAATGCATGTCTGAAACCTAAAGGGGGTCCAATCTGGTACCAGTAAGGTGTACCTAATAAAGTGGCCGGTACTTTCATGCCACTTTCCTTATGCTATAAAATAATACTGCTGCCTTAAATTTTTTAGTTGAATCAAATGAGCTTTTCTAGTCATCTCAAATGACATCAATCAAACTGACTAAAGATTAACTTATTAAATAAAATATTTGTTGTCTTGACTGTTTGTTATTATATTTTTACAGTGTATAAAGTAAATAAGTAACACATTTAGCTACTTAAAAAATAATTTCAAATTGTAATATATTGCTTAGCCAGGGGAGGTTTGGGCGGTTTGAAAGAATTTTTTATTTGCCCATAGTTTTTATTTAAAAACAAGTTTAACCATATTCCAATTCTTTTAAATGATACATGATAATAAATGGTGACGCGGTGGCGCAGTAGTTAGTGCTATCGCCTCACAGCGAGAAGGTCGCTGGTTCGAGCCTCGGCTGGGTCAGTTGGTGTTTCTGTGTGGAGTTTGCATGTTCTCCCCGTCGCGTGGGTTTCCTCTGGGTGCTCCAGTTTCCCCACTGTCACAGTCCAAAGACATGCGGTACAGGTGAATTGGGTAAGCTTATTGTCCGCAGTGTATGAGTGTGAATGAGTGTGTATGGATGTTTCCTAGAGATGGGTTGTTGCCGGAAGGGCATCCGCTGAGTAAAACATATGCTGGATAAGTTGTCGGTTCAATTCGCTGTGGCGACCCTAGATTAATAAAGGGACTAAGCCGACAAGAGAATGAATAAATGATAACAAATTTGTATTTAATAGTACTGTATTTTTGCATATTTCTTTATAATTTTTTTTTTTAATTTAAAATGCTAATCTTATAACAGCATTAATAAAACTGGTTTACTCACAGTTTAGATCCAAATGTGTTAATAAATACTTTGTAGTAAAAAAATTGTTTGGTAAGCACTTTGACAAAATCGTAGGAAATATTGTTGGTGCATCAAAAAAGTGTGGATATCACAATCCGACAAGCTGATTCAACAAATATTAATTCTTAAAATGTCACAAAAATCCATAATTGAATAGAAAAATGAGGCGAATCACTGCAAAACATAACCACCCCTTTAAATAGGCGGGATACGGGCCTGTTTTAATAGTAACTTTACCCACACTACATTTATCATACTTAGTTTTCCATCTTGGTTACAGTCTTCATCGCGCAGTCTCAGCACCGACACCTTCCCATCCCGGATGAATCCAACGAAAGTCTTCCCAGCTGACATGTCCTGAACAGCTGATTTCGGACAGATAGATTTAACCCCCCCGTTTCCATGTCTGACCTGCTCAGGTTTTAACAAACCGAATCCTTCTCGGACCTGCGCTCCCCAATAACACAACATGTTCACCGCGAGGATGAAACCTTCAGACTCCAGCAGCGTCTCGCTGAATCCATGGACCGGTGAACGCGCATCAGGATTTCCCTCGAAATGAAAGTGATGTTTGTTATTCTTCCGCGTTTATGGTCGGATGGGAAAACGAAAGAAACCAAGGCGAATTTCCTCAACACCTCTGCCATGAAGATATTTTGAACGTTTTGTTTTCATGTCAATCGGGGTATTATATGGGATTTAACACTGTACAATACACAGTGTGTTAACTGGTTTTAACTGGATTTTAAACACAACAGTACAGCACGTCAACTATCTAAAGACTATTTGCGATACACTGCTATGTAGGCTAAAGTATTAGTAAATTCAGTTGTCAGTTTTAACGTCAAGTGACTAACGTGTTGGTTAACCAACAAACAAGTTAATTTCAAGTGGTTATACCATGTTGCCACATTGTAGCCACATTGTTTGCGGTCTTTTAAAGGGATAGTTCACCCAAAAATGAAAATCAGCTTGGATCATAAAGGCTGCATCCAGATACTGTTGGAAAATTCTGTCATTTGCTTTAGCCCCACTTGTTTGCCAAACGTTATGAATTTCTTTTTCTTGGACGAGTGCACAAAAAAAAGATATTCTGGATAATTTTGGGGGAAAACAACGTTGACTTTCTCCCCCATACTATATGTCAATGGCACACTTCTTAATTTTGCTAATCAGAATGTTAGCCTGAATTAACATCTATGTTGATCCTTGAACATCATTTTTGTTAGTAAGTGTAATCCATACATTTTCCCTAGCATAAATGTTAATCCAGGAACATTGAAATCAGGTTAGGGGTCAATTTCTATGGGTTTCCAACATTTTTCAATATATTCAATCATTCCTTTTCCTTCCGCTGTGTCTCTTCATTCATCAGGAGTCGCCACAGTGGAATGAACCGCCAACTTATCCAGCATATGTTTGACACAGTGGATGCCCTTCCAGCTGCAACCCAATACTGGGGAACACCAATACACACTCATTAACACACACACACACACACATGCACACAAACTACGGCCAATTTAGTTTATTCAATTCACCTTTATCTTACAAATATATTTGCATCCAATAGTAAAGGTTTGGAAGTGTTTGAGGGTGAATAAACAGAATAAATCTACATTTTTTGAGTGAACTATCCTTTAAAGACTACCTATTACGCAAAAATCACATTTAAAGGTGGATTAAACAGTTGTCTGGCAACAGTGTGTGAAAATAACCAGTTTCTAAAGGTAAAAAGTCATTAATTCTATTTTTTATAATCACACTTGACGAAAACAGTCTGCAGAAACACTTTGATTGACATTCTATCGTTTTACGTGTCATCAGAGAGGGAAAGCCCCGCCCTTTGGTAAAATCTTTCCCTCCTTAGCATAGACAGCTCTGAGTGAGATGCAGACTGTGCTGACCAGGGGTGCTGCTAGGGAGGTTGGGGATAGGGGAGTTAGTTAGTTCTTAATTTCCCCCAAGCTCTTCACTGTTGTTCGCTGCCACAATTTGGATCAAAGCCTAAAAGGGTCAGTTTCAAAGAGTTATAAAACATAATTTGTGTAATATTTTGTGCTGAAACTTCCTATAAGCACTCTAGGGACATCAGAGACTTATTTTACATCTTGTCAAAAGGGACAACAGATTGGTGAATACTGGCAGACAGGTGTAAACAATCACACAGAGACCCAGATCATCAACACACATCTATGTGGTGGGTTTTGCAGTAGATTTTACTCACAATGGTCAATTGGCGAGAGCAATAATTTGTCCTCAGACCTGAAAACACCTGTATGACTGCTGTGAGTGGATAATTATAAGCTGTAAGGATGATGGGAGTGAATAATGCTTCAGTCTGTCAGCTATGATTAATACTGCTGTCTGTACCAATGAGAGCGGGCAGCATTTACAATCTGTGCAAATATGCAAAAAACCCACAGATCAAGCCCAGACCCATACTAATATGTATTTGGGTTACCATTGTGCATTCCTACAAGAAATCTACATCAATAGAGCTGTAATGATGCCAAATTCATACTTTTCAACTTTCGGTTTTAATCAGACATGCTTGATTGCGTTAATAGTGAATATCAGCTTTACTTACTCCCAGGGCCGTTTATATTACAGTTGATAGCCGCACCATATTGGTGTTTTATAACATCTAGTTTTTATTAGGTGAGTCTATATATATATAGACCAACCAATGATCAAAACATGCCATCTCTGGACAGAAATTTAAAACATGGAGCAATCGCTCGCTTTTTTAATGTCTAATCATCTTGTTTAATCCTGCTCCTTTTCGCAGCGCCGCACAACAAAATTTTGCATTATCAAACTTTAGTTTAACCATAGCTTTAGAAGAATTCAGCTAAAATATAATACATTCTTCTTCTTCTTCTTCCTTGGCCTTAGTCCCGTATGATTGCGGGGTCGGATTTTTGGAACAAGTCCTCCATTTAGACTTGTCCATACTGTATGATAACGACTTTTTTACACCTTCCGGCCGGCCTGTCGTCTGGGCCTGTCACCCTCATACACTCATACACCTACGGACAATTTAGCCTACCCAATTCATCTGCAGCATGTCTTTGGACTGTGGGGGAAACCGGAGCACCCGAAGGAAGCCCACGCGAATGCAGGGAGAACATGCAAACTCTTCACAGAAATGCCAACAGAGCCGAGGTTTGAACCAGTGACCCAGCGACCTTCTTGCTGTGAGGCAACAGCACTACCTACTGCGCCACTGCTTCGCCCCTAAAATATAATACATTGAAATATAATTCATATATATATGAAATATAATACAAAACATAATACATCTCTTAAAATCTCAGCAGAGGATTGTTAAGCAACTTCACAAACAGCAGCTTTACTTATTGCCAGCCTGTTTGCCCTTATTTAAAGAGGGACCAAACACTGAGTAAATTTTGCTCAGAGGATTTTGCTGTGTTCTTTCTCTAACCCTATTTTAGGCTTAAGCTCGCTCAATACTGCACTTTTTTGCCACAGTAGTGCAGATTTTTGCATATAAACTTGATTTATATAAAGTCGCTTTTATAGCTAATGATTAAAAGACCTTAAGGAATCTGTTTATGAGCTCTGTTTGGCATGAAAACATGTGGGCCAAAAAACAACCCAACACTTGAACTTCCCCTGAAACCATATGTGTGCCTTGATTCATCAGCGATGAGTGCTCAGCGTCTGTCTGATGGCAGGAATGTTAACACTGCAAGAGTGGTCTTGCCTGGAATGAAAAGGCCTTAATATATTAAAAATCCATATATCATATGATTAGTTTACAGACGCACCAAACGCTCACATTTTTAAAGTATGGTTCTTGTAAAATAAAACATCACAACAACAATCCTCATAGTTTTCTTTGGAATGTGAATATGCAAACCTTTAATAACACGCCATGTCAACCAGCTGGTGAAGACAGGTTTGACTTGACAATTACCAGTCAATTATGAGAATAAAAGTCTCTAAGGGCTATTTTAAGCTGAGACTGCCCAATGCAAAGCACTTGATGTTGTTTGTAGTGATTTGGCACACTATAGTGTGAGAATTGTGATGACAGCCGTGCAATGTTGGCACCAGAATCGACGCTGAATTCCTGTTTTATTATACTCAAAGTTGGAATCAATGGCTCTGGCACTAATCAAGCTCTCTTTGCTATTAAATATTACACCCAGAGGCAAAATACAGACTGCTGGCATGTTTAATGTGTTGCTGTTACAGTTGTTGTTACTGCTTTTACCTTTTTACCAACTGTTTTACAATCAAAGACTATACACACACTTACATTTTGATAGACCAACAGGGATTTTAACTATATAAATAAGTGTAATACTTCCTAAAATTTAATTTTTATCCATATTCACTGTATAGTTAGATTAGCATTGTCACCTCAAAGCAAGAAGGTCGCAGGTTCAAGTCCCTAGCCAGTTGGCATTTCAGTGCATGTTCTCACCATGTTGGTGTGGGTTTCCTCCGGGTGCTCCGGTTTCCCCCACATTCCAAAGACTTGCGGTATAGGTGAATTGGGTAAGCTAAAATTGTCCGTAGTGTATGTGTGTGAATGAGAGTGTATGGGTGTTTCCCAGAGATGGGTTGCAGCTGGAAGGACATCCGCTGTATAAACATGTGCTGGATAAGTTGGTGGTTCAATCCTTTGTGGCAACCCCAGATTAATAATGGGACTAAGCCGAAAAGAAAATGAATGAATGAACATGAGGGTAATTCTTCCTTCTTTCTGTTTACTGAACTAGTCTGCAGTGGCAAAAACAGGAGACTCATTAGATACAGATCGCCATCTCCCGTTTTAAGACTTCAAGATGAGTCCCTCCCACTCAACATAATTACAATGGTATAAATACAGCACTACAACATACAAAAGAAAGAAATCGACTTAGAAAGTCACTTGTTTAATAATGATTTGATCAGCTGTTTAAAATTACGCTTGGTTTTTCCCAGGGCTTATTATGCGGTCTCTGTCGCCATCTTGTGGATGGACAATGTCAACCGTCTTTGTTGACAGGTTAATGGCCGCCGACACACTGTCCCTCAGATTTATAATGATTTAAAAAAGGCACTATCCTTATAAATAAACTGCATATTTGCAATCTAAACAACTACTTTCTCGACATGATGAAGTACATTATGTTGTCCAACAGCTGTTAAACTGCAGATAGTCCTCCACTTGTCGCTCTATGTGGGCGGAGTAATACACAAGGGTGAAGAGTCAAGTCAAGTGCTGTTACTTCCAGAATATCAGCCAATCAGATTCAAGGACTAGACAGAACTGGTGTATAAATATATATATATATATATATATATATATATATATATATATATATATATATCACTTTTGTAGAAATTTATGCAGAGACATCATACACTGGCACAAGTTATACCGTCTGTAATATATTTATTACAGTCTTTGATTTATTTACTTGCAGCAATTATTATATGATGTACCTAACAGGAATTATTGCTGCTTATTACTGATATTTTTGTGCAATATTTTGATCAGGGTTTTTGCAAGTCAAATTTAACACTTTTAAGACTCTTATTAGACCATTGAGAATTAAATTTTAGACTTATACAGGGTTAAAGACTTTTTCTAATGGCCCGGTATTATCATGAGGAATCATCTAATTATTTTCAGTTTTCTTTCCCTGATTAGGAAATTCAATTTGGGGATTTTGCTTTAAAAAATATCTAACAGCTGTTGTGAATTGTATCTCTGCAATAAAAACATTTATATTATTAAATAAAAGGTTTTATTAAGATGTATTGTTGGTCATTGGATGGATGTCGGTCCGATTAAGCTTTACTTTACTTTAGCTGTTTAAAATGATTTAAGACCTACAACACCGCATTTCAGTGAAGAGAATTTATTATAATACATAAAATCTACTGAATTGGCCTCACGCTGACCCTAACCCATTAATGGCAAATGTGTGATGAGTCTGATGATCATGTTTTATGTTCATCTCAGTTTTCATCTTTTCACAGTAAAAATGAGTCGAGGTCAAGGTTAGTACTTTGCCTTAACATGACTGTTTCTGTGAAAATGTTCTACCCCGTGGCCGAGGGGGATTTCAGTTATAAATTTAGCTTGTCATGCCTTTACAGTAAATCAAGCACTGTAGAACTGGTTTGCCAAAAAGTAAAGGTAAAGTGGCTATTGTATACAAGAAAACTGGCATGTCAACACAATCTCACAGCAATTCATATTTTTTTTATTTTTTGGCTAATTCGTATGAATTCGTACAATCTGATTCATACAATTTAGTACGATTTGCGTATCCCCCAATAACGGTAGGGTTTAGCGGTGGGGTTAGGTGCTACACCTCCTTTTTAAAATCGTACAATTTCATACGACTGAACTTGTACGAATTCATACAAATTAGCCACTAAACTGGCGAAATGTAAAATACTTACGTTTTCTCGTGAGATCAGGCTGGAAATAACCTCATGGCATGGAAGTTAAGACATACTCTAAATGTATGTTGCTCTTTAATAAAGAGATGCTGTTTTCACAACGAAAGAAAATATTGAAAGAGCTGTTGATTGAAGCTTTCAATATAGTTTGCTTACTCAGGCCTCTGGGCGCTGAGGAAAGTTGACATCTTTACCTGTCTAAGGCATGTTTAAACATACTGCATTATCCAGCAACTGCACAGAAACACAGTCGAGATTTTCAAGACATATTTTTAAAGTAAACTATTCGGGAGAACAGAAAAAAAACACTTTTCATGCTTGATGATAATATGAGAGATATCTTGTCTTACTGGGCGTCACAGTGGCGCAGTGGGTAGCATGATCCCCTCACAGCAAAAAGGAGCCTCGGCTAGGTCAGTTGGCATTTCTGTGTGGAGTGTGCCTGTTCTCCCCATGCAGAGATGTATAGTAACAGTAGAACTACTTAACCACTGTACTTGAGTACTAAAAGGCTGTATCTGTACTCTACTAGAGCATTGTTTTTTCTCCTACTTCCACTTTTACTTCAGTACATATTTCCGATGAGTTTAACACTTTTACTCTGATAGATTTTGTTATGTGCAGCATTGTTACTCGTTACAATTATAACAATTTGACGAATCATTCCAAACCCGCATTATCACTGCCAGAGCAGCAGATGGCTCTAGTTTGAATAAGCTGGCTCGTCATCATTCAGATGATAACAGAAGACAGCACTGCATATGCATTGACAGCACTTTAGTTTGTTTTCGACATGAAAAACCCAGAAATTCCACCTTCAACTTTCAACTGTTCATGGCGATGAGGAAAATGACCTCCCGTGGCCCTATTTAGAGTCCATGTTTGCATTTGTTGGAGTGAAAGACAATTCATATAGATTAAAGTGGCCTTCAAAACTGTCGAATTTGAAGAAACGAATCAAGTTAAATATTATAATACACAAAACACAGCAGTTTGAGCTATCCATAAGCGCTAGATAAGTTAACTAACGCTAGCTACCATGACACGCTGAGATGTTTACTTAACTATCTCGCTATCATAAAGGCTGTGTCATGCTGAATGGTGTTATTAATATTAAACCATGTTTCTTTTCGTTCTGCTTAACCACGATAACTGCTTTTTAAAATAACTACATAACACGATACTCTTACTTTCAGTATTTAAGTAGTCAATTTTAGGGTCCCTCTTTATATTTTGTCCTTAACTAATATGTACTTACATAGGAACTAATAGTTTGTTACAATCTACTTATTGTGTAAATACATGTATTTACTGTGTACTTATGCTTGATTAAATACATGTAATTACATCTGTTAATAACTTCTGTAATTACATTTCTAAATACACTGTTGATCATCCCTTACACCTTAACCCACCCTTAAACCTACCTATGCCACCAAACCTGTCCATAACCCAACCTCTATCCCAACTCAAAAGCACCACAAGTGTTCTCAAAAACATTATGAACGCAGTAAGTACATTTTATTTATTTTTTTTATGTAAGTACATAGTAGTTAAGGACACTTAATATAAAGTGGGACCAATTTTAGTATAAACTACTAAAAAATGTTCAATATTTTAGTACTTCCACTGAAGTATGGTACTTGAAGAGCACTTCAACTTCTACTCAAGTCAATTTGTTAATAGAGCACTTGAACTTTTACAGGGCTCAACAATAAGGACTGCCCGGTGGCCCAGGGCTAGCGTGAGAGACACTTGGGACAGTAGTCAGGATCATTACTGGCCCGATTAGGACAGTGGTGCCTAGTCATTAAAGTTTAATTTGACTGCCACTTTTTGTCAATTGCGTGCATTTTAAGTTTGTGCTTTTAAGTCTTTAAATGCTATCCTCTCTGTGATGTCGTAGATACTATATTGCTTTTCGGTTCGTCCGTGATGTTTTGAGCATGCTGTTTTCCCCATAACCTAAGCTGCGTCTCAAATGGCACACTATGCACTATTATGCACTTACTCAACAGTATAGTATATGTATGTAGTGGCGTCCCAAATGGCACACAGTTTTTTTACTAAGCGGAAATTCAAACCGTTTCCCTGATGATGTTTGATGTTTTGTTTGCATAACACTAAGAATTTTGCTCATTAACCATTTATTAACTTTTGAAATGCTAGACTTACAGACGTTATTTTTGACATTATTTAAAATATTTGGCAAAAAAAAGTGTTACCTTCTCTTTTTTTCTTCTTCTTTTGGTGGGGCCAGTAAAAATTTTTGCAGGGCAAGTAAAAACCTAAACCACTGGCCCGAATGGATCAGTAGAAAAAAATCCTTAGTGTTGAACCCTGTTTTACTTAAGTCTGGGTCTTTAGTACTTTATACATCTCTGTCCCCATGTTGGTGTGGGTTTCCTCCGGGTGCTCAGGTTTCCCTCCACAACTCCAGAGACATGACGGCACAGGTGAATTGGGTAAGCTAAATTGTCCGTAGTGTATGAGTGTGTATGGATGTTTCCCAGTGATAGGTTGCGGCTGAAATGGCATCCTCTGCGTAAAACATGTGCTGGATAAGTTGGCGATTCATTCCGCTGTGGCGACACCAGATTAATAAATGGACTAAGCTGAAAATGAATGAATTAATCTTGTCGTACCATTCATATTTACCTTCTTTGCACAGATTTTATGTATCTCTGCAATATTTTTCTTATTATTTATTAATTCATTAATTCATTTTCCTTTAGCAGTCACGTATTTAATAGGAGTTGCCACAGCGGAATGAACCGCCAATTATTCCAGCTTACGTTTTACGCAATGGATGCCCTTCCAGCCTCAATTCAGAACTGGGAAACACCCATACACTCTCACATACACACATGGACATACAATGGGGGTCAATGTAGCTTACCCAATTTACCTATACAGCATGTTTTTGGATTTGTGAAGGAAACGGGAGCACCCAGAGGACACTCAACATGGGGAAAACATGCAAACTCCACACAGAGATGCCAAATGACCCAGACGGGATTCGAACCAGTGATCTTCTTCCTGTGAGGTGACAATGCTAACCACTGAGGCACCCTATACTTTAGGACAAGGCAATAAATAATATATAAAGATTTAGATGCACTGATGAAATGACTCTATGGTGACTCACTAAAGGTATGCTGCTTCATTCTTCACACCTGCTCAAATACAAAAAAAAAAACAAAAAAAAAAACGCAGATATATGATCCCACTGGATGGCAGGTGTGTGTCTGAGATCCCCTATCAAGGAAACTATATATCTACACTCAGAAATAAAGGTACGTGAGCTGTCACATACTTTTGAAATGTACATATTTGTACTTAAAGGGTTCTTATTAATACCTTAAGTGTACATATTAGTACCTAAGAAGTACAAGAGAGTAACTCTTAAAATGTTTAGGTATTAATACATACATTTGAGGTACCAGTATGGAACCTTTAAGTACTAATATGTACCTTTCGAAAAGGTACCCCCCCCTAGTCACAGTGACAGCTCTCGTACCTTTATTTCTGAGAGTATATAGAAGGCATTAAGCAAACTCAAAACCACCAACTTCCAACAAAGTCATTTTCAGGCTTTGATTTATTTACTAAACTCGCAACATTTCTCAGGCCAAGCTCTGACCCACACAATCAGCTTTAGCTTGGCCCACATGCCGCAGTGAATTACGGTACATGATTGGACCAAGTCTGGCTTCGGTAAATATTGCTTTGGTAAATATAATTTTGTAAATATTTGAAAGGCTATAAAAGGTTGACTTCAACTGTATATCATTTTTATGATTTAACATCATTTTTATGATTTAACATCATTTTTATGATTTAACATTTTATGATTTAACATCTTTTAACTCCTTTATAGAAATCTAATAATACAAATGGTGATGAATTTAAACAGACATCATGATATTCTCATTGCTAATAAATGGATCTCCATGTAATCCACTCTACATACGGGATGCCACTCTTTTAAACTGCATTTTCATAACCCACATATCCCCAAGTCATACTTAAAAATATAAATTCCACTTAAAGTACTTTCTCCCAGGCCATTTAAGTGGGCCGTAATGATTTCTGTTCTTTGTTTTGACAAATAAAAACTGCCTTTAGGGTACCCTTATGTGACAGCCCCCCCTGTCTTGTCAAAACTCGCCTGTAAGTGGCTCTAGGACAGAAAAAAAACTGATGCATTGCATGTAAAGCTGTAAAAAGCATGCATACCGGGTCCTGGATTACTCATCACATGTGAACGTTCCTGCTCTCAAATATAATCTCTTTTTGGGGGCACAACTTTATACAGAAGAGCTCAAGAAGAAGTAGAAGAAACTCATTTCTCTTAAATAAGAGGGCAGGTGAGTTTTTAACATGCTCTTTTCAGATGTTATGCAATACCGAGAGGCTTAAGAATCAGCATTTCTAGTTTTACCATTGTAATTGCATTGGTTTGAATTGCGTCTTCAGATATAAGGTCATGTTTGTGTGTTCACTGAAAAGTTTGGCGGTTCTGGGAACATCCAAACTGCTCATTAATAATAAAAAAAACACTGGCAATGAAAGGGTGAAATGTTTGGCACGTTGTCAGGTTTCAAACTGGAATATTCAAGGAAACAAATGTTTAGTAATTAATCTAAATAGAATAAAATATATGTTTATATTTTCCCCTTATTTCTGTTTAATGGAAAGAAGATGGGGAAGACTTTATTTTGATTGTCGTTATGGCACATTTTGTCGACTAAAAGTTTCATTGCAACTAAGTGCATAGATTTTGATGGGGACATCCATCCCTATAGAGTGCTTGTATTAAGCAGCACAAATTCTGTTTAGTGATTTTAAAAACACGAATAAAGGCTTTAAACACTTAATAACACAAAAAACAATTATTGAAGCATGATTTACATGATTTTACTGCAATCTGGCTTTGAGGAGGTATGAATGTACAGAAATTTAGAGAGGCATGTGATGCAATTAAACTGTTTTATCCCTATTATCTATTATATACTGTATGTTAACCCTTTGAGCACATCTACAGTTGAAATCTGAATTATTAACCCCCCCCCCTGAATTTTTAGCCCCATCTTTTCCCCCAATTTCTGTTTCACGAAGAGAAGATTTTTTCAACACATTTCTAAACATAATAGTTTTTATAGCTCATCTCTAATAACTGATGTATTTTATTTTTGCCATGATGACAGTAAATAATATTTGACTAGATATTTTTCAAGACACTTCTATACAGCTTAAAGTGACATTTAAAGGCTAAAGTAGATTAATTAGGTTAACTAGGCAGGTTAGGGTAATTAGGCAAGTTATTGTATAACGATGGTTTGTTCTGTAGACCAATGAAAAATGAAGGGGCTAATAATTTTTACCTTAAAATGTTTTTTTTTTTTTTATTAAAAACTGCTTTTATTCTGGCCAAAATAAAACGTTCTCCAGAAGAAAAATATGATCAGATATACTGTGAAAATTCCCTTGCTCTGTTAAACATCATTAGGCAAATATGAAATATTGGGGAAAAAAAGGAATAAAATTTTTTATATATACACACTGTAAAACCCAGCAGTCAACTTAATCAAATGAAATGAGTGTAGTTAACTTAAAATTGACTGTAAGTTATTTCCACTCATTTGAAAAGAGTTTTGAACTCAGTGTTGAAGGTAATGAGTTAATTAAATACCTCATTACTTCAGCTTAAATTGAGTATGTTCACAGTACTCATATAGATTAGTTTAACTTAAATGGTTTGTAGCAATCGGTTCCTTTAAATGGTTTGACTTGCCTGAACTTTTTGGGTTTTACAGTACTCAGTTGTTTTGAGTTCCCTTCATTTATCAGATTTTACTGTGCTCAAATTGCTTTGTTTACTTAAATGGATTAAGTTCAAAGTTTTCAATTGGATTACTTTTAAAACTTTAATAGTTTGTTGCAATCAGTTTCCCTTAAACCGTTGGATTTACAATATATATATATATCATTTTATTTAATAAAATTTAATTTACTAAAATTATTCTGTTCATTAAGGCGACATTTGTAAATAAGTCTTGTAAATAATGTAAATAATGTAATGAGACAATGTAAATAAGTCTTAAATACTTATTTATTAAATATTAATTTATTACTTATTGTATAAAGTTTCAAATAAAATGATTACTCCAGTCATTTAAGCTTTTATTACTATTACTACTACTACTACTACTACTACTACTACTACTACTAATAATAATAATAACAACAATAATAATAATAAAATAATAATAATAATAATAAATATAATTTCTGAAAGATCATGTGACTCTGAAGACTGACATAATAAAGCTGAAACTTAATTGTTAAAATCACTGGAATAAATTATTAAATGTAATTATTAACAACTTTTAAACAGTTTTTTATAGTGCAATAACATTTCACAGTTTCACTATTTTACTGTTTTTTTGATTAAATAAATGCAGCCTTGGTACACTGAAAACAATTATGTCTGCAAAATTATTTTATATGTGTTGAATTTAAACAAACAAATTCAATTCAATTAAATTTGTTTGTTTAAATTCAGCCCAAATAAATATTTTACAACCACTTAACATAGTGAATTATTAAAATTAAGTAAATCCAAGGAATCATCTTTGAATATTTTTTTTCTGTGTGAGCAGGAGAAGCTTATTTTAAAACATTTCAAAACCCTACTGACCCCGAACTTATGCCCGGTAGTGTGTGTGTGTGTGCGTGTGTGCGTGTGTGTGTGTGTGTGTGTGTGTGTGTGTGTGTGTGTGTGTGTGTATATATAACTTTTGTACTGTAACTTTTGTCATTAACACACTGAAAAAATCGTGTCCATAAAGGAAAATTCCCTTTAAGTACTGATTGTAATGTGTGTATTGTCTTTAGATGTATAATTTATGTTCAAAACATGACAGATGAAAAATGTCAGGAAACCACAAAGGCATTATACAGTAGAACAGGTACACACACACACACACACACACACACACACACACACACACGTACATAAACACCAATCATGTGTTTGCGGTGAGGGTTTAGCAGCTGTAATTTAGTTGTATAACAGATCCACTCACTTTGTTGTTTATCTGTGGTTCATTTTAGGATGTTGTAACTTAAAGTAAATCTCCTGAAAGTGAATAAATGACAGGTGGACAAATGATTAGCGTTTACAGCGGTAATGATGGCTATTACACAGCAATGGTGGTGACAAACATTGCTTTGAGTAGGTGACAATAACAGGGGTGTCAAAGGTCTGAACTGGTGACAGACGAATGTCTGGATAGACGGGTGAGCATGCAAATGGACTAAATGGAATGCAGCACTACTGTATGCCTGCTTGTGGAAATTATATTTAATATAGTGTATTGTTTTAAAATTATCAGTTTTTGATAATGCTTTTAATATAATACCATTGCTAGACATGGGGCTTATACATATATTTATTTATTTATTTGTTTATTTATTTATTTATTTGAATTATTAATTTAATATTATTATTATTATTAATATTAATAATAATAATAATAATAATAATAATAATAATAATAATAATATACTTTGATGGATGTATTATTATTATTATTATTATTAATGATATTAATAATTAGTTAATTAATTAATTAATTATTATTATTAATAATCATAAGGATAAAAGTAATATATAACAATAATAATAGTAATATTGATAGTAATAATATTTATTATTATAAGAATAATATTAATAATAATATAATAATTATAGCAATAATATTTATTTATTTGGTGGATTTATTTATTTGTTATAATATATATATATATATATATATATATATATATATATATATATATATATATATATATATAAATTAATAATATATAAATAATATATATAAAATATTATTATTATTATTTATTTATTTATATATTAGATTTTTTTAAAATGTAGAATTTAAAACGATAGTTCACCCCAAAATTAAAATGTACTCACTCTCTAATATTTCCAAACTTAGTAATTATATTTAATTATTTATTAGATATTTTAATAATAATTCTACTGGACATCAGATTGATTGATTGATTGATTGATTGATTGATTGATTGATTGATTGATTGATTGATTGATTGATTGATTGATTGATTGATTTTATTATTATTGTATTTATTTATTATTATGTATTTATTTCATTTTAAACATTTAATATTTACAGTATACATGTAGCTCACCCAAAAATGGCAATTTACTCACTATTTACTCCCCTTCAAGTGGTTTCAAACCTTGATGAGTTTCTTTTCTTCTGTTGAACACAAAAGAAGATATTTTGAAGAATGCTGAAAACCTGTAACCATTGACTTCCGTTGTGGGAAAAACAAATACTATGGAATTAAATGTTTCTTCAACATATCTGCTTTTGTGGTCAACATCGACTTATCAAGGTTTGAAACAAATAAAGTGTGAGCAAATGATGACAGAATTTTAATTTTTAGGTGAACCCTGCCTTTAACAAAAATCATTGGGGTGTAAAACCTTCAAAATTCAAGAAGTGAAGTCTTTTAACTTTTAAGTATATTCAATACAGCTATAAAATAAAAAATCTGACCACTTTTCGCAGTGAACACAAAAGTAATTGCATTCAGATGCTCCGTGCAGTCTGGTATTAAGTGTGAGGTGAGGAAAGTTTAGCTGCTGCCTTCAGGAGAACTTCAGGTTTAAACTTGTTAGCTCCAGATGTGTTTAAAACGGCTTGAAAACGAAGCTGCAAAGTCTTTTTTTTATGAGGGGAGCTGGGATTGAACTTGAACTGAAAAAACATCAGTGTACTGATACAGCAGATTACCTGACATGAGACGGTAAATCACAAGTGGTAAGAGTCAATTTGTTCTAGAGGTTGTAGAGTGTGCAATTGGTATTTATTACATTTTGTAGCTTCAGAAATATGATATTCTGATACATCTGTTTGTACATCTGTAATTAAGAAATTTTGCAGTTCTCTGTATTTTTGCAACCGATTAATTGAATTAATATCCTTACAAAAAATATTTTGGCAGTATAAAGTTGAGAGTTTTTGTTTTTTTTAGCTATTTTGTTAAAAAATGCATTGCTTAAGTGTTTGCATTGTTCTTTTCTTATGTTGTTTTTCTAAATGCCTGGATAACGAAAAATAAGCAAAAAATGCTGGTGTATTAGGTATTAACTGAAGGTCTTGACTAGATTATCTATTTTAAGCAAAATGACAGTGTGGCGTATTGTAAAAGCATATGAAACAAGAAAAAATCATGATCCAAGATAAAATGATGATAATAATAATAATAAAATAATTGCTATATTTAAAAGTTGATGATTTAATAGAAAATGATTCTGCCCTCATAGAATGTGACTGTGCTCCATTATTGTAAACATTTAGAATAAAGTCCCAAGACGTACTTTTCTTGAAAATGATCCTTTACAGTAAATTCACTAATCAAATGCGATTATTCAGTTTGATGACGGTCAGCATTATTGTATGTTTAATTGAAAATCTCTGCTTGACGGTGGCTGGTTTTGGAAGAAGTATTGAACAAGTGCTGGTTGTCTTTTAACCTTTACATGTATTCTTTGAAAATAATGTTGATTAGGTTGATGTTGATTATTTTATCATATTGATGACTGACTTGCTTTATAAATGTAAAGTAAATGAGTAAAAAAAGGAAATAAAAGGAGTTAATCTCTGTTTTGCAGTGGTTAACATGGAATGGACAAGCTAACAACAACCAAGATTGTTAAAGTTGAGGGGGGATCTGGAGGATCTGGAAAAGGTGAGTGCAAAATAAATTAATAAATAAATAAATAAACAAAATAATATATATATATATATATATATATATATATATATATATATATATATATATATATATATATATATATATATATAATATTATATTTTTATTATTTTAATTATATATATATTTTAATTATTTAATTTTTTTAAAGTGTTTGCATTTATTCATTTAGTAGACACATAAAGCTACTTAAAGTTATAAAAAATAAGGAAATATATATATATTGTATAGAATATATTATGTATGCTATATTGTAATATATATATATATATATAATATATCTTATTCAAAAGAACTTTTTTTAATAAATGTTCTAAAAGTTTTAAAGACTTTAATGATTTATGCTAATAAAGATGACTTATATTTACAGAGTGTACAGATATATACAGTTAAAGACAAAATTATATTTAAAAATATAATAAATAGATTTTTTTTATAAATAAATTTTTATAACTTTTCAACTATTTTCCTGAAAACAAAAACAAATCGCACCATGAACATCTTGCATCTTATTGCTCTGGGTGTATGATAGGGCCATCCCTGTATGTTTTAAAATCAATCAATCTCCTTTCTGTTAAGCAGCACTTGGGAACCATTTGAACAAGAATACAAATTTCACAAGAGGGCTAATAAATGTGTTGTCATCTTCAACTGTACTAGCTGCGAAATTAAAATTAATTTGTTCTTTTGATGTAAAAAAAATCACAGAAATCCAGAAACATACAGAAACTGTGACGACTACAAGACTGACATCTCTACCGCCAAGTAGGTTTACCTGCAGCTTCTAACAATAACAGCAGTTGTAATTGACTATCCTGTAATCCTTTTAAAAAAGTCAGTAAACCCATAGACTTACCTTTTATAATTACTCTCATAGTTTGTTTACTTATTAATTAAATGCAACAAGTTTGCTCTCTTTTTTCAAGTAAAGTCAACTAATGGCTTTTTACAGTGTGTTGAATGTGATGTGGTGTGTCCCTACAGAAGCCCACAGCGGCCAGCAGATACTGACCTCCATCGGGAACGGCTCAGGATCTGCAGGAGGAGCTGTTTTGCTGGAGAAGAAGTTCATCACTCACAGCAGCGCTGAAGGAGGAGCTTCCAGGAGTTATGTCATATCATGTGAGTCCACCAATTATCCAGCTTAATGTGCGATTAGATGACTGCTGAAATGATCATATTATAAAATGCATGAATATTTAAAACTTTTGAAAATGATTTATTTACAAAGCAGACTGTGTATTTTGGAATGCAAATGTTTAATTGTATGTATACACACACACACAGACACGCACACACACACACACACACACACACACACACACACAAACACACACAGTTGAAGTCAGAATTATTAGCTTCCTGAATTATTTTTTCCCCAATTTCTGTTTAAATAATAGTTTGAATAACTCATTTCTAATAACTGATTTATTTTATCTTTATCATAATGACAGTAAATAATATTTGACTAGATATTTTTGAAGACACTTCTATACAGCCTAAAGTGACATTTAAAAGCTTAACTAGGTTAATTAGTTTAATAAGCAGGTTAGGGTAGTTAGGCAAGTTATTGTATAACGATGGTTTGTTCTGTAGACTATCGAAAAATGTATAGCTTAAAGGGACTAATAATTATGACCTTAAAATGCATTTAAAAAAATTAAAAACTGCTTTTATTCTAGCCGAAATAAAACAATAAGACTTTCTCCAGAAGAAAAAATATTATCAGACATACTGTAAAAATTTCCTTGCTCTGTAAAACTTCATTTGGGAAATATTAAAAAAAAAAAAAAAAAAACAATTCAAAGGGGGGCTAATAATTCTGACTTCAACTATATATATGTGTGTGTGTGAGAGATACTAAAGACTGAAGTAATCAAGCTGAAAATAACAAACAAGGCATTTATATATTTTTTATTACAATTTTGAACAAATGATCAAATAAATGCAGCCTTGATCAGCAGATAAAAACAATATATATGTATATTTCTGTATGCTTGTGTGGGTGGGTGAGTGTGTTATTGCGTGGTTGTTTTTTTTTAGGATATACATAAAAATTATATGCTGTCTTTAAATTTTATTATATATACATATATACCATTTACATCGTATTTATGCTTACTAATATTTATAATTAGTAATATATGGTAATATATTTAAAATTAGTAATTTTTTTGTAATTTTTTATAATTTTAGTACTAAAAAGTTTTAAATGTTTAGTTACATCCCAGAAAACCAAACCAGAAAGCAAAATTTCCAAGCTGAAATAAATACCTCCTATACTTGCTGAAACAAAATAAGTGTTGATGAGATTTTCTTTTTATTTCTGTTGCTGTTTCTTTAAATAAAAGTAGCAAATTAAATGAAAAGTAGCACACGTAATTAAAAAGAACACATTTTACAATAAAATTTAATTATTTTAATCACTGAGCTTCTTGATTCTCTGCAGCCTCCTCATTTGGAGATTCGAAAATGTATCTATAATAAGTAATATAATTAGTAGCATACTTAAAATTGGTACTATTTCAAATTGATTTAGTAATTTTAGTACAAAATAATTTAGTTTGTTTTCTACATCCCAGTTAACCAAATTACAATATCTCATATACTAGCTAAAATATACTAGCAAGTGTTGATTAGATTTTGATTTTATTTCTGTCGCTGTTTCTTTAATTAAAAGCATTCAATTAAATTATATTTACAACATTTTAATTAACTTAATTAAAAATAACACATTTTATGGCTTTAAATTATTTTAAAATACTGAGCTTCTTGCTTCTCTGCAGCCTCCTCATCTGGAAGTTCGGAAATTACATTTTGTAATTGAATTTCATTGTATTGTTACATATATTTACCATTTACATCATGTGCATACCTAGCAATATCAATAACTAGCAATATAATTAGTAACATATTTAAAATTGTTATTATGTTTGTTTGATGTAGTAATATTTGTACTAAATAATTCAGTTTGGTTTCCCAGCACTGGGTTGCAGCTGGAAGGGCATCGGCTGTGTAAAACATATGCTGGATAAGTTGGCCAGTCATTCTACTGTGGCGACCCCAGATAAATAAAGCGACCAAGCCGAAGGATATGAATGCATTTAGTTTGTTTTCTACATCACAGTGAACCGAATATATTCCTAGCTGAAATAAAATGTGTCGATTAGATTTTCTTTTATTTCTGTTGCCGTTTCTTTCATTAAAACTATTAAATCAAATTAAATTAAAAGTGACGTAATTAAAAGTAAAACATTTGTACAGTTTTAATTAATTTTAAGAACTGAACATCTCTGCAGCCTCCTCATCTGGAAGTTCAGCCAGCAGCAGCTCAGGAGCAGGATCTGTGATCAGTGGATTTGACGGTATATCTGGCGAAATCAGTGTAACCGGACCGATCACTAGCTCTACGGTTAAAAGCTCTACATCTGCAGTTAAAAGCTCTAGCGTGGTCTCTACCTCCATCACATCCTCGTCAGCCGCAGGCGGAGAGCTTTCCTCTGGATACGGCTCCATCTCCTCATCCTCCTCCGAGTTCGTGTCTGGTTCCTCAGGAGGATCCATCAGTACTTCTGAAGGCAGCATGAGTAAATCTAGAAGCGGTGGAGGATCATCTGCAGTCATGTCTGGCGAAGGAACATCCAGCTCCAAGACTGTGTCCAAATTCAGCTCCTCGTCCCCTAGTGGAACAAGGAAAGGTTTGAGTTACAGCACAGTTCCTACTGAGAGGAAGACCATTATGAACATTACCACAGGAGGATATGAGGGTAAGATCATGACCTCTGACCTGTGGTTCATGTAGAGTTCAAGAGAATTTCACATTGTAATGTTTATATTAATTTTCACCACACTGAAATCTGCTAGATCAGGGGTCACCAACATGGCCTGTTCTAAAACTAGCTCACCATAGCACCACATACGAGTAAGCCGCATCTAATATTTTTATAGGTATTCTTTTTAAATCACACTTGCATTGGTGTAAATTTGAAAATTACTTTAAGTTATAAATTAAAAAAAAGCTTTAAAAACTATTTCAGACAAATGAAGTGTTGCATATTGATATTTTTCTAACTTGTTAAATCATTGTTGACAACTACTGTGAGAAATCATTAACATGATCAATGTCTTCACATAGATGAATATTATTAATTATTAATAATAACATATAATTAAAAGTAAATGAAGGAAAATTTGTTATTTAATAACTGGTAGCCCTTCACACAAATCGGTACTCAAGAAGTAGCTCTCAGTTTCCAAAAGGTTGGTGACCCCTGTGCTAGATGGTAATGCAAGTTACATATATGGCATCAGTTGAAGTCAGAATGTGCAGTTATTTGTTCTCCAACTGCTGGAATCATAAATATGTGCATAATACACTACCTGTGACAAATGTTTTGATGCTTATCAATGTATTAGAAGCAACAAACAATAACTTGACTTCTAGTTGATCATTTGGTATCAGAAGTGCCTTTTAATTATTTAATTAGCACAGTAAGGTCTGACTTTGCTTAGACAAAAGTCCTGTCACTTAACAGAAATAATGTACAGTATAGAATATAAAGTCATGCTGAAGTGGAGAAAGAATGAATATTGTGTATGACTCCCATGAGCTTGGAGGACTGCATCCATACATCTCTGCAATGACTCAAATCACTTATTTATAAAGTCATCTGGAATGGCAAAGAAAGCGTTCCTGCAGGACTCCCAGAGTTTGGATTCATCTTTAAAGGCTTCTCCTTCATCTTACCCCAGACATGCTCAATAATGTTCATGTCTGATGACTGGGCTGGCCAATCCTGGAGCATCTTGACCTTCTTTGCTTTCAGGAATTTTGATGTGGAGGCTGAAGTATGAGAAGGAGTGCTATCCTGCTGAAGAATTTGCCCTCTCCTGTGATTTTAATGTAATGGGCAGCACAAATGTCTTGATACCTCAGGCTGTTGTTGTTGCCATCCACTCTGCAGATCTCTCGCACGCCCCCATACTGAATGTAACCCCATTTACCAAACTTGACTGATTTCTGTGAGAATCTTGGGTCCATGTGGGTTCCGGTAGGTCTTCTGCAGTATTTGTGATGATTGGGATGCAGTTCAACACATGATTCATCTGAGAAATCTTCTGCCACTTTTCCAAATGATCAACTAGAAGTCAAGTTATTATTTTTTGCTCTTACAACTAAGATCAACGACAAGACTTTTGTTAGGTAGTGTATATGTTTAAATATCAGCTTGAATTTTATATATGTTCATATATGGCCACATACTAAAAAATATTAATATATATATAAAATATATTTGAACATATTTGTAATTCCAATTTTTGTAAACAAAATATACGTCAGCAGGCATTTTTGCAATCTTTTGAAAAATATCTAAATATGGCATATTTTATATATGTCAAATCTAAACTTATATCTCCTTGTGTCAGATTTCTATATGGGTCATGAATCATGTTTTTTGATAACTTTTCAATGAGAACAATATTTAGGAATATGATTACAAATTATACTTTTGCAAATAAACTCTTCCTTTGTTTTAATAATCTGTGACATTACAGTATATTAATTTGATGTAATGAGCGATGTGGTTATTTTTTTAGGGAGCTCCAGTGGCAATTCCTCCCCTGAGTACATAAAGAAAGAGTACGGTATGTTTGGTATTTTGTTTCTGAAGTAACTTCGCTAATAAAAATACACTTTTCATTACTTGCAGTATTAATATTATTATTATTATTGTTATTATTATTATTATTATTATTATTGTTATGATTATTATTATAGTTATTATTACATTAATAAACCAGAAGCCATTTTCCTATCTCAGTTGACTTAGACGATGTTTATTTTTATGAACTTTGATGTTTGGGTGGGACTTATTTAAAAGTTTTGTTATTTAGAAAAGTAGCTAAGAGCTTTATAAGCGATATATTTGTGAATGCTTCGCTCTGTTTATATTATGCTTTAGGTAGAAGGCCGTGTTGCCAAATTGGGTGGTTTCCTACCTAATTGTATAGCATTGAATTTGATTGTGCAGGTATTGGCGGGCTGAAAAAATCGGGGCAGTTTTGAAACATAAATTTTATATCCAACTTATTTAACAAAACATAACTGTGTACTCCTACTCCATTCAGTTATTAGTGGCTGCCATTGCATAGCGCAAACCGCATGGGCCCACCCTGCACGAGGTGGTAAAGGAAAACTCACAGGTTTATCATGACACTTTTATCGATCATTTTTTTCCACAATTGATAGCAAGAACAAACATAGAAGCGTTGTCTCATTGCCTTAGGCAGCGCCTAAATATGTTCAAAAGAATTTAAAACGCCAAATGGGATGAATTTATACCCCATTTCTAAAGTAAAACATACTCTAATCTACACATAAGTGCAGTGTGTGTGTGAGAGGGGGCAGTGTGTCGATGTGATGAGGTTGTGTTCTGCCTGCTGGTGTTAAAATAAATTAAATAAAACATTTATCTAATATGTTGGCCGTTTTTGTGTGCTTGGGCGGGTTTTGAACAACTTTTGGGTTGGAAAAAGTCAGTTAAGTTACATCTGGCAACACTGGTAGAAGGAGGAATAGGCCTATAGTGTTGGATCATTTGGACAAAAAACGTGGTGAAAGATGAATCGTCATAACATGCAAATATACAGCCTGCTAAAGTATTACATTATTAAATTATTTAATAGTTATTTTGATATTATTCCTGTTAACATTTGGAATGACAGACGCTTCTGAAAGGACAAACAAAAGGTCGACGCGTTGTAAATATGTAATTTAAAGCCTGTCTTCAAGGTTATAGTATACTAACTAAGCAGCTTACCAGTCCCGTTGTTGATGTTGTTATAATCATCTCAACCATTCAATGTTTAATCCGTTGAACTTTATTTTCTCGATATTCAACTTGGTTTTTTTTTTTGTTTATTTGCAGTTTCCACTAGCAGTGCTGCCACCAGAGGGCGCACTCAAACACGAGGTATTTATCATTTAAAACCTACTAAAAACTTCACAACAGTCTTAAATTTTAATTCGAAAATATAAAAATAATTTCTCGCCCAGTTTATGTCTTATTAATAATCCCAATGTTGTCTTTTTTTCAGAGAGTGAGATCAGAGCCAGACTGCAGAGCGCCTCGCCCTCCGCTAGATGTCAGTGTTGCTCGTTTTCAATCAGCGTGGTTATTTACTCAGCCTCACAATGCAAATAATCCAAAATATTTATAATATTTTGTCATATTTTAATGTTTTCCACTTATTTAAATTCTATTTTGTATATGTCATTCAGTAATATAACGATTGTACATGACGACATTGTGCATTTGGGCATTTTTTTGTTTGTATGTAGCCTACTTCTTTATCATCAATCAATTTATATTCAGTTTCTCATCTAATTTATAGGGACAGAGTTGGATGATGTGAAGAGATTACTGAAGGGAAGTCGCTCTGGGAGCATCAGTCCACCACGTTCTCCCACCAGCACTCTCCCTATCCCCAAAAAAGCCAGCATTGACGTACGCCACGAGAGCCAGTCAGGTAAAACTCAGGCACACAGAGATACATACACTTGTGTGTTGATACACATACTAATAATTCATTAATATGTGTCTTTCAGGCTTTGATGGCACAGTTTTGGATGCTGGATTCAGTGGATATTACACCAATCCCAACAATCTCAGTTACACCACATTGCAACAACCATCATCACCCACAGGTCAAACACATGTGGTTGTGTGCATGCGAGTCGAAATAATCAGTAATAAACTGTAAAAAATGCTGGGTTCCACACAATTGCTCAATGTTATCCCAACACAAATGGATTAAGTTGACTTAATCTCTTTTAATGCTAATGGATAGAACAAAAAATAATTAAGTTGTCCCTAAAAACAGTCTTAAAGTAGTGTTGGTTCAACTCATATTAGATAAGTAGAATAAACAAGCAACAGTGTATGAAGAGATTAAAAAATAATGAAAGGAAGAACGTGCTAATATTTTCTATTGCAATTCAGAGAAACAAATCAGATTTTTGAGATTTAAAGATCAGAATTACAAGAATGTTTTATTCATTATAATTTAACAATTAAGATTTTTTTTCTCTCTGAATTCTGACATATTGCAGTTTTGTTGAAGCTTGTTTCAGCCATGAAATGAAAGGAATGCAATAGTTGTTGCATTGATTTTTATCTTACAATTTTGATGTTTTTTATAGGTATGAGTGTTATGCATCTTAAAATTCAGAGCTTTTATCTATAATTATTTTTAGACTTTTTCTTACAATGGAAAATTTAAAATGTACAGTAGGTGACACTTTAATATGAGCATTACCGCCGCACCTTGTACCGCCGCCGCTCTAAAGGAGTAAGAACGTGTTTTTTTAGGTATTTTTTAAGCAACTATGCTGCCAGGAGGCACAAAGGGACAGGATGCGAATGGCCAGAAATAGCCTATACATTAGCTATAAATACTCTGCTACTTTAATAAATACAAAGCATTATGATTCCTTCATTAGTCATTAAATAGACAACTAGGCTAAGCTACATTATTTAAAGGCATTCGTTATGACATTGATAGGATCAAACTTATGATTAATTTTTAATATTAAGATATTTTCGATGAAATTTAAATTGATATTTTTCTGCCAATGTTGCTATTAAACACTTCGCCTGAACATGCTGCCAGCAGCTGTGAAGCAGTGAAGCATTAATTAAATCCTTATTTTCCAAAGAGCAGAACAAATCGTCATCGCACAGTTAGACGGCCACAAAACAAAAATATAATTCGTAAAATTTTCTTGGAAAAAAAGGAACGCAATAGTAGTTTCAACTTTTTATCTTACAATTTTTATGTTACTTTTTTTAGTTATGAGTGTTATGCATCTTAAAATTTAGAGTTTTATCTATAAATATTGTGGTAACACTTTACAATAAGGTTCATTAGTTAATGCATTTACTAACATAAACTAATCATAAACAACACATGTACAGCATTTACTAATCATAATTGAACAATTACTAATGCATTAATAACATCCAACTCCATGCGTGTTAACATTAGTTAATGTACCATGAGTTAACATGAACTAACAATGAACTACTGTATTTTCATTAACTAATGTTAACTAACATGAACAGATACAGTAATTCATGTATTGTTCATTGTTTGTTCATGTTAGTAAATACATTAATTAACATTAACTAATGAACCTTATTGTACAGTGTGACCAATATGTTTAGACATTTTCTGACAATGGAAAATTTAAAATGCATCATACATCTTGCCGTTCTGAAAAAAGGTATTGCATTCACAGCAAAAATGTTAGCTGTTAATATATTAACTAAGAATCATTATTAATATGAACTTAGACCATAAAAAATGCAGGCTTCTACACAAATCTTTTATGTAGTCCAAATGCAAATCGATTAAGTTAAATTATTATTACATTTATTTTTACAAATTTAAGTGGATTGAACATAAAACAATTAGGTTGTTCTAAAAAACACAAAATTATGTTTTTTCAGCTCATTTTAAATAAGTAGTTTAAAGAAGAAACAAAAAAAATGTTTTTTTAAACGCAGAATTATGAGATATAAATGCAGGATAAAAAGACAAAACCTCGAAGTTTTACATTATTGCAGCAATTTTGAGTTCATATCAAAATAATTTTGACATTTTTATGTTACCTTTGCAGAAAAACTGAATTGTTAAATATAAACTAAGAATTTCATGAAAAAAGTCGAACAATTAATAGCTTTGTTGCTAATTTGCCATCACATGCGCTTTAATCGTTACACGTATATTGCTATTGTATCTAATTATAACCATGAGATTAAAATGTACAATTTATTTTAATTTTATTTTAACGTATCTACTTTTTTTTTCATTTTTTATTTCCATGCCGAAAATGTGCTTCAGTTAACACAATGCACGTGTTTTTTTTTGTTTCAGGCGGCATGCAAAACAATCTGACCCTCAGTTCATCTGCCCTTGATACTACAGGTTATTACATTGAGCAGTTCACACAACAACACACTAAAATACATGAAATATTTTACAATTTCCAACAACATCTGTGTTCTTCTCAGTGTATGGGATGCAGAATAACCTGTCTACATCTGGCGGTGCTATGATGGCTAATGGAAGGTGCACTGGCTATGGTAAACTCAATCTTATCTCACTTCAATACTGTGCTTATTTTAAATGTTAAAACACATTTTTTAAATGTTAATACAAGACACTAAAGAATACTAATGGGGCAGCAAGGTGGCAGTGGTTAGTACTGTTGCCTCACAGCAAGAAAGTCACTGGTTTGACTCTCAGCTGGGCTAGTTAGCATTTCTATGTGGAGTTTGCATGTTCTCAATGTGTTTGTGTGGGTTTCCTTCCAGGTGCTCCGGTTTCCCCCATAGTCCAAAGACATGTGCTATAGGTGAACTGAACAAACTAAATTGGCCGTAGTGTTTGAGTGCATGTGTGGATATGAGAGTGTATGGGTGTTTTTTAGCATCCGCTGTGTAAAACATATACCGAAATAGTTGACGGTTCATTCCGCTGTGGCAACCCCTGATAAATAAGAGACTAAGCTGAAGCAAAACGAACTAATTAATGAATGAATGATATTTTAAGAATTTATTATGGCTAATTTCAGTGTATGGGGTCCCGAAAAATGTTGGCAGCGCTGGATTGGCCACTACTATTTCTGGTAATACTCTAGTGATTTTACTTTAAAATGTAGAAGTTACTATATTATACTATATTGATGATTCTGTATTTCTTTTCAATGACATTTGCAGCTATTCCAAGCAGTCCTATCACCGCTGATGACGTGTTTATGAAAGATGGCAAGTTAATTGCGATTGGGAAGGAAAATGTAGCGGCTAAGACAGAGACCGAGAGGCTGATCATGTCCAAAAACACTGGCAAACAGTTCGTCCCTTCATCCTTCAATGCTGGAGCAGGTAGACACGACAGGCTGCACTGTAAATCCAATATGTGACAATTAACATGTTAATATTTTGTGATTCTCAAGTGTCTTTACAACTGTGTTTACGTTTGATGTTGAAAATTCAACTATACAGTTGAACAAAGTGACTTTTGTTGACATTTTATTGACGTATACAATCATACTGTATATAGAAAAATAAATCTGTAAATGTGCTGAAAGTTTATTACAAGGTTTTTGTAGAGTAATATACAACCCCAACACAGACAATCTATCAATTAAACTATTAAAAATGCTAATAAAAGTTACTTTTTTTTGTACTTTTAAAGGTTAAAATTTGTTGGAAGAAAGATCAAGATCCCATAATGTAATTCGAAAGCATAAATAAATGTGGAAAAATAAATAAAATGTATCACAGAAAACAGAAAATTACTAATTTAAGGATGTTTTTTAATATGTAGGTGCTTAACTTATAATTATTATTAGTCTTAAACATCACTACATTGCCATGTGACAAATATTCACACGTTCACAAATATTGTCACTTAATGTTACAACAGATAAAGTCACACGAAACATATATTACAATAAACTACCACAATATTACAAACTGTAAAAATATTATCCCAACATCACAATTGTGTCTTATTTAAACCAATAATGTTGCACATTATCACAATGGATTCAGTTATTACAAATATATTACAATATTTTTAAAACATGATATTATGTTGTTATTACAGTATGAAATAATACATACAAAAAGTAAAGTGTTAAAAAAAATATCACAACATCGCAATATTTTGAAACATTTTATTTTATACATTTCTATTCTATTCTATTCTATTCTATTCTATTCTATTCTATTCTATTCTATTCTATTCCTGACATTATATTATATTATATTATATTATATTATATTATATTATATTATATTATATTTATTATATTTATTATATTATATTATATTTATTATATTATATTTATCATATTTATTATATTATATTATGTTATACTATATTATATGACATTATACTATATTATATGACATTATATTATATTATATTATATTATATTTATTATATTATATTATATTATGTTATACTATATTATATGACATTATATTATATTATATTATATTATATTATATTAATTATATTTATTATATTATATTATGTTATACTATATTATATGATATTATATATTATATTATATTATATTATATTATATTATATTATATTTATTATATTATATTTATTATGTTGTATTATGTTATACTATATGACATGATATTATATGATATGATATTTTATTATATTATATTACATTATATTATATTACATTATATTACATTACATTATATAATATTATATTAAAATTTATTATATTATATTATGTTTCTTCTATTACAGACACGTTTTCTGAAGATTCACTCAAGAGGGAGAAAAAGATGATCTCGAGCGCCACAGATCCACAGACCACCACCATTACTGGTACATTCAGAAAAATCCCTGACAGTACAAACTAATCCTCTATTAATATTCAATCATTAAAACTGTCATTAATCTGCTTTCAGGTTCCAAATCCTCAACAAAAAACAAAGCAACATATGCAGGTAGATGTTTAACGTCACCCCATATAATTACACAATATCTACTCCCTGAACATATAAAAGTGTTATAAACCTCAGCTCGTAATGAAGATGTTATGATTTTTTGTGGCTCATAGTCTTATATTGTAATATGCCACACAGATATTCGTAAAGATGATTCCGACGGCGCTGGATGTGGATTCTGGACGTGTTGCTCGTGGTGGAAATGGCTTCTGGCTTTGTTATTTGCTCTTCTCCTTCTGCTGGGACTCCTCTGTGGACTGATCGCACTAGGTATGTTATGTTTTATTATAAAATGGATAGTTTCTGATTGGTGGAGCTGAGTTTGAAGCTGTTGTAAATTAATCTACAATCATACATGTTGCTTGGCAAACCAGAAACTGTACAAATCAGAGACTGTTCTGAAACAGAAAGGTGTAAAAACCTTGTTATGTACATCGAATAACAATAAAACAAATAAACCCTGTGATTTACAGTAAAGCTGTGGTATACTTTATGCCTAACAACACCTCTTAAAGCGATAGTTCACCTCAAAATTACAATTGACTTACTATTTTCTGACCCTCAGGTGAGTTAAGATGAATTTAGTTTCTTTATTCAGTTGAACACGAAAGAAGATACTTTGAAGAAAGCTGAGAACCTGTAGCCATTGACTTGAAATGTAGGAAAAATAATATGGAAGACTACTATGGTTTCAATTTCCAGCTTTCTTCAGCTATTTCTCCAGCTTTTCTTCAACTCTATAGTGCATTACTGTGTGTGTAAAAATGAGCGTGTATGGGTGTTTTCCAGTACTGGGTTTCAGGTGGAAGAGCATTTGCTGTGTAAAACAAATGCTGGAATAGTTGGCGGTTCATTACACTGTGGTGACCTCTGAAATAGAGACTAAGCAGAAGGAAAATGAATACAAATTAGCTGCTAAATGAAAATGTTTGTGACATTGCGTTGGATTTACAGTGGCTTGTATTTTGACAGTTTCCTGTATAATTTCTTTATCTAGGTGAGCAGCTGAGGAGGCTGAAGGCTCGTGTGGATGCTATCGATGGTGGAGGAACCTCTCCTCGAACCAGCGGTTTGAAAACTGACGACATTCCTGGGGTCCAATCTGGTAACACGATAAACCTGGGTTATGAACCTGCTGGGCAAGATTCGTTGATCCTGCAGAGAGCTATCCTGAGAGAGCTGCAGTCGGACACCATCAGAGGTGGTTGTCATATTAAAATGTTCTTGCTGCCTTTATTTTTTTGGGTTAAGTCAACAGAACTTTTCTAGCCATCTGAACTGGTTGTGGTTAGCACTGTCACCTCACAGCAAGCACTGGTTCGAGTCCCGGCTGGGCCATTTGACATTTCTGTGTGCATGTTCTCCATGTGTTGGCGTGGGTTTCCTCCGGGTGTTCCAGTTTCCCCCACAGTTCAAAGACATGTGGTATAGGTGAATTGGATTAACTAAATTAGCTGTAGTGTGCGAGTGTGTATGGGTGTTTCCCAGTACTGGGTTGTGGCTGGAAGGTCATCCACTGCGTAAAACATATGCCAAAATAGTTGGTGGTTCATTCCACTGTGGCGACTCCTAATAAATAAAGGGACTAAGCCGAAGGAAAATGAATGAAATAATGTAGTTGACACACGATTAACTTATTAAGGTTAAAGTTACTTAAAAACATTAATATTCATGATTTTTGTTATATAATTGTTTGCAGCATAGGGGGAATATACAATCTGCAGCATACAACTCTCTTGGTTAACATTAGTTAACATTTATTTACAATTCAATATTTGTTATGATTTATTATAGCATCGCTGGCAACTTCGCTCAGGGGAGAGAGAGGAGAACCTGGACCTAAAGGTAACATTTACACTATATTATATACTTACTGTAGTTTAAATTATATACTAGTGTAAAGCAGATTTACTAATGCATATGTTTAATGCAAATTTATTCTAGGAGACCAAGGGCCTCCTGGAGTTAAAGGTAAGAAATCAAACTATACAAATTCAGATGAGTTAAATTCAGATAAATTCAGAGAGTAAGGTTCCAAATAAATTGCAATATCATTCAAGACAATGTACTATACCTGAAATACTGCACAGTAATCAAAACATATCATGATATTTAAATACATCACAACACCAAGATAATTATTCCCAATTAAAAATGTATCAATCTTGTTGCACACTATTAACAATAAATCACCAGTTATCACAAATGTGTCACAATAATGTCAAGTAATTTATTTTCACAACACTGCACAAGTATCATTTGTCACACTTATTATCTCTCTATATATTTACATTTATATACTGTTGAAGTCAGAATCATTAGCCCCCCTTTGATTTTCTTTTCTTTTTTAAATGTTTCCCAAATGATGTTTAACAGAGCAAGGAAATGTTCACAGTATGTCTGATAATATTTTTCCTTCTGGAGAAACTCTTGTTTGTTTTTATTTCGGCTAGAATTAAAGCAGTTTTAATTTTTTTATAAAATATTTTAAGGTTAATATTATTAGCCCCTTTGAGCTATATTTTCTCGATATCCTACAGAACAAACCATCATTACACAATAACTTGCCTAATTTCCCTAACCTGCCTAGTTTACCTAGATAACCTGGTTAAGCTTTTAAATGTCACTTTAAGCTGTATAGATGTGTCTTGAAAAATATCTAGTAAAATATTATTTATTGTCATCATGGCAAAGATAAAATAATCAGTTATTGGAGATGAGTTATTAAAACTATTATGATTGGAAATGTGTTGAAAAAAATCTTCTCTCCATCAAACAGAAATTGGGGAAAAAATAAACAGGGGGGCTAATAATTCTGACTTCAACTGAATATATTTATGTATAATATAAATGCCAACATTAACAGTCCCACATATTAAATAATAATATTTAAATGTCACAACAGTACCAAACAGCAGTAACTCTCCCAAACTATAATATCCCAACATCACAACTGTATCATATTCATATTCATAATGTTGCACATTATCATGAAGCGTATTTTTGATCATCACTGATTATCACACAAGACAAATGTATTATAATTAAATAATCACAGAATCAAATAATATCATAAATCTATGTATATTATGTATCAAATGAGTCAAATTTATCAACATTTTTTATGATATTATCACCCATTATCATGATTACATAAAGATATTTGGACAACAATGTCAGCGGAGTCACATATTGCAAACAGAAAAGTTATATTATCTCAATGTCACAACAGTAATAACACAAATTTGTAACAAAAATATTAAAACTGTAACAGAGCAGTATTAATTACTAATCTGGAAAAAAAATCACCACCATGTCACAAATCTTTTTACAGGTGATTCAGGATTTCCCGGGATTCCAGGTGAGAACCTTTATATATCACAAAAAACACACAATCTGCATAAAACTATGAAAATAAACTAGAAAAATAAACACTGTCCAGCTTACTGTATTTTATCTAATTTTTTCACGTATGCTGTAAACAAGTGAATACTGTTGACTTGATATATGCTGACTAGAAGACCCAGAATGAACCTGTACTCCAGCTGACATTACAGTCATTTTTCCAGGTCCTCCTGGTCTTATTGGTCATCCTGGACAGGAAGGCCCTCGAGGACCCAAAGGGAGCGCAGGTATGATGCACAAATAGGCAGATTTATTACTATGCCACAGTCATATCAAGCCTGGTTTATACTTCTGCATCAAGTGATCAGCGTGACCCATGACGCATGCAACACGTGTAGCTGTGCGTTCATACTTCTGCTTGCTGTTTCAGTTGCTCTGCTATAACACTTCCGAAACTGGCTGGCAGTGAGGTGTTTATGTTCCTCTGTGTCGAGTTTCTTCGCTGGTGTTTTATTTTTTAAAGGCTTTCTTAATATACAAGTGGTTCAAACGCGCTCATTTTGAGGCAGTAACCGGCGGACGTGCAACAAGTTTAACCATGAGGTAAACGCAAAATAAAACTTTCTATCCGGAGCTCGTTCACAGGACTCCACACTAGTAAACAATCGCTCCATAGGGTTTGCAGGGCTCTTAACCGCGCCCACATTCGTCTGCGCTTTCAAGCTAACCAATCACAGGGATTGTGGTATGCATCGTTGCGACGTGTTGTTACATTTTTTGAGAGGTGCAAGTCAGCGACGCCGATGGCCACGGCGAGAGCTATGCATCCACGCATAAGCTGCACCATAGCATTTGCGTACGCTTGACGCAGAAGTATAAATCCGCCTTCACACTGCGGCCTAAGACTATTTACTCATTGAAGCTAAGCAGGCCTGAGCCTGATCAATACCTGAATGGGAGACCACATGGGAAAACTAGGTTGCTGTTGGAAGTGGTGCTAGTGAGGCCAGCAAGGTGCGGTCCTAATGCCCCAATAAAGTGAAGGGGACACTATATTGTCAATGAGCATTGTCTTTCAGATGAGACATTAAACCGAGGTCCTGACTCTCTGTGGTCATTAAATATCATTTGGCATTTTTTTGAGAAGTTTGCGTGTTCTTCCCGTGTTGGTGTGGGTTTCCTCCGGGTGCTCCAGTTTCCCCACAGTCCAAAGACATGCGCTATAGGTGAATTGAATAAGCTAAATTGTCTGTAGTGTATGTGAGTGTGTGTGCAAGAGTGTGTATGGGTGTTTCTCAGTGTTGGAATGCTGCTTGAAGGGCATCTGCTGCTTAAAACATATGCTGGATTAATTGGCAATTCATTCCACTGTGTCGACCCCAGAATAATAAAGGGACTAAGCCGAAACAAAAATTAATGAATGACTTACTTACAGCTTAAACCAGTATAAACCCTGTTTTAGCATTAAATAGAATCTACCAACGGTATTTATTAAATGCGCAGGTAATTTAATAATAGGTGATTTTTGCAGATGAACTTTGCATCTTAATTTGTAGGTGTTTCCTTTACTTCATGGAACTAAAGCATATGCTGTTTATTATACTTTGAAGTAGTCTTCAAAGTACTTTGAAGCAGAAATAAACTTATTTAAAGGGGACTTATTATGCAAAAATCACTTTTATAAGAGGTGTAAACACAATTGTGTGGCAACAGTGTGTGAAAATAACCAGCCTCTAATGGTAAAAATAATTAATATTTGTTTATAATCACACTTGATAAAAACAGTCCGCAGAAGCACTTTGACAGTCTCCCTTTGTATGTGTCATCATCGTTAGTGATGATCTCTCCCTCATTAGCATAGAAAGCCCTAAGTGAGAAGCAGCCATCTGCCATTAGAGTTTTCACACCATTTTAAATCCTATTGGTGCTTTTTATGGACCTGTTTGGTAGATCTGCTCCTAACCCAGGGGTAACCTCTGCCATTAAATTGCCTGGCATTACAGCTGAAGACATTTGATTGAGGACTCTAGCATTTAATTGTGTGTGTTATTATTCACAGGTGAATCAGGAAGTGATGGTTTACCTGGACCGAGGGGTCGTGAAGGTCCAGCGGGTCCCAGAGGAGAACCAGGACCCCCAGGAATTGGGGAGAAAGGAGAGAAAGGTTTAACAACTGCCATTCTTGATACACAGAAACATTCATACCCAAGCTGAAAAAGTTTCTGCTCAGACTTATTAAAGAGTGTAGAATAGTTAACAAAATGATTTTTTCTAAGTAATCATATAAGGAAATAGTATTAAGAACAGACAAATGAAAGAAAATATCCACACATTTGAATGCTTAAGGTGTCAAATGTACCATCCTCACAGTTTTGTCTGTATATACAGTAGTTATGGGCAAAGACTTGAGTGTAAAACAGTAACCAGCAAACATTTTTTGTGTTTAAAAGTTGTCTTCTAGATGTCTATTGTTGTATAAAAATAAATAATTGAAAGAGAAGAGAACCCAGTCCAGGAGACTTAAACAAGCTGAAGAATTTCTTTATTAAGACGTGTTGGTTAATCTGCAGTCGTACAGTGTCTTCAAGAAGTCTATGTGTCTGCGGAAGCCTATTGGTGGTCTGCAGTGTGCAAGTTTTATCACAAGTCTGATTTTAGACAAAGATGTCCCGTCTATAATGTCTTCTAAGGACACTATTTGACACTAGATTATATAAATTTATATTTCCACACTATTATACATCTAAACACATAGGTCTTGGCTAAAACAGGGCTAAATTTGAGCTGTCTAATTTATTAGACGTCTAAGAATAACCCAAAAATAAACTAGTGATCAAATACACAGAATTAAATAAGTACACATGTTATCTCTGTTTAATCAATCTATATAATGAGTAGTCTAATTTTGGGCTATTTGTTAGACATTTATTATATTTTCAGCCTGGTTTTGGCCAGGAGATCCATGCTAGATGTCACAAAATTGCTTGGTGGGTATGGGCTAAGAAATGAATACACCACTGGATTAGCAATGCAAAAGAAACACGTCTGTGTTATCAGAGTTTATTCACACAATATCTTTAAGCCCTTCTTGTAATTTATTACTTTATTTACTTCTTTTCTTTTCTTCTAACTGGATTTTCATGTTTCATTTTTCTGTATATCCAGTGTAAAAATCTGTCTATCATACATCTGTGTGTACATTTTTTTTGCAATAATACCAAAATGGATTTGATCTTAGGCTCATTTGGTGATGTTGGCGCTCCTGGGATAGCAGGACCACCAGGACCCGTAGGGCCCAAAGGTAAGATGATGGGAATAATGGCACTATAAATAATCTGCATTACTAATGTCAATACTTTTTTCAGTGACAATTAATGAATTGAATTACTGTTTCCCCTATTACACTGCCATTACCATTACTGACAATACAAAATTTGCGTTACTATAATTGAGAATACTACAGCGGTTTTCATGCAACCAGCGTCTCTCTCTCAGCCATAGTACCTCTCTTTTTTCTGGGGTGGGTGTGCGTTCGGGGCTGGGGCGGGACACAACCAGTCAGCGATGATGATTGGTGTGTTTGTGAACGTGGTGTAACAGAGAACATGACGATTGGCTTAGATAGAGTACATTTGCCAATCAGAGGCAGAGTAGGGCGAGTGTTCACACAAGCACACGCACAGTCAGTGATACACACCGATGACCAGGAGTCAGAGCGATGGCAAATCGAACAAGTTCAAAGGTAGCATTTGCAAACTGGAAATACAGTATAAGCACTACTTTTTACTCGTTGAGGTGAAAGGCAATAATTTTTATGTATCATGAAACTTATGCCAGGAAAAAAAAACAGTCTCTCTGTGTCAGTGACAAGTATTTTTAATCTAATGAAGCAACAAATTAGTAGCTACCCAGGTGAAAATGTGAGCTCTGCTACCAAAAAAGGAGACAAAGTCACAAAATCAAAGCAAATAAAACTTAAGACAGAATTAAACTAAATAATATCTAGATATGTGGTTGAGGACATGTTGTCTCTCACAACACAACAACATTTAAACAGTGTAGATTAGTGTACAATGTTTTATATTTACTTTATAATCATTTGACAAATTAGATTTTGATTAAAGTAACACAGTAGTTACTTTCCCTGGTAGTTATTTACTTTTATAATTATGTAACTCAGTTACTATTTGTGTGAAATGACTAGTAACTATAACTAATTACTCTTTTTAAGCAATCTGCTCAGACATTTACATAAAGTTATTGATAAAGAGGGACCAAAATTTAGTGAACGTGTTTTGCTGCTGCTGCAGGTGATGCAGGTGCACAAGGAGTACCGGGACTTACAGGAGCACCTGGACCCCAAGGCTTCCGCGGAGATTCTGGTGATCCCGGACCCAAGGGTGAACATAAATTCTCTTCACATTTCCCCATTTGAGAACTTTAAGTGAACAGTTTGTTTTTATAATCTTGTGTTTTTCTTTTAGGTGATAAAGGACCTGCTGGGCCACCTGGGGTCAAAGGTCTGTAGATATCAGAGAAACGCATTGACAAAACTACTGCAGTTTACATGCTGATTATTTTGTATTACTAAATTAGGTGATCAGGGAGAGAGAGGACCACGTGGCGCCACTGGTCAGTAAATAAGTAACTGTTGGTATACAAAGTCACTTTTGCATTAGTGATATGATAAGGATTTCAATATACCAAACTTTTTTTTCTGACAGGTGAGCCGGGTCAGCCTGGACCAGCAGGTCCTCCTGGTGAGAAAGGTCTTAAGGGATCAACAGGTGAGTTTTATCAGGGAGAGAGACACCAGATGGAAAGAAAATCTAAGGCAGTTTCGGGAAAAGTTATTTTTGAAAATAATGCATTACAATATTGAGTTACTCACCAAAAAGTATCTAATCGCATTACTTAGTTATTCTTTATAGTGAATATTGTTTGACGATACTGTTGGGTTTCATTTGCATTACCTTTTATCACCTGCCTGAGGCTTTCTTTCTTTTAAATAGAGTTCTGCAAGTAACAATGCACTGTATACCCTAAACCTATATTTACCTTTAATAAACAAATCTAAAATTTATATTTTAGGATAATGTTATCTGAGAGCTTCCTGACCCCAGAGCTCTACATGCCGTATACACAGATTATTGAAAGTTTAAAGTAATGTGTTTACTACTATTGTACTGAACTGAAAGGTTCTGAACTTAAAGATTCAAGACACCCTGGAGTACTTTTTTTGAAATGTTAACTGATTTGTGAGTGTTGAGCATCAGTTAAGACACATTAGCACCTGTCAGCTATAATTATGTGGGAAACTGGATAAATTGGAGCTTTTGTCAGCTAATTTCATCCTCAGGGTTTAAAAAAATTTTTGGAGCGGGATCAAAATCGGTGACGTAGCGCAAAACTGCAAGTGGAGTAATGACATGTTGGTTTCTCATTATTATTCATTGCGGGGTTTTCTTATCCCATGAGAAGACTCTGCTTCTTAATTTTACCTAAGAGCATGTGCTTTCTGAAGGCAAGGCAGGCCTGCCAAGCTGTGAGACCCAATGACTGGGTGAGACTCCGTCCGCGCATGGCAAGCAGTATTTAGCCGTTCATGAAGGGTCATTAGGTTATGTGTTTGTTTCCATTAGTCACGGGTTTGTTGCATGTGTTTCCCCTTGATGCTGTCAGAGCAGATATAGCAATAATGTTGGTTTGTAGCAAGCATTTGTCTTTTATCAGTTGAGTTTGTTACCATTCAGACACATCGCCTATATCTGTGCTGCTGTGTTCACATATGTTTAAAATCCTCCAGATTACCAGCAGAGCTGATGGTTGGAATAGACAGGGCAAGAGACCTGTTGCACCGCTATCCACTGTGTCTGCATTCAGACCAGGGGATTGAGGAGGAGAAAAGTCTTCCTCATTTGTAGTGTTTACATGGTTATCTCTATGATAATATAACAAATTGTAATTATGTGTATATGAAATTACAAAAAACAAATGGATCAGGGCACTAAATTACTGTTTATTGTTTTGCATTATAATTTGTAAACTATAAAATCATGCGTCTCCTCACGATTTGTGTCTCATTTCGTGTCAACTGACAACAGTTGTTCGCTCCCCTTTTCCCCATAAAATTACATAAAATAGGCTACTGTATCCTATAGTTTCTACAACACATTTGACAAAACAAGAATGCAGATAATCTTAACTCAGTGTTCAGTGGAAATGTTTAACTTAAGGTTTCCACTTTTACTCACATTGATCAGTTTAAGATAAAATTTCAAAAATTTAGTTTATAATAGATGTAAAAGTGCACCTGTGTGTCTGCCTTTTTATTGATCAGGCGGTAAAGGTTGATATGACATTTAGAATGTAAGCAGTATTAAAAATTGTTTTTTAGAATGAGTAATAATCCTTTGTTAACTTTGTTATTTGTGTGACTGAAATGTATAATTGATTAAGGCTAAGGGCGAGAAATACCGCTTCGTCTTTAAAAAAAGGGAGGAGACCGACAGATACTTAGAGTTTAGAGAATAAACCCGGCTCCTCACCAGGTTAGGTTCACAGAGTAAGTTACCACGGTAGCTGACTTTGAGGAAGAGTTACCTCTCTTTCAGAAACAGGCTTGACTTACCCTGCTGTCTCGAGTTTGACAAACCTGTGCCATTTCGAAATAGAAAAGTTTCTCTCATTTCAGGGTAACATACTCTGAGTTTTCACTTAACCTCCTTTCTGGGCCACTAAATTAGTCTAAAATGACACAAAATCTGTTTTTTTTTTAATCATACTGTTACAAAAGATTTCTGCTTCAAGCAAAAACTTGTTCTTAATTAAAGAATGATGAAAAAAATCTTTCAAAAAGTAATTTGAAAGACTTGAATAGTAGTAAATGAATGATGTCAACATTTAGTGATGTCCTGAAATGAAAATCGCTGTGTATGATGTCATAAGATGAAGTCATTGATCTAATGTCATGTGACACATCCTGCTTCCTTTTCCACAGGTGCACCAGGACCAGATGGTGTTAAAGGACTTAGGGGTAATTTTGAGACTAAGCGATGGGAAATTATAAGTCTCTTGTCAAGCATGCATCTAAATTTCAATTCTCTTTTATAGGTGACCAAGGACCCGTTGGGTTGCCTGGTGCTCGAGGACCATCAGGACCTCCCGGAGATTCAGGAATACCAGGTATTTATGAACACAAAATGCTCAACGGGACTGAATGAAAAGAAAAAGCAATTTAGTTTTAAGCACACTGTTTACCTGCACAGGAACACCAGGACTCCAAGGACCACCAGGTTTGATTTTCAATTCAAATATTACGAAAACCTATCTAGTTCCTTGTCAAATTCTTACTTTCAGATTATCTCTCATTTGTCATTATTTACTTGGCCTATTATCTTATTTCACTATAGGACTGCCAGGTACACCAGGCCAACCAGGAGCTAAAGGTAATCTCTTTTGATTGAATCATTGCTTTTTATTTAATTCCAAATATCAAATCTAGAGCTTCCGAGTGACATTACGCGTGTTTTCATCCTAACGTGAAGTGAATCATATTAAAGTTTGCAAAAAAGTAAACAAACCTTAAATGTGAAATAGGTGCATTTCCATTAAGTTGATAGAGCAGCTAGCTGTAGTATTGGTAACCTACCATCCAACAGTAATGGACTATGTTTGGTGTTGTGGGAGGTCTAATGTTCACGACGCCAAAGTTTATTTGGCAAATGCGTTTCCATCTCTTATTATTGCGCAAATTAAGGGATTTGCATTTGAAATTTGACACTTCCATCAGTCATTTCTCATGTGATACTTCAAAATAGACAGTAACACAGGGTGATGGAAAACCAGCTACTGTCAACTATACAGATTTTTTTAAAGTCACATCATACATGATGGGCGTCACGGTGGCGCAGTGGGTAGCACGATCACCTAAATCAAGCTAAACTGGCCATAGTGTATGTCTGTGAATGCAAGAGTGTATGGGTATCCACTGCATAAAACATATGCTGGATAAGTTGGCGGTTCATTGAGCTGTAGCGATCCCTGATTAATAAAGGGACTAAGCCAAAAAGAAAACGAATGAATGAAAGAATTATGCATGATGTTTTTTTTTTTATTTAGGTGAGGCCGGTGAGCCTGGAAGAGTCATTTCTGCAGGTGAGTGATACTGTACATCATTTTTGGCCCTAAATTTGAATCTGGGGTAACATTCATCATCAAAATCATATTTTGATCACTCTTTTCAGGCGCTAATGCTAACACGGTGGCTGTATCTGGACCACCAGGACCTCCTGGAGCTCCAGGTCCTGCTGGTCCACCTGGACTATCAGGTATCATGAAATAGGGAAAATCTACATTTTATGTCAAATGAATGATTAATCGAATTATTTATCTTTAAGATAATATTGTGATTATTTTTTGCCCTCAGGTCCTATTGGTCCTGCTGGTCTTCCTGGTTCACCTGGTGAGACAATATAACATGTTTATTTATTTTTTTTTAAAAACAAAACAAGAATAAATCTTTTAGTTGACTGACATTTTAATGTCTACAGGTGCAAAGGGAGATAAAGGAGACAAAGGAGAGGATGGGAAACCTGGAGTCACTGAGAGTGCAGGGAGTGAGTCTGATTACTGTTTACCTTTACATTCTTTATGATTTTATCTTATTACAGTTTTTATAATCTAATTAAGCAGAGAAATCAGAAGCAGGGGAACCCGGTCCTCCAGGACCACCAGGACCTCCAGGACCACCCGGGGATGATGGAAAGCCAGGTCCAGAGCATTAAGATTGCCTTAAATCATTACCTACAGATTGCATTAAGCTCGCCATGTTGATCATTTATTTATTTTGATTTTCAGGTGTTGGAGAACCTGGTCCAGCTGGTCCTCCTGGTGAAAAAGGTGAACCTGGAAGCTTTGTACCTACTTCAGGTATGCGTTTGAGTTCATGTAAACCTGGTTATTTTAGACCATATGTTTCAAACTAGATTCCTGGAGTGCAGCAGCTCTGCAGTTTTGCTCCAACCCTGATCAAACACTGCTGATGCAACTAATGAAGGTGTTCATAACTCTTTTCAACACATCGATTAACTGGATCATCTGTGTTTGATCAGGGTTGGAGCAAAACCGTGCAGAGTTGTGGCCCTCCAGGAATTGGATTTGAGACCTATGCTTTAGACACTGCATATTAGATAATTCCTAAGAAATATTTAATTCTAAATACATATTATTGTATTGAGATCTTTGTTGGTTTTATTAATATTTCCAGCTAGTTGAAGGTTTTGCAGCAATTCTTATATGCAACTGTTGATGGAAATGAACATTGAATTCTTATCATCAGTATAATAAAAAATAATTTTATTTTAAAAATATTAAATAAATTAAAACGTTAAATAAATATGATCTGATTTTTATTTTTGGTAATCAGAAACATTCTTTGCTGGACCACCTGGGCCTCCTGGACCTATTGGACCAAAGGGATCACAAGGTAAATTCAACACACCACAAATATAACGTATAAATCTGGGTTTACCCATTTTATTGTTACCCATTTTAACGCATTTAATGTTCTTCTGTTCAGGTGATGTTGGCCCTCAAGGTTTCCCTGGTAAGGCTGACACATTCAGTCACAAAAATAATTATATGACATTGACAGTTTTAGTTTATAAGCATACTTCTCTTTTTCATCTTTTTCTTCTCAAGGTCAACCTGGATTACCTGGAGAACCTGGAATTGGTTTGTGATTGACATTTGCATACTGCATGTTTCTTCATTATTCAGTAGCTGATGTGAAAGTACACATTTCACTTCTGAATTCAGGTATTCCAGGACAGCCGGGATCACCAGGACCACGTGGAGAGCAAGGTCTTGATGGTCCACTTGGACCACAGGGACCTCAAGGGCCAATGGGTCCCATGGGCCCAGAAGGTCCAAAAGGTACAAGCAAATATATAAACAGTTGAAGTCAGAATTATTAGCCCCCCTCTGATTTTTTTTCTTTTTCAAATATTTCCCAAATGATGTTTAACAGAGCAAGGAAAATTTCACAGTATGTCTGATAATATTTTTTCTTAATGGCAAAGATAAAATAAATCAGTTATTAGAAATGAGCCATTAAAACTATTATGCTTAGAAATGTGTTAAACAGAAATTGGGCAAAAAAAAAAAAGACAGGGGAGCTAAAAATTCGGACTTCAACTGTATATAAGTTTAACTATAATAATGGTTTACATATTTCTATATGAAAAGATAGGTATGTTACAAATATCTACGATATAAATAAAAAACACTTACAGTAAGTAAATAGCGTTTTTCTACTTCTGCTATTTTTCTACTATTTTTCTTTATCTAACAAATATAGGTGATGCTGGAGTCCCAGGTGCCCCTGGTATTCCAGGTTATTCTTACGGTAGGCCAGTGTCTCTGTTCATCTAAAATCTACAATGATAAAAACTCTTCAGTGCTTCCCACACATAGACTTTACCTACGTGCTCTGCAGACCCACAGAGACGCACCTTTTACGGTAAAATGCATCTGACTGTATGTCCTAAAATGACCTCAAAATGGGATTCGGGTTATTTGTATGCGTTTTTGCATTACCCCCTGTGACTGTTTGTCACAATTAATTAAATTAAATGATTAATTATTTATTAAACGACCTAAACTTTACTATATACCCAGAGAGAACAAAATATACTGGCTGCAAAATATTTGTAATCCATTAGAATGGGTATTATTTAAATAATTGCACTTTTTATTCTAGTAATTATCATTTTTAACAATAATGTTTATTTTTATTTCTTTTTTTCTGTTATTTAATTCGCATTTGCTGTATATTTTATTAGATTAATGAAGTTAATATATTACATACTTTATACATATCTAAAATGCTTTGGCAATACTGTACTATATCATGCCAATAAAAAAAAATAAAGCAAAAGAGAGAGAGAGAGAGAGAGAGCAGCCTTTACCTGTCAGTGGGTGCACGTGGCACGTGGAAATAGTGGATTTTTCTTTTATTTTAACTGCCTTTTTTGAAGAGCCCCTATTATACATTAAAAAGGGTCCTATTTTGGTTTTAAGGGTCTCCCACAACAGGCTGATATGCATGAAAAATCAAAAAACACTTTTACTTTATTAAATTTTACTTAATTATCCCAGTGACTCCCATATGAATCGTTTAGCGATTCATTTGCTCCTCAAACCCCTCCGATGACAGCCTGTTGCGATTGGTCAACAGCGTTCAGCGTGTTATTTATCTCAGAAAACTCCCCAAATCTCAACCCCTTCCCCACCATTTTGGTACGAACTGTAAATCAGCCGGGTCACCAACAATGGTGTAGGATTCGATTGCAGCGGCTGCCCAAATCACGCTTCATAGTAGTTAACTTACTAACACCACAGTATCCGGTTCTCAACAGTGTTATTCAGACACCTCAGGATCTTTCTTTGCTACTGTGCTAGTGGGCAGGGCGCAGGTTTAAATTTTCCTGGGTTTTGCAAGCGCACCCAGTGGGCGGTGCTTATGTTTCGTATCGACGTCACACCCAAACAGCTAAAGACTCGTTATCAAGACGATTCACTTGAAGCACTATGAGTCGACTCTTTTATAGATGAATCAATAGTTTTAAACACTGTGCACTTTCAAAATGAACCCATAGTTGGATATTTCACTTCACTGTTACACACTACATGGAAGGTCATTTTCAAAAACCCATAATAGGAGGTCTTTACATAACTTTAACCCATTGTAAAGAAAAGATGTATAACAGTGTCACAATAAATAAAATCATCGCATGTAGTTGACCATTTATGTGCTGTGGGTAAAAGCTGTTTCAATCCGGCTAACACCACAAGTATATTTCAGACCTGCGGGAAGCACTGCTCTTATACCAGACACAACTCAATGGTATTGATTTTGTAAGGTGGAGGATCCAGAAGTGCTCCGGGACCACCAGGTCCACCTGGACCCCCAGGGCCTCCTGGAGAACCAGGTTCTCAAGGTGACGGGTCACCGAATGCTGTTCAACAGATTTCAGACTACCTCAGAAGTAAGTTTATCATCTGTACCAACGTTGACTGGTTTGAGATGTATAAAAATGTAATTGCTTCGCTGTATCAGTATGAATATTTGACCATGTGTTTTTCCTAGTCTATGAAGACTTTTTAATGAGATATTTGTATAATAAAAAGTCATAATGGTGGGTAAAACTCTTTTTGGCTTGTTTAGCCGAGTCATCCATAAAACAGACAATAATAGGAGATAATTAATTTAGATGATTAGCATTATTGCATGGTAGATTAGACTTTCAATAAAACACTTGTTTTTAAAAGCTTTATGCATGTTTTGTTGGTTAAACTGACTGTAAACTTTAAAAACTTAGTATCTCCTGTCACACAAACCTTATTTGCATATTTCACCACACATGTTAATTCTGTTACTAATCAGTGAAAAGTCTGCATTTTTTTCATCTAGGTGAGTGGGAAATTAGGCAATGACTAAAATCTAATGTCTTTTTGCAGGTGAGCCCATTAGACAATACCTAGCTGGACCTCCAGGCCCGCCTGGACCACCAGGTCCCTCTGGATCAGCCTCTGATGATGCTCTGGCTAGCAGAGTCATTGAATATCTTCAACGTGAGTTTGAAATCTTTATTGACTCTATTTAAGAGGTTTTATTCTAATCTGCTGTATGACTTGGTTTTTATTTATTATTAGTCGTCGGTTATTATGAGACATCAGCACATTCAAATACAGTCTCGGTCATACAGTGGGGAAGAAAAAAGAGGGGGAATATACAAACAAGTAAACAGGATAATAGAGTAAAGCTAGGAGAAAAAAAAATACCATAGAATAGAAAATCAGAAGAAATTATTGATGTAACGCCAAAAAGGTGTCCATAGCTGCCAGAAGTCATCTGACCTTTGATGTATATCATAGTGGAAATAACTAGGGATGGCTGACGTGAAACTGACGTTTCAACACAGTGTCGAGATCCCGAAGCGCAAGTGGTTCGAAACACTGCACCGAAGCATGATCCGAAACTAAAGCAATTCAAAGCATCGATCAGTTTAGAAGCGTTTCGAGACCTGGCTAATCTGAAGTTTATTCTGACCCTGTCACTCAAATACAGTCTCATATTGCCTTGTGGACCGTGCGTGTGCACATTGTTTCTGTGCTTCAAATGACTTTTGGGTTCGAATACTGACTTGTACAAATACTCCGAAATCATGATATTATGTATTTTAATAATGTTACTGTTTTATTGTGTAGTCTAAACAGGATAAAGCTGCGGATACGCCATCAATTTAGCATCATTTTTGTAACACTGTAAGACAATAATTAATATTTTTACAGTACTGTGATGGTTGGGTTTAGGTAGATGTTAATGTTAATAAAATACAATGGGAAATTTAATGAATAATATAAACAATTCTTGTTAACTTCTGGCCTCAACCGTGTCTGATCTAGCAACAACCCTGTTTTATGACCAAAACAAGACAAATTGTTCACAAAGTGTTTATTCGTATGTCAGACCAATGTTAAAACAAAACAAGAAACAAGAACAGAGCATTACAAACTGGTATTAAAGCATTTTAAAATAGCTGTATCAGTCTGGATTCGAAACCACTATCCCCGCATGGTAGTCAGAAACCTTAAACTCTCCACTAAATCGTGTGAAGTTTCTATCATACAAAGTGGGGTTCAATAAAGCTCGATCAATCTGTTCCAGTGCAATACATAAAACAAATGACCACTAGGTGTCACCGTAGAGTGGAGATTTGAAACGTTTCGAAGCTTCGACTGTTTCAGGGTTTCATGAAGCCTCGCTTTGCCCACTACTAGAAATAACGCACATACTTGAGACAACCCTATTTTGAAGGAGGGCCCCTGAGGAGATGAGCACAATAAAAGTATACATTTCTTTGCCAGATAAACCAAAATTAAAAACAAATGCTTGGTGTTGTGGGAGTCCAACACATTCTCTACTTCACCATATAACAAATACAATTCTGGAGAAAAACTGAGTTTTAACTTAGAGTCCTTGTAGAAAATGATGTATTTTCTTCCAAACAGAGATGATTTTGTCACAATACTAGAAACAGTGAAGGAATGTCCCTTTGATATTTTTTTAACTGTAAAAAAAAATGCAAAGGAGTTTCTATAAAACTTTTCAGACGCAAGGGTGTAAGATAAACTCTGTTAATGAATTTATAATTGAGCTCATGAACACCCAATGAATACATCTAGAAAACAAATCGTTACTTATTTCAGACCTATCTGTATCTTCAATTTTCTATTACCAGTTTTAATGGACCCACCCATTTTTTGGTTGTTGATAGGAGATGAGGTGAGACAGTACCTGATTGGTCCTCCAGGACCCCCGGGACCACCAGGTGTGCCAGGTGGATATGGCTTTAACACTCAGGAAGTGGCAGGACGAGTGATGAGCCTTATTAACGGTAGGAAAGATGTGCTGTATGCAAGTTTCAGGACTCTTGAATGAATGAAAGTAAAAAAACAGCTGATGTTTAGCCTGATAGCAAAACTTTAATCACACAGAGTTTGAGGGACAAATATAAAAGTGTTTTAATAAATAGCACCTGTAATGATTTTATATTCCGTTTGTTTAAGATGCTGGTTTTAGAGGTTTACCAGGACCTCCCGGCCCACCAGGACCTCAAGGACCTCCTGGAAACTCTGGAGGACTGGTGTCTTACGCTGCTAACGAAAACCAGCAGCACATCCGCGCAGAGCCGCAGGAGTACATCAAGAGTAAGAAGGCAGTTTTGTTAGCTTTAAGTCTCTTTTGGGCATTATAACTAAAGTTTGTTTAATTTTGCAGGCCATCCAAGGGCTGATGAGAATTTGGATTACACAGCCATCGCTAAACAGGTTTCAGATTACATTAAGGGTAAGTTCAGATGAAAAGAAAAATTAATAGGAAGAAACAGACGAAGTGCCACTTTTTTAAGTCTTATGTCTGCTTTTTATCCACAGCTCATGGCCTGTTAAATGGAAATGCTGGCTTTCCAGGTGCACCAGGTCGTCAAGGATATCCTGGACCACCAGGGTTTCCAGGAGAGCCCGGAACACCAGGACAGCCTGGACCACCAGGACAGGCTGGACCACCAGGACTGCCTGGACCACCAGGACTCGACACTGTACACAATTACTCCAACATGACTGCTGTCTTGGACTACATCAAAGGCAAGAAGGAACTTGTTCAACCAAAAACACACACATTTAAGTTGCATTAGTTTATTTACAAAGTAGTGTTTCTACAGAAAATCATATGAAAGGACAAAAAGGCGACCTGGGATTTCCAGGAATTCCAGGTACAACTTTTACCTATTAATCTACGCTGTCAAATGGGTGGTTTGAGCAATAGTGGACTAAAAATTTGATCTGCAATCAAGTGATAAAACATACATCGTTTCTTGTTTCAAGAAGTAATTTTACTTTTCCTCAATCCAAGGATCCCCAGGTATTGATGGTAAACAAGGCATAGTAGGCTTACCAGGCATAAAGGGACAAAAAGGAGAAAGAGGTATCTGTCATTTTAAATATACAAGTCTACTTTTATTTTTGTCTTACTATGATAACATACATTTTTTTTCCCTCCACAGGTGAAGCAACATACGTCAACCGAAGGAGGAGGAGGAGCACAGTAATTTAGGCACACAGCAGTGTGTTTAGCTGGTTTGCATTAATACACCATATCTTAATAAGACGTGATGGGATATGATTACAGAAACAATAACACAAGACTGCAACACATGACAAGATTAGGCTCTCTCTGCACTTGTATTTTCTATATTGTTAGGACTTCTGGTCAAAGGCCAGGGTAGCCGTTTTCCCGCACTATTAGGCTCTTTTGAAAATGCAGTTGCGGGTTGTTGATTTGTGAGCTACTTTCATACCATGCCATGGCCTCTAAATAAAAATATCGGCTGTTTCTCAATACCAAGTATGCAAAGTTTGGACTTGCGTCCTTGGAAGTTCAGAGCTGCCAAGTTCAGACTTGGAAGAAAGAACTACCGAGGACGCGAGGACACAAGTCGGGTACCTCTTCAGATGGAACGGCAGTGTTCTTTATAACGTCACTTAACTCACCATGGATTCATCGGTTTCACTGTACATTAACAATTAAATGATTGAATTATAGAAAGCACGGTTTATGCTGTGACGTCACACGGCAGAATTATAGATTTTCTCTTAAGTGAAATTTCTCGTTGTTCATCACATATTGCTGGGGGGAAAATAGTGTATTGTGTTGGTTTCGGACATGGTGTAATGCTTTGAAAGTCACATGTACATATTGCAGTCTTTTTCATTTCTATTTGTATTTGTTTCTTAATTTTTTTTTGTTAAATCAATGTTACACTGAATTACCAATGATCATGAATGAACCATAATTATGTTGGGATTTCTCTACAAATCTATAAATTTTCTGATCATAAAATGTGCTCTTTCTAGCATCTTGCATGACAGCAAAAATGATTGAAATAGTGCTTTCTGTCAATTGCTTTGTTAAAAATGCTTTCATTATTACCGACTCTGAGCAGCATCAGAGGTGGATTCACTTTTAAATCCATAATAAAGTTTTTTTTTTAAGGAGCGATTTCTGAAAACCTCAATCATAAACACAAAGATGCTTAAACAGGGAACCAGCCGGCAGAAATATTCAGCACAAATGCTTTAATCACAGTAGCGTCCTATAATCAACAACAATACATTTGACACAAACAAAGTACATATTACAACTGATATGCTGCTAATTTCACCTCACAGGTTGAAAATGCTTAAGAAAGTCTATGAAAATGCAAACACAAGGATCAAGACTGCAGGAATTGGTGCACAGCACTTTCATTACAGTCCAATCTGCTCAAAAAAACACACCAGCCGTTCTCTCAGGTTTCATCAAAACAGCACTTTTCAGTCTTTTAAATGGAGCTTTACGAACTACGGCACGTATGAAAGTGCAATAAACACATTTATTGCACGCTAATTTGTAAATTAAATATGTAAAATACACAAAAATAAAAGAATATCTGCCTGATCAAACCAAACCAGATCACACACGATCCTCAGTACAAATCTCCAAGTACACAAATGTAGTGTAGAGTTGTCCTATTAATTCATGTTGCGTTTATGGAGAATACGAGCAACACTGAATATCTAAAAGTTGAGATGATGGTTGGATTCAGCTACATGTTCACATTGCATAGCACTTATAAACCACAGTGAAGTCAGAATATTTGCCTAACCATGGCCGCTACTTCAAATATATAATAAAAAATGCTTAGAAAACATATACAGTAGGTAATCCTCAAAAGTCAGGTCATTTCAATTGATTTGAAGGTATGAATTTCACAATGAAGCTCAATAAACATTTCATCAACGCAGATACAATTTTAAAAATAGCACAGGAAACCTCATGGTTAGTATATTAAAGGCACAGTTCACACAAAAATTAAGGTTTGCTTTTCACTTATTCACCCTCAGGCCGTCTAAGAGAACATAACTTTCAAAGGTAAGATTTTTAGCTGAACAAATTGTCATTTTTGGGTGAACTGACCCTTTAAGACTTATTATGTCAGAGAACATATTTAAATCAGAGCTTTAAATACAATGTTTAGCTGAAACTGTGGGAAAAATTCACATTTTTTTGTGTGAACTGTCCTTTTAAGACCAATGACTTAGGGAAAAAAAGTATTTTTCTGAGAGAACATGTTATCAGCTTTAAATAAGATTTTAGCAGAAATTGTGGGGCAAAATCTCATTTTTTTGTGTGAACTCACCCTTTCAGACCATCGGTTCAGGGTGAAAAAAAAATATTATTTTTTTAAAGAGAACTCTTTAAAGATAACGTCTTATTTGAATCAGAGCTTTAAATAAGAATTTTAGCACAAATTGTGGGGCAAATATTTTTTTGTGTGAACTTTCCCTTTAAGACCGCTGGTTCAGGGAAAAAAAAATGTATTATTTAGGGATTTTTACTAAGAGAAGATTTAAATCAGCTTTAAATAAGAATTTTAGCAGAAATTGTGGGATAAATGTTTATTTTTTGGGGTGAACTGTCTCTGTAAGACCACTGGTTCAGGGAAAAAAGTAATGTTTTTTTTTCTAAGAGAACATTATATAAGAGAACTTAATCAGAGCTTTAAATGAGCTGTCTCTTTAAGACCACTGGTTCAGAGAAAAAAAGCATTATGGTTTTTTTTCTAATAGAAGATTTAAATCAGAGCTTTAAATAAATTTTTTAGCTGGTATTAAGAAGCAAATTTAAATTTTTGCATGAACCGTCCATGCAAGACCACTGGTTCAGAAAATAAGTATTATTATGACTTTTGTTTAAAGAGAACATATGAGAAAACCATTAAAAACAGAGCTTTATATAAGGTTTTTAGCTGTAATTAAGGGACATATTCACATTTTTGTGTTAACTGTCCCTTTATGACCACAGGTTCAGGGGGAAAGTATAATGGTTTTTAAGAGAACATTTAAATCTTCATTAAATAAGATTTTTAACTGAAATTGTGTGACAAATTCTCATTTTTTGTAAACTCACCCTTTAAAACCACTGGTTCAGGGAAAAAAATGTATGTATTATTAAGTTTTTTTTAATTTAAATCAGCTCTAAATAAGACTTTTAGCAGAAATTGTGGAAGAACGTCTTTTTTTGGTGAACTGTCCCTTTAAGACCACTGGTTCAGGGAAAAAAATGTTTTTTTTTTTTTTAAGACAACATTATATAAGAAAACTTATTATTTAAATCAGAGCTTTAAATAAGGTTTTTAGCTGAAATTGAGGGGCAAATTCACATTTTTGTGTGAACTGTCTCTTTGAGACCCGTGGTTCAGGGGGAAAAAAGTATTGTGCTTTTTCTCTAGGAGAAGATTTAAATCAGAGCATTACATACAATTTTTTGAATTGAGAGGCAAATTAAAATTTTTGTGTGAACTGCCCCTTTAAGACCACTGGCTCAGGGAAAAAAAATTTTTTTTGTCATAAAAAAATAAAAAATAGTGGCATATAGAAAAAAATCACATTATCGTCCATCAGCTATGACTGAAATCTTCATAGAAATCCACTTTTAAAGCTTAAATGAATAAAACGTGATGAAAAGGAAAGCTTCTTTGTGTCTTACTTGAGCATATCTGATCCTGAATCCCCGTTCAGTCTGACGTCATATATCAGAGGGAAGCAGGAAGGCAGCAGAGGTTCAATCACTGGACAGTTTTGGCTTCTCTTTGTTCATGGTGAGTTAAAAGCCGGTGGACTGCACACTCGGGACGGGGTAGAACTTGGAGATGCGACTCTGTGTGGAGGGGTTCAGACACGCAGACTCTCCGCTCATCTTGAAGAACACTTCCTGTTCCTGCAGTTTACGGGCAAACTCCTCCTCCAGAGCCTGAACACACAGATTTCACATTAAACTTTAATGATTGGCTGGACTTAGACTGCCACCTAGTGGTGTGAATAAAGCCTGACTAGTTAACTACAATAAAATTAAAGCCATGTTTGGATGGCTAAATTAAATAAATAAATAAAAGATTTTTTTTACTCATTCATTTTTTTAAATAATTGTTGAAATAACTACTTTCTAACAACCAAGTTATTTTTTCCACGGTGACAGTAATCAGAGCATTGAAGAAATGTAATTATACTGGAATTTCTAACTTTGATACGATACCAAGAAAAATATCAATTTTCGATACCAATTTTCGATACTACTATAATTGAATATCCTTATACAAACATAAACACCTTACCTTTACATTATGTTTATTAATGTTGTCATGATACTGGAATTTATAACTGGTATCGAATATCGATATTTTTCTTGGTATTGTATCAAAGTTAGAAATTCCAGCATCGTGACAACATTAATAAACAATGTAGGGGGAATGTATTAATATTTATAAAAGGATATTTGATTATAGTAGTATCGAACATTGGTATCAAATATCGGTATTTTTCTTGGTATCGTATCAATTTTTAGATTAAATATCTTTATATGAACATTAATACATTCACTATACATTGTTTATCAATGTTGTCTTGATACAGAAACTTCAACTTTGATACGATGCCAAGAAAAATAACAATATTTAATACCAATTTTCGATACAACTATAGCCAAATACCCTTTTACAGACATAAATACATTCCCTATGCATTATGTGTTTTAATGTTGTCACAATACTGTTATTTCTAACTTTGATGCGAGAGCAAGAAAAATACTGATATTCAATACTAATTTTCGATACTACCAAAAAATTATCTTATACTGGAATTCCTAACTTTGATACGATACCAAGAAAGATATCAATGTTCGATACCAATTTTTTGATACTATTATAATCAAATACCTTTATATCAACATTTCTCACTTTTGTATCGAATATCACTTTTTTTTTTTGCTATTGCATCAATTTTCGATACTACTAAAATTAAATATATTCATATAAACAAATACATTCTCTATATGTTATGTTTATTAAATTTGTCACGATACTGGAATTTCTAACTTTTATGCAATACCAAGAAAAATACTGATATTTAATACCAATTTTTGATACTACCATAATTAAACATCTTTATATAAAAAAATACATTCTTTATACATTGTTTATTAATGTTGTCACGATACTGGAATTTCTAACTTTGATACAATACCAAGAAAGATATCATTGTTCAATAGCAATTTTTCGATACTACTATAATCAAATACCTTTTTACCAGCATTTTTAACTTTTGTATCGAATATAACTTTTTCTTGCTATTGTATCAATTTTCGATACTACTAAAATTAAATATCTTTATATAAACATAAATACATTCTCTTTATGTTATGTTTATTAAACTTCTCATGATACTGGAATTTCTAACTTTGATTCGATACAAAAAAAAATGTGATATTGATATCCAATACCAATTTTCGAAACTACTATAGTCAAATATATTTATATAAACAAATACATTCCCTATACATTATGTTTATTAAATTTGTCATGATACTGGAATTTCTAACTGTGATTCGATAGTAAAAAAATTGATATTCGATAATCAATACCAATTTTCTAAACAACTATAGTTAAATATCTTTATATAAACAAATACATTCCCTATACATTATGTGTATTAATGTCCTCATGATACTGGATTTTCTAACTTTGATACGATACCAAGAAATATGTAGATATTTAAGAACATTTTTTGTTTCTACTAAAATCAAATATATTTATACAAACACAAATGCATTCTCTGTACATTACATTTATTAAAGTTGTCCCAAAACTGGGATTTCTAACTTTAATACGACATCAAGAAAAATATTAATATTCAATATCAATTTTCGATAATACCATAATTAAATATCTTTAAATGGACATAAATGCATAAACTTCGATACGATGCCAAGAAAAATATCGATATTAGATACCACTTTCGATACTGTGAAAAAAGTACACCTAACAGTAACCGCAGTGTTCAATATACTAGTGTAAACAACAGCAAAGCGCAGTACCTTCTTGCGGGGTCTGAGTTTCTCTCTCCAGTCCTTGAGCTCAGCGCCATGCTCTTCATCAAGCTCCTTCAGCTTCTGTGTCTCATGCTCGATCAGCAGATGGCACTTCTCATTCTACAACACACACACACACAGGTTTTGTTTATATGAAGCGAATGTGTGTTTTCTCAGAGATGTAGTCGGTGTGAGGGCTGTACCTGCAGCTGCTGCAGTTCTCTGCTGTTTGCGTCACACTGAGTCTGCAGATCCCGCATCTGATTCTCATGCTTCTGCTGCTGATGAAGACGCTCGTTCTTCTGACGCTTTTCCTCCTGTGCTGCAAACTGTCCAACACACACAAACACACACACATTGCTAAATACACAAATACACAGACAGTAGGAATAGAATCACTAGTGTATATGCCAACGTATGCTAATAGGACTTTTAATTAGTCAGTAACCTGGGTCAAACACTTCTGGTAAATTGTATGCCATTGCAAAATCGGCATGTTTAAGGTCTGTTTTCTTTAAAAATCAGCGATCTCCACTGGCTGAGTAATATCTGATATAAAGTGGGACTCGGATTGTACAAGAAGCACTGCATTAACTTACATTTTTTCCAGCCATGTATTTATAATATGAGCATTTAATTTACCCCAGTATATTCAAAGGAGCTTCTGTACTAGCCTGCCGATTCTGACAGGCGTGTTCGAGTAAACGGCTTTTGTCTTGTTTTACGCTTGAGCAACTAAATGAATGCCAAAGACTATTTAACTGATTGTATTTTAATTAAATTACAGCATCGATGCTGTAGAAGGAACCGTATAAAATGGGAAAAAAACTCAAAATAACAGGTCACCGGAAGTTTATCAGTATGGGAGCAACACTAGCTCGGCATATAGCCTATTGGAATAAATGTTTTATTAATTAGGGATGCACAATATATATGTACCACACAGACTACATTAGAGATTTGAACTGGAAACCAGAGATACTGAATATTTGATCATACTGGTTGATCGTTCAATAGTTGATACACAGATAAAGCACACTAATTAAATAAAATATGTAATATTAGCCAATAAATAATATGTAGGCCCACACAGAATCTGCACTCACAGCTAAAAACCTTCAGCAGATTAAATCAATATATTTGTTATATGCTTGTTACTTATGTCAGTGTTTCCCAACCCTGTTCCTAGAGGCAGACCAACACATTTTGGATGTCTCCATTATGACCCATTCATTTCAGGTTTTAGAGTCTCTTCTATTGCTCTGATGAGTTGATTATGAAGAGGTTGAAAATGTGTACTGTTGGTGTGCCTTCAGGAACAGGGTTGGGAAACTCTGAACTATGAACACTCCCCCCTAAACAAAACAGGACACGCCCACTTCTAGAGGTGTGAAAACACCCTGCTGATACAGGGGGGTTTCGTGGCCCTTTAAATAAAAGAGTTTGTTTTCAACTCCTATGCTTGTAAAGATCACCAGTGATCTAGGGACTGTAGACTGCTGGTAAACTACACACACAAACACAAACAAACAAACACACACACACACACACACAAACAAACAAACACACAAACAAACAAACAAACACACACACACACACACCACAACTACCTGAATGCATCGCACCAATCAACACCCGTTCCAGCTGACCATCATCTGTCGTCTTAATTGCCAGGACTATATTTTTGAAGGCATACTCACACTATGCAAAGTTGCCTTGAACCGGGCCGAAGCACACTTTTCCCCCTTCCCATCTTCCCTGATGGCCCGCACACACATTGCATTCGCGCCTGAGCATGCTTACTTCATCGATGATACGCTGTTCAGTTTAACAGTAGAGAAGCGCTCTCACTCATCACAATGGAGATTTCTTTAGTTATATAATTTTAGTCGTTTGATATGCAGTGACACACATTAAATATTTCGCCAAACAGATCAGACACTTTTGACACTCATAAACAATCATAGTCCTCATGTTGCAAGTATTAGGAGTTTTACTGAAGGTGCAGCTGTGGTGCAGTGAGGCTTTGCGTCTTTAATAATCAAACGACAGTTTGAGTTCATTGAACAGTAAGAATGATTAATAAATTCACATCAAACAGTGTTGTAAAAGTCTTGTCTTCAGGCTCAGGCAAGCTTTGCACTCACACTCCTGAGCCCAAGTGAACCGCACTCTGGAACAGCACTTCCAACCGAACCAGGGCCGGCCAACTGAACCCGATTCAGAGCACTCACACTTCTCAAACGATCCAAGAAACGGGATTTGGCACGGTTCGGATAGCATAGTGTGAGTGCGCCCGGAGTTTGTGCTCCCCTCACGTTGTCTGTTGTTTTTTGTTATGGGCCGTTGTGTAGTGCGAGCTAGTAGTAGTAGGAGTTTTGCATTGGCCAGGACATGCAGTTAACTAACGCTAATTTCAATATAAATATTGACCTGTTTGACTCTCTCTCTCTCCAGCTCTGCAGTCACTCCAGTGGTGGTGATCCTCAGACTCTTCTTGAACATGGCCATGCGGGTCTTTGCGTCGCTGCGCTGGATCTTGGGCAGTCTGGTTTTCTCCTGCATCTGCCTGTTCTTCATATCCTCCATCAGACGCTGGTTGTACCTGTGCATCTGCTCCATCTCCTGCATACACACAGACACACACACACGCTCAGAGTTAGATCTGGGGTCTCATTAATGGCTAAATGGGCAGAAACATGAGTGTGCAAGAGTTGTGGTCTATAAAAACAAACTTGTCAGAAGCGTTATGTCAAACAGCTTGGCAATGCGAAAAAAAATTAGGGCAGTGCATGATTTTGTCCTTTGGGAAATGATTGGATTGTTGATGGGAAGATGGGTTTTGCTAATAAAAGGAAAATTGTTGAATGGATGAAGGCAGAGCAGCAACAAGACAAACCCTAATAGCCCCGTCCTGAATAGTCCCTGATAGCCCTGCCCTAAACAGCTGATCATCTCTGATAACTAATGATAGATAAATGACTGCTAGTCTCACCTTAAATGATCAAGCACTATCCATATAAAGACACATTTTGATTTCATTGCAAATTTTATTCTGGTGTATGTCACATTTGACTTTAGGGTTTCTCCGCAGATTTTTATAAACGAGAGCTCTGGACTTCACCTTCTCATGTCTCTTGAGCAGCTGGTGCCTCTGCATGAAGTACTGGTCCTTCAGCTGCTGTTTGTAGAGCTGGTGTTTCTCCTGCAGGTGGCGCTCCTCCAGCTCCCACATGGCTGCTTCTCGAGCTGGGGAAAATCAGGAAAAGCTGCGGTCAAATAGCTGAATAGTATTGGCAATGTAAAAACAAAAGTAAAAATAAAAACAGCACCAAGGCACAGGGTAAAATGCTGAATAGTCTATACAAAGTGTTTTTTTTTTTTCATTTTATTGTTTACTTTATTTCACTTTTATTTTAAATGTCTTTATTCCCTCTTGTGTCTGTGTTTTATGTACCCAGAGCTTCTGTAAACCACAAAAAAAATCCTTTCTGACACTGCAAAAAATACTGATCCTCAATCTAATAATACAGACTGCACTTGCACTCAGTTTTCCTATTGAAAAATATTCTGGCATAAGCTATATATTTACCTATAAATGCCAAATAAATGGCAAATTATGCAATTTACCAATTTGCTAATAACCAATTAACAATGCAGACAATGTTTTGTTATATTGCTGATTTTTTTGCAATGTTTTTAAATGTAAAAAATTCCATTAAAACAACATTATTATTATTATTATTTAATATTTTTTTTAAATAAAACGTTTGTATTTTAATCCCTATTAAAATGATTAAAATGTTCATTAGTCCAGTGATGCAAAGCTGTCACATGATCCCCCATAATAAACATTTCTTCTTAGCGTATGAGTAGCATAATTCAATTCAAAATGTAATATGCAAAATGGCAATGCAATATGTTAAATGGCAATGTATTTCTGTATTTGAATTTGCATTTTCAAGACATATGAGCAATGTTTGGTGCAGAATGAAAATGTAAATTAAATTACATTGTTTGCATTTCTCATTTCAAACACTGTTTTTATATGTAAATTGTATCCACATTTTAAAGCTTTATAAGTTGCAAAATTAAATTGAAAAGCTATACACAAACTGAATTTGATGTGAATAAAGTACAAGCAGAAACTGTAGCAGAATGATATTTTAAATGTTATTTGTCCTAAATGCATTTACACTCGCGTCTAGGAAACGCAGGATTACATTTTCAGCATAACAGCATGGGATGTGTGTAGCACAATTATAGCAAAAATTAATCATTCGACTCTCCAACAGCGTCACCTTGCTCATCAGCAAAATAATTTAAGAGATACGCGAGAGATAAACAATTGATAATGAAAAGCGCAAAGGTGGCACTGAAAAGGCCAGAATTTAAGAAAGCCGAGTATATTTTTCGTCAAAACCAGCAGCAGCGAGAGTACAACAACACGTGAAGATGATGAAACGGCCGGTAAGTTCACGTTAAGCTAGTTAAGAGCAGTGCATAACAACGATGTCTGCAAACCACAGTTTTCTTGTACTGTAGCTCTCCAGCAGATTCAGCAGCCTCTTGTCCAGTTTGTCGCTAACAGTGAAGAGCCACCAGTCATGAGCAAAACACACAAGAATGGGCAGGTATTATTGTCATTGAGTGAATATAAGAATTCGAATAATTAATATTAATGAATATAACACCTGCTCAATGAAAAACAGATGATTCACTACATTAATAAATCTAAAATAACTTAATCAGAAATCTAATAAAGGGAGAAAAAGATTAAGCTATTAATAGAAAGTAATACTGTGGTTCAACCAAACCACCAAACGCACCAGCATAACAGTGCCGTTGTGGTCCAGTGGTCCGACCCGAGTTCCAACCTTACCTGAGTAAATTTATTTTTCTTGTTTAGCGTTAAGACACTCTTTGGGTTACTTATAAAGGTGGACATTTTTTATTTATTATGTGATCACCGTTACAAAGGACTGGATATTTATAAAGAATTTTGCACAGAATATATATTCAGACTTTGCAGGACATCGGCCATCGTTTTAAAGAATAGTGTTGGAGATTTAGCTAACATTTAATGTTCTCATATTTAACTTTTGAACTTCTAAAGCAGCTGTTTCCTTGAAAAAGACGTGATAGTGTCATTAGAATCTGAATTTGAAATGACGTTATTTTAATATAGTCAGTCGTAAACTGAGGTGGGCCGGTCTAAGGCTTAAAACTTCAGGGCTGAAAATGGAGTCCCACTCCGGCCCTGATAATGAGTATTTCAATTAGAGCCCTATTAAGAATTAAAAGCATCCTTTACAGTTCTACAACAGTACACATTTTTGGTCACTTTTGATGAATATAAGAGTGGAATAAAATGATTATTTTCTTAAAACATCAACAATCAACTGACCCCACACATTTCAATGGTAGTGTGTGTGAGTATTACATCTCTAACACTGTAGTTCTGAGCTCACCACACAAACAACTGATTGGAAACCGCTAACACAGCTATAGCTAAGCAATAGTTCAAGCTGAGATTGGGACTTCTGACCTCTGAGCAGCTGCTGTTTGTGGTTGAGACAGTCTCTCTCTGTGGTGGCCAGCTCAAGCTTGTGCTGCTGAATGATCTTCTTCAGAGCGCTGTCCAGATCCTGCTGCTGCTTCTGAACAAACTCCTGCTCCTGCAAAGCGCACACAAACACCAACATTGTCATTCTGAAAAGCTGCTTGTTTTCTTTTAGCCTCTTGTACTGTAGGTTTACATCCATCCATGCTCAAGATACACATTCATTTTCCTCATAATTGCAGATCTTATTTTCCCTCAGTGTCTGAAATGGTCAGTTCAAGGATACAGTCTTTTTAAACCCCGCCTGTCTGAGAACCAGCTCTGCTCTGATTGGTCATGTGGCACTGTCTCTGTGATTGGTCCAAAACAAAATGCCAATTACCATATATGACTATCAGCTCTTCCTCAGCACTAACAGTGTAATGGAAAAAGAAAAAACCATGCTAATTTCTTTCTAGCCGGTTTCACTGTTTGTCCACACGAAAACGCAGTATTAGCTGACTGAAAGTGCAACTTTTTTAAATAATCAAGTCAGGGTGAAAACGTTCTGAAACTCTGGCTACAGTGTGGTCATGTGGACACTAAATCTGGAGTTTTCGCGTCATGAGATCAGCATGTGCGCCGTTTTCTCCTTTCTGATTGGCCAACACGGCTGGGTTCACATGAAATGCGGCAGACGCGAATAAGGCTAATTCCACACATTCATCACACACAAACATATTTGCATTGTTCGACCGCGGGATTGTAATCTGCCCCCGTTCTCACATTTGCATTGACTTGTATGCAATTTACTCTCGAAAATACTTAATTACCCATTTGGTGTGTCATCATCGCCACCTGTTGGTTCGGAGTGCCATTAACATGCCTCACTGTGCGCTTTGCCATTTTCAAGTGGATGGATATTTTTTTTCTAAAAATGAAAGCACGGAAAACCCATGTTCGTGTGGATATGCCCCAAGTCAGGGGTGTCCAAACTCCTGGAGGGCCAGCGTCCTGCTGAGTTTAGCTCTAACTTGCTTCAACACACTTGCTAGGTAGGTTCTAGTATATCTAGTAAGAGCTTGATTAGCTGGGTATGTTTGATTAGGGTTGCATCTAAACTCTCCAGGACACCGGCTCTCCAGGACCAAGTTTGGAGACCCCCGGCCAAAGAGAATTTGGTTCTCAAAATGTCAATAAAACAAACAAACTCTTCCTCAATTCAGCTGCAACTACAGAGATTTAGTTTTTTTCAGGCAGGCAATCAAAGCCATAGACTTTTTACTGACACTAAACTGATTCATACATAATCTCAGTATGAATTAGACTCATCTAATTAGATCTGAGGGCGGCAGAGTGGCTCAGTGGTTAGCACTGTTTCCTCCCAGCAAGAAGGTAGCTGGTTCGAGTCCCAGTTGGCCCAGTTAGCTGTGTGGAGAAAGCATGCTCTGCCCGTGTTGGCGTGGGTTTTCTCCGGGTGCTGTGGTTTCCCCCACAGTGCAAGCACATGCGCTATAGGTGAATTGAATTGACCGTACTGTATGAATTCATGTATGAATATGTGTGTATGGGTGTTTCCCACTGGGTTGTGGCTGAAAGGGTATCCGCTGTGTAAAACATATGTCAGAATAGTTGGCGGTTCATTCCGCTGTAGCGACCCCTGATAAATAAGGGACTAAGCTGAAGGAAAATGAATGAATACACAGATTTGAACAAACCAAAACACAACACACACACACCTCTGTAAAGGCCAGTGCACACTGGGATGATTTTTGCTCACGTATATCACCAACGTTTAACGTCTCATAACTAAACTAAAGGTGTCAATGTGAGCTCGCACAGCAATGCGCAAAACACCAGATAAAAAAAGTGGACATTTTTAAAAAACAAACTAAATATTGGTCAACCAATGATATAGAAGCTACTACAAATCTAGTCACATATCGTGTTGTTAGGACCCGGAGTTACAATGCAACATGCTCAGCCAATGTTTACGTTCCTAATATTTCTATTATTCGCTAATTAATCACACCCTCATGTGGAACTCTGAATCTGCGTCTCATTTAGGAGTCTGCTACTGTCCGCCGGAGGTTGCATTTCGGTCATGGATGCATGCTTTGAGAGCCTTCATAACTGAATGAATGAAATATGCGGTTTTCCATGAAGGCAACCCAGGGTGCTGAAATATAATGGCCTAAACTGGCATTGGGCGGGTTAAATGACCAAAACAAAGACAGCCGTTCCAGCACGTTACAGCCTAGCAGAATATCTTTTAGTCATTTAGACTTCAGCATTGTTTTTCACATAAATAAGAGTGTTAACTTAGCATGTTTCTTAAACATCTGCAAATACATTGTTGTTTTTTATGCTTTAAAAGAGTTAAAAACTTACATAAAGCACATTTAAGTGGCATCTAACATCGCGAGTCATTTAGCATTTTTTGGAATGGTTTTTCTTATGCCTTGACACTGAGAATTAGCAAAAGCAAAAATCATCCTGGTGTCCATTAGCCTTAAGCAATTGAGCTGAAAATATTAGCTTCAATGTGCTCGTGAAGCATGCAGCACATAACCAAGAGTGTTGCAAACTTTAATAAGTTTAACATCTAATCCAAATGGTGCATAAAAACCGGAAACAGACAAACAAAAAGGGGCTAAGAAGTGCCTGACAGTATAGATAAACTGAAGAAGTGCAAAATAACCTGAGGACATATTTGTTTGGCTGTTACCTCCTCATCAAGGGTTTGTGTTAGATCCACGCTAATGCGTTTCAGGAGGACATTTCTCACATGTTTGGGTGACACATCCTGCGCTCAGTGTCAGAGAGGGAAGATAAAGAAGATTTGGGTGGAATTTGCTGTAGCTCAGGCAGATTAAATGTGAATTAGTCGAGACTACATCAAAAGCAGTCTGGGACATGAGTTCACTTTGAGTTCAAGTTGACAGTTTCTTGCACCAAAAACATTTTTATGATTAAAGTAAATAATTTATTTCTGAAAAATCATTCATTTTTAAATAGTGTAGTTTCTATCATCACAAACAATAATCATGTTTAATTCAATAGCTTTTTATTGAGCGTTATTTTTCACAATGTGGTTTGGCTTTGGAAAATGATGTATTTGTTTTCAAAGTTTTCTCTTCCATACCTCCTTCTTGCGGTTCTTGTGCGTGTTCTGGAATTTAGAGAGCTCTTTGTCCTGCTCTGCTTTGATGCGTTTGGCCTCGTCCCGCAGACGCTCTGTGTGCTCCTGCTCCAGACGCTCGATGGTCTGTTTCTGCTGCCTCTCCATGTTCTCCACCTCTGTGTCGTACTGACGCTTCTTACTCTGCACAGACACAGAACAAAGGTTAATAAAACAGAGATCTACAACAAGAATTACGCAACAGTTTTGACCAGAAATGTAGAATAATTTGACAATAGGTAAACTATAGTATATAAAAATCAATCAATCAATCCATCCATCCATCTGTCCATCCGTGCGCAAAACAATTGAGCAAAAAACCTTTTAAATTACAAAACTATTATTTTATATAACAAGTTTTACAAATTATTATAATAATAATAATACAGCAAATATAAATACATATTAAATAAATGAGCAATAAAATAAAAAAATAAATAAATACATAAAATAAGTACATAAAATTAATAAATTATTTAATAAAAATATATAATTAATTAAATAAATAATTATGTTCAATTGTCAAATTATTATTTCCTTGAACATAACAAACAGGTGAAACGATTGGCTGAGTAAACTGGCACAGCTCCAGCTGGCTTTAAACACTGACTTCTGACACTGATTACACACTCCAGAACTGATGTAAATTAGATTTGTATGCGGTTTGTATGTAGGTATGCAGTTTCTATCAGAAATGAAGAATAATTTGACAATAGGCTAACTACTGTATAGTTTATATATGAAACAATATTTATATAGTATATATATATATAGTATATATATATATATATAGTTTATCTGTGAAACTATTTTGCACAACACAAATAATCAGAAAAAGTATTTTAAAATACAAAATTAATATTTTTATAACAATTATTAACATGTTTTACAAATTAATATAATAATATTAATAGATAAAACAAATATATAAATGAAATAAATGAGCAATAAATAAAAATATAAATACATAAAATTAGTAAAATTTAAATAAAAGAAATTATTTATTAATAAAATTAAACAAAACAATTAATTAATTATGTTCAATATATATATATATATATGAGTAATAATAAAAATAATAAAAATACAAAACACAAAACAAATACAAAAAATAAAAATAATTAATAATGAATAATAAATAATAATATTAAAATGAATAATTTATAAAAAGAAATGAAATAAACAACTAATTATTTTCAATTGTCAAATTATTATTCCGTTATTATAAATGAACATAACAAACAGGTGAAACGATTGGCTGAGTAAACTGGCCCAACTCCAGATGTCTTTAAACACTGACCTCTGTTAATAGACGGACCCAGATTACACACTCCAGAAATAAAGCTGGAGCTGCTGAGTGTGTGATGTAATTCAGCGAGAGCCAACAGTGTTTCAGAGCCTGCCGTCATTATAACACCTAATAATAAACACATCTACACAGCTCTGTGAAAGGCTTGGGTGAAAACAATGTGCAGTTTTTAAAGCTGAATGGCTGAATGATTGCCTGACTTTATTTATTAAGGCGTTAAAAATCAGAAACTTCAGACACTTTCCTTCTGCATCCTGGATTTGGTCCAATCACAGCACTGAGGCTACATTTAAGCCTGATTTATACTTCTGCGTCAAGTGACCGGCAAAACTCACGGCGCAGGCAATGTGCGCAGCTGTGCATTTATACTTCTGCGCGCTGTCTGCATTAACACTTCCCAAACACTAGTTGGCAGTGATGTGTAAATGTTCCTCTGTGTCGAATTTCTTCGCTTCTGTTTTGCTTTTCCTGAACACTTCCTGGTTGTACAAGTGACTCAAACTCAATCATTTTGACGTGCAACAACTTTAACTATGAGGTAAACACAAAACAAAATTTTCCATCCGGAGCTCCTTCACGGGACTCCACACTTGTAAACAATCGCTCGTGCCATTCGCGCGGCTCTCGGTCCCGCCCAGACTCGTCAGTGCTACCAAGCCGACCAATCACATAACTTGCGCTACGCGTTGTTGCGACGTGTAGTTACATTTTTTGAGAGGTGCCGCCGTTTGACGCAGAAGTATAAATCAGCCTTTACACTTTTGCATTTAGCTTTTTTTTACACTTGAAAAGAGACTTTTGGACTCAATTAAGACACTACAGACTCATTTTAGTTTGAAAAGTGTAGGTATTGGTTTAGTGTAGATCACAGGTGTCAAGCTCAGTTCCTGGAGGCCCTCAGCTCTGCACAGTTTAGTTCCAAGCCTAATTGAACACACCTGATCAAACTAATCGTATCCTTCAGGTTTGTTTGAAACCTACAGGTATTCGTGTTGAAGCACGGTTGGAACTAAACTGTGCAGGGCAGCGACCTTTGACACTGTAGATTAACCAAAACACAGACTATTGAAAATAAAGGCGTGGCTGTGCACATTCATTCTCTGACTGGCTCATTTGAATCATGCCATTTATTATTCCTAGTCATTTTCTCCTCCATAGGTGACTGAATCAGATGATTTAAACCAGGGCTGCTCAATTCTGTTCCTGGAGATCTACCTTTCTGCAAAACACAGCTCTCACCCTGATCAAACACACCTGAACCAATTAATTAGGACCTGAACAGCACTTGATAATTACAGGCAGGTGTGTTTGAAATGGGTAGCAACTGAAATCTACAGGAAGGTAGATCTCCAGGAACAGGGTTGAGCCCCCTGATTTAAACCACTTTAAAAAATGAAAAGACTTCCGACATTGCAGAATAAGGTCAATATAAGTACTTCAAAACCATATAATACATATTTTATGGTATAAAACATATTACGCCAACGCATCATAAACCACATATACAAGTGTGTGTGATGTGGTGTCTGACCGTGGTCTCGTGTTCGAAGCGTCGGCAGATCTGATCTCTCTGCTGCTGGAGTTTGTTGCTGAGCTGTTGTTGTGCTCTCTGCTCTTCCTTCTGCAGGAGTCTCAGCTCTCGCAGCTCCTGACGCCTGCAACACACACATCACACACTCTGAAACTGAGCCAACAATACATATACACACACAGTGTGGATGGAGGAACCTTCGCTATTAGCTTTCACTAATTAATTCACTAACAAACCAGATATTGAATATGGAAAAAAATCTAAAACAAGGAAGCAAACTGCGACAAGTTTACCGGCAGCTAGCTCTCTGCAACTCTCACATGGTCGCCCACTGAAGCTAAGCAGGGCTGCGCTTGGTCAGTACCTGGATGGGAGACCACATGGGAAAGCTAGGTTACTGCCGGAAGTGGTGTTAGTGAGGCCAGCAGGGGGCACCTAACCTGCAGTCTGTGTGGGTCCTAATGCCCCAGTATATTCATGGGTACTTAATACTACTCAGTGAGCAGCGCCTTTCAGAGAAACGTTAAACCGAGGATCTGACTCTCTGTGGTCGTTAAAAATCCCAGGATGTCCTTCGAAAAGAGTAGAGGTTTTACCCCAGCATCCTGGCCAAATTTATCCTCTGGCCTCTGGCCTCTGTCCATCATGGCCTTCTAACCATCCTCATTTCATAATTGGTTCATCACTCTGTCTCCACCAATCAATTGGTGTGTGGTGTGCGGTCTGGCACAAAATGGCTGCTATCGTTTCATCCAGGTGGATGCTGCACCCTGCTGGTGGATGAGGAGATTCCCCCCCCCCAAAAATGTGTAAAGCGCTTTGAGTGCCCAGAAATGTGCTATATAAATGTACGGAATTATTATTATTATTAGGTTAAAATGTTTTGCAAATTTGCTGTGTATGAGAAACGTATTCAATTTTTGCTAAAAAAAAGTTTATTTGTCTTTTTTTTTTAATTTTAACTGTAGTTTTAGATGTTTTCTTAGATGCTAAACTAAAATCATTTTTAACCAATGTTTTTTAAATAAAATACATTTTTTATTTCAGGTTGCATTATTATTTTATTTTTAGTTTTATACTATAATAACGCTGAACAAAGAGGCTTTGGTATGTGGTTAACCATTTAAACTGTTTGATTTGTCTAAGATCTAGTCCAATCCAAGTCCAGCGACGTGATGATCCCAAGGTTTCCATAATCCTGGACCAGGCCGTATCCTGAGCAGCTGCTGTGGTGATTATTGAGGAGTGGAGAGCATGAGACTGATTCCTGTGACGCTCCGGGGACAGACGAGTCTCGCTGATGTCAAGCTTCTCCAGCGCCTAGACTGCAGCTCTGCACAAGACGTTTGGCCATATGAGAAATGGTCGTGCCCAAGTTTTTTTTTTACTCGTCGCTGTCACCACTGGCTTGCATGGTTTGGGACCTGTAGAGCTGTGCATTGATGGATTTGCTCTTCAGTGTTTGGACTCACAGTAGTGATTATTAAACCACACTGAACTGAGCTAAACTGAACTTAAAACACTGAAAAACTGAACTGACACTGTTTCAATTTACTAAGATCGTCTACGTGAAGCTGCTTTGACACAATTTACACTGTAATTGCGCTATACAAATAAAGGTGAATTGAATTGAATAAGAATTGAAAATAATGTGCACTGATGAACCTTGCATAATAAGAATATTATTGTGCATTGAGATGGCAAAAGTATTATTTGGAACTATATTTAATGACAATAAAGTCTGTAGGCCTCAAAGTGTTTTACAGAAGTGTCCCCACATTGCACTTAAATTATTCATTACTATTTTAAAATTTCGGGCTGCAAGGTGGCACAGTGGGTAGCATGTTCGCTTCACAGCAAGAAGATCACTGTTCGAGTCCCGGCTGGGTCAACTGGCATTTCTGTTTGGAGTTTGCATGTTCTCCCCGTTTTCGTGAGTCCTAATACATGCGCTATAGGTGAATTGGGTAAGCTAAATAGTGCATAGTATATGTGTGTGAATGTGTGTTTGGATGTTTTCCAGTAATGGGTTGCAGCTGGAAGGGCATCCGCTGCGTAAAACATATGCTGGATAAGTTGGCAGTTCATTCTGCTGTGGCAACTCCAGACTAATAAAGGGACTAAGCCAAAAAGAAAATGAATGTATGAATTTTAAAATCTCCCCTCCCAAACAAAAAACAAACAAACAAACAGCAGATAAATAAATATTAAAATTATAGATTGTGATGGGAATACAAAATTAAAATAAATAAAAAAAACAATTTTTCTTAATTATTCTCGATTAAAATATAAAATAACTATGATAAAAACACTGAGGGGAGAAAATATGCAAGGCAATAAAAAAAAAAATAGAAAAGGAAAACAGGATGCTCCCAGAGAGGAACAGGAAATGTCACTCATCTTGCTTGGTGTTGGAATATTGAGCTGATTTCTGTAAAACAAACTAACAAACACTGCACAGGAAACCTTTGTCGCCTTGTAGTTTAAGACCACTGAGAGACGATTGACCCCACTAAAAGTTTGCCTTCGTTTACCAAAACAAACTACAAAAAGCTAAAGCTTTTACTACAAAATGTGTGCCACAGCCTGGACAGAAAGAACTGAATCTTTACCAGTGAACACAAATGAGATGCAAACATGACTCAAACATGCAAATATCCTGAAAGCAGTTAAACAGCAGCCGCTCACCTCAGGAATCGCATCTCCTCGTTTTTGGTGTCATTGTCTGTGATGATCTTGGATGTTGTAACGCTGACCTCCACTCCGTCCACCATGAACTTACGCGTCTTCTTCAGGGTTTTTTTCTGCCTCTTGTTATCCTGGAAAACAGAAGATATATAGATTAAAACATATTTTAGGAAATACAGAGCATCTTATTAGCCTTATTGTAATATTTATGATTGTTAACCACACCCACCCACACACCCACACCCACACACACACACACACACACACACACACACACACACAAACACAAATAAATAAATACTAAAATAATTAAATAAAGACATCCTTTAAGATGTTTTTTATTGCTAATTATTACAGTGGATAAAAGGACTATAAATGTAATATTTAAATATTTTATTAAAATGTCACACAGACTCATTTGAGTGGAAAAACAAAAGGACTTTTGCTGCTTGTTCAAACTGTTAAAACGCGTTCAATCAACTCACAATTTTTTTGGTGGGGCAACTTAATTGTTATATGTTTAATCCACCAAGCATTTTTTTTTTATCAAAAATTTTTTTTAGCATTTCGTAGTTTGAAACTGATTCACTGAACCACTTTAAAGTCATTTTTTATTCCCCTGAAATGCTTTTATAGTCACTATATGATCAGAGACTCTCAGCATCAGTAGCGTTTCTGACCTGCTGTGAGTTGGTTCCCATCTCCTTGGATTTGCTGATGAAGCTGGAGATGGACAGGTTGAGGTCTATACTGCTGCTGTTGCTGCTGGTGTCAGTTGTAGAGCTGATGCCCGAATCGGAGTCCTCTTTCTTCACATAATGGGGTTTCACTGGGCTCTGCTTCTGCTCGTCCTCAAGCTTCTCCTTCTTCTCTTTCTCTGGCACTGGAGATGATGGAGCCACTGCTTTACTGGACTCCTCGATCACTGCTTTCTCTGTCGACAGAAAGCAATACATGTCAAACTAAGTAGAGCTGCACGATACTGGAATAGATGATGTTGCTGAGTACTGCGATAATAACTTTTGTAATATTGTAATATTTCCCTAGAAAAAAAGCTAATTTAAAAATTTGTTTATTTATTGGTAAAAAAACAGGTAATAATTGTTTTCATGATTTAATTAAATCTAATTCAGATGAAAGAAAGAAAGAAAGAAAGAAAGAAAAAAAGAAAGAAAAAAAGGAGAAAGAGAAAAAAGACAAAAAAAAAGCAAAAAAAAGTGAAAGAAAAAAGAAAGATAAATAAAAAGTAAAAAGAAAGAAATTAAAAAGTTAAAGAAAGAAAGAAAGGATAGAAACTAAAATAAATAAAGTAAGAAAGAAGGAAGGAAAGAGAGAAAGGATAAAAACTAAAAGAAATGGGGTAAAAGAAAAGAAAAAAGCTTAAACGAAAAGTAAATAAATAAATACATAAATAAATGAAAGAAAGAAAGAAAGAAAGAAAGAAAGAAAGAAAGAAAGAAAGAAAGAAAGAAAGAAAGAAAGAAAGAAAGAAAGAAAGAAAGAAAGAAAGAAAAGAAAGAAAGACGTAAGGGAAAAATAAATGAAAAGAAAGAAAGAAAAAATAGAAACAAAAATAAATTAAGTAAAAGAAAGAAAGAAAGGATAGATAAAAACTAAAAAAGAAACAAAGAATAAAGAAAGAAAGAAAGAAAGAAAGAAAGAATGAAAGAAATTGATTTATTGGTTTTTGTTTTGATGCCATATCAGAATTATTGTCTATATTCTTGTCAACTTTATTATTACAAATTCAATATTTAATTTTAGGATCATAATAATCATGCATTATACAAATAGCTTTATTATACAAACAAAGACATCTTCAATATATCTTAACACCTTTAATTAAGGTTAAAGAAAAAACTCAAAAGTTTGGAACCACTTGAAAGAGCGTAAACAGAGAGTAAAATGTTAATTTTGCGGTGGACTATCCCTTTAGGTTAGACATATTACCTAGAAAATTAATTTAAATACGACATTAACAATGTAACTAATCCATGATTACTATTTTTGAAGTAACTTACCCAGCACTGGTTACTCACCTTTGTCAGTTGGTGAACACACATCTGACGCAGGCTCTTTCTGGACGAGCTCACCATTTCCCAACACCTCCTCCTCCCTCAGTTTCTCTCCATCAGGTTTGGCCGGTTGGATTATTCCCTCAGCTGGAGTTTCTGAGGGAACCACGTCTGGTTCTCCTTCAGTTTTAAGCTCTTGTTTGTTGGATTCAGATGCTGCTTTATCTAGTATGTGGTTCTCTTCTGTCTTCAGAGGATCTTCTTCTTTCTTTATTTCAGCTGTAACAATATCATCTGCTAGTTTGGGAGCGGAGACCTCCTCGATCCTCTCAGGAACTGACTCTAATGTGGATGGAGACTGAGGAAGCTTCTCGTCTTCAGAACTGCCGACACTTGCATCAGACGGGGCGCGTTTGTGTCCAAGCTGAGGGGAAGAGCATTGCTGAATGAGTTGATAGAACTGAAGGCTTGTTCATGTTGTTATTTTTTTTACTATGGAGTGTTATTTTCAGTGTCGGTTAGCATTTTTTGTGTGGAGTTTGTATGTTCTCCCCATGTTGGCGTGGGTTTCCTCCGGGTGCTCCGGTTTCCCCCACAAGTCCAGAGACGTGTGGTACAGGTGAATTGGGTAAGCTAAATTGTCCGTAGTGTATGAGTGTGTGAGAATGAGTGTGTATGGGTGTTTCCCAGTGATGGGTTGCAGCTGGAAGGCCATCCTCTGTGTAAAACATATGCTGAATAAGTTAGCGGTTCATTCCGCTGTGGCGACCTCAGATTAATAAAGGGACTAAGCCGAATAGAAAATGAATGAATGAATGTTACTATCAGTCAGCCATTTTGGAGGCAATGAATGTAAACAATGCCACTGAACTAAACACTTGCTAATTTTGCTGATTATAGCTGCTGAAAATGATCAATTGTTGTAATATTTTGGACTGTACCAAGTAGTCAGACCAGAAAAAATTCCATTAAAAGCACTTTAGAATGCTAAATGTGTTAACAAATCAAGCAGAAGAGAGAAAAAAACAATGTCTGAGGAAAAAAGGTTGGCCAGGTTAGTTTGTGCTCAGTTAAACTGAACCAGTTTTACCAGAGGAAGAATCTTGACAACGGTCTTGTTTGCTTTTTATAATTTCTGTTGAGGTAAATGAAATAGTAGGTATTATTCCATGGTTTGTTAAAAATTCTTGATTCTGATTGGCTGGAGAGTGTGCATTATTTTCGTTGACAAAGAGCTTAGAATCACCAAGAGGCGACGCTCACTAGAACGTCCATTGCAACAGCAGCGCCCAGCAGCAGCCCTGCGATTCCGCCATTTTGGAGTGAAAGCGATCAGCCGTCCATTGAATCATACTGCTGTTGCAATGGCAAGCAGCTGCTTTGTTTTTATTTATTTAAAAAGCGCATTAAAGCTGAGATCCAACCTAAAAGACGACAATACAACACTCACTATGACAATCATCAGCACTTTTAATAGTTTATTTTACAGATTTACAATGCTGTTGTTCTATTGGAATTTTAATTGCAAAATGGCCGCCGCGTGACACTAGCAGCATCTAGTGGATGCTTCCCAAATCGCATGAGAGTGGCAGCTCTTGGTGATTCTATGCTCTTTGGTTTTGATCCCAGTTCAAAATAAATACGATTCTCCCAAACGTTTATAATTACCATAGCAACTCGCATTTGCTGCACAGGAAACCGATGAGGACTGTTAATGGCGCATAGGGAATCTGCAAAATTAGGAAAATACTCCTAAATTTTGCCACAATATCAAGTTTTTCAAGCGAGAATATAGATATTTTAAAGTCAAACCGGCTGTTTAAGTATGAGGATAGCGCATGTTTTAAAAATATTGGAAGCTCCAGGCTGTTAGCTGCAGCTCTGCAAACATCTCCCCCCTTTCTCTCCCTCCTTTATATCGGCCAGAACATCTCAGGACCTGCCGCTAGATGATCTCTTGCATCTCTGTTGTTAAAACGTGATATATAATTAATCTTTTGTGTATCTAACGGTCAGTCTTTGGACTTTTGCACCTCTTATTTGTTCTCAGGTGTATTTGTTTGCCAGATCGCATAGATAAGTTTCATGATTTATGACTGTGAATAATGTAATATTCCACAGATCCTGTGTGTTTGGCTGATTGCTTTTGTAGAAGATAAATAAAGCAGAATGCTCTCCTCCCTGTCCTGTAATGTTTTTTTCTTTTGCAAAAATTCCCTACATATTTAACAGCAAAGACTTCTAAAATGGGATTTGGCTGCTTTCTCCATCGTGTGTCAGGTTTTCAATGGTTCAGTGTATTCAGTTGTACATTAACTGTGTGATTCATCTTGCGGTTTACACTCAAGTATCAATGATCCATATCTAATGTGAGTGCAAACTCACTACATGTATGGCACTTTAAAGGTTTGAGCTATGAAAGTCTCACCAGGTTTCCTTCATGCTCTTCATCATCCTCCTCCTCCTCCATCTCCTCCGTAACCTCCGCCTTTGCCTCTGCGATCAGCTCCCGCAGCGGCCGGCTGTCAGTTACAGTGCTCACAAACGGGTGCTGTGCACATCAAAACAACTACCATTAGTGGAATGTACAGAGTTATATGCGCAAATACTGTGAAGATACAAATAGTTTAAGGGGGACCTATTATGCCCCTTTTTTAACAGTAAGATTCAGCTCAAAATACTACATAATTTAATTCTTTAACTTTTTGAAAAGCTCCTTTATGTATTGATCTAAATTGTGCAGTTGAGATTGTGGCTGTTTTTCAAAAGAAGGCGGAGCTAAAATGCCTTTGCCTCAGCATTGCAGCAGATTCAAAACAGGACGTTATCTGTGAAAAACTAATAATGTGAAAAGAAAGGGCTCAGACAAAGGTAGTCTATGGAGATTACGCTGTTCATTTGTGCATCCTAGGACATTTATAATGCCACTTATTTACTGACATGATCTTTGGCAGGTACAGTGTGAAAACTCTAATGGCTTCTCATTCATGGCTGTCTATGCTAATGAAGGAGAAATTGTCACTAATGGGCGGGGCTTTCCTGCTCTGATGACATGTATAAAAGGAGAATGTCAATCAAATTGTTTTTAGTTGCAATTTTAATCAAAGGTGATCATTAAAAATAGAATTAATTAATTAATACTATTAGAAGCTGGCTATATTCACACACAGCTGACAAACAACAACTGTGTCTAAACTCTTTTAATAGGTCTTCGATTTGTTTCAAAGCTCTGTTAATGCACCCAAATATTAAAATTGAAATATATGCAGTTGAAGTTGAATTACAGTTGAATTAATAGCCCCCCTTTGGTTTTTTTCTTTTTTTAATACTTTCCAAATTATGCTTAACAGAGCAAGGAAATTTTCACAGTTTGTTTAAAAATATTTTTTCTTCTGGAGTAAGTCTTTTTTGTTTCGCTTCGGCAAGAATAAAATCAGTTTTTAAACTTTTTTAAAAACCATCTGAAGGTCAATATTATTAGCCCCTTTAAGCAATATTTTTTTTGATAGTCTACAGAACAAACCATCGTTATACAATAACTTGCCTAATTACCCAAACCTGCCTAGTTGACCTAATTAACTAGTTAAGCCTTCAAACAACATTTTAAGCTGTACATGTTTAAGCTGTCTTATTTATTCAAATATCTAGCAAAATATTTATTACTGTCATCATGGCAAAGATAAAATAAATAAGTTATTAGAAATGAGTTATTAAAACAATTATGTTTAGAAACGTGCTGAAAAAAAATATTTTCTCTATTAAAGAGAAATTGGGGGAAAAAATAAACTAATAATTCAGGGGGGCTAATAATTCTGACATTAACTGTGTGTGTGTGTGTGTGTGTGTGTGTGTGTATATATATATATATATATATATATATATATATATATATATATATATATATATATATATATATATATATATATATATATATATATATATATATATATATAGTTGAAGTCAGATTTTTTAGCCCCCCTGTTATTTTTTTTCAACACATTTCTAAACATAATAGTTTTAATAACTCATTTCTAATAACTAATGTATTTTATCTTTGCCATGATGACTGTAAATAATATTTGACTAGATATTTATCAAGACACTTCTATACAGCTTAAAGTGACATTTGAAGGCTTAAATAGGTTAATTAGGTTACCTAGACAGGTTCTGCAAGTTAGGGTTAGGTGCGTTTTATTCTGCATGTTTTTGTATAATGATGGTTTGTTCAGTAGAATTCTGTAAAAAAAATATAGCTTAAAGGGACTAATAATATTGACCCTAAAATGAAAAAAATAGTTTTTATTCTAATCGAAATAAGACAAATAAGCCTTTCTGTGACAAACTTAAAATTCCCTTGCTCTGTTAAACATAATTTAAAAAATATTTTAAAAAGAAAAAAATTCTTATAATTCTGACTTTAACTGTATGAATGTATGTATATTTGTATGTATATAAAGTTTTGATTTACTTATTGTAGGGAATTTCCTAAATATCATGATGTTATGGCATAAAAGAAAAATCTATAATTTTAACCTATAAAATGTATTTTTGTTCTCCAGTGATGTGTTGCAGCTGAAAGGGCATCCGCTGTGTAAAACATATGCATAAGTTGGTGGTTCATTCTGCTGTGGCGACCCCAGATTAATAAAGGGACTAAGGCGAAAAGGAAAATGAATGAAAATGTATTTTTGGCTATTACTAAGTCTAGACCTGTGGAAAATAATTTTGAGTTTCAGGATCACATTTAAAATTTTACATCTAAATAATATGTAAATGCAAAAAAAAAAAAAAAAAAAAAAAAAAAACATTACATCAAACCACAATTAATTTAACAATAATGTAATTAATTTTATTAATTTAACAGTTTATCTAATAATTCAATTCATTGTTCTCATTGAACTTGAGGAACTTTCAGGTAAACAAGTTATTAGTCTTCAGAATAAATAGTCTTCAAAATATTTTAAGTAAATCTGTATTTGTTGTGGTAAAACGTGGCTAAGCAAAATTATAATTTATAAATTATATTATAATAAAAATAAATGCTATTAGATTACTGGCATTTTAGAAGATTTACAATTAGTATTGTAAAACAAAAATTAAAAAAATGCATGAAAATAAATTAAACACCCAAATAAACTCTCTGTTATGTCATGGCACTGATATGCTTTATGCATGACTATCTTGCAAAGAAAGTACATCTGCATAGATTGCATAAAAAAACAAAAAACAAACAAACAGGATCATACAATTTTAATGCACGATCATAACAAACAACAAACAAGAATCCCAAGAGCATTTCTTACCTCCCTGGGCTTCGCTGTGCACTGAAAACAGTCTAGCGCCGGTCTGAGAATGTGCAGCTTCTTTGATATAATCACTTTAAAAGGTGGAAAACTGGAGTTCTGTATTTTCAACCCCATTGAGATTGTCTCCTCAAAGTGTTAAGCACTAAATGAGTTTGCGTGTGAGTATATGAGCGCGGTCAGCGTTAGTCTGGCCTACTTAAAGCCTCAGAAAGGCAATCTGCTTTGCTGACGTCAATTCTTAAGGATGAAGTGCCTGACACAGAGAAACATATCAATGAGCCGCTGCTGATTCATGTGGAGCCGCAGGTGAACCAGATGAAGACCAGAGGTGTTTAAGACCCGCACAGATTTAGATCAACACTGTGTGTGTGTGTGTGTGTGTGTTCAGGAAGTTAAAAGTGCTAAAATAAAGGTGGTCAGTTCACCTGGAGGAGTTGCGCTGTGCTCCACCTGTTGTCCACGTTTTTTTCCAGCGCGTGTTTGAGGAAGTCCCTGAACTCAGGAGACCTGCAAAAGAATAAGTCAATACAATTAAAATGAACTGCATTGGTGTTATATTGTGACTATATATAGTACATTAATTGTTTTTTATTGACTACTGCTGTGTGATTTATTACTGTGAGTTTTGTTTTGTATACATTGTAGTACTTTGCGTTTAAGAAAAGCGCATCATAAAATGTATTATTATTATAACTGATTACTGATCAATATTTAATTTCATTTATTATTCATTTCATTTCTTCCTTTTTATTAAACTAAATATTTAAAAAAAAATAGTTTAATATTAGTTGTATTTTTTACTTTAATTTGGTGATCTGTTTATACTACAGATTGTAAATTGAATTTGTTGTTTATTTATTATTTTGCTTTTTTTATTTGAAACGTGTTCATTTTCATTATTTTGGAGGCACGTTTCCCACATTTTTTCGCACATTTTTAATATTCAAAATGTAGAAACATAATATAAACATTTCAATATTAGATTTAAATATAATAACAAAGACAAAAAAAGTAACAAAAGGAAATTAAAAACTTTTAATTAACTTGCAGTGCTCAGCATATCCTTTAGATTCATATTGTTAATAGGAAACTAGACAATATTAGATTTGTGTGTATATATATATATATATATATATATATATATATATATATATATATATTAGCTTACTGAAGCAAAATCAGGAGCTTATCTAACGAAATAACTTATGATATTATTTATGATAAAGAAAAATTTTAAATACAAATTTAAAAACAGGAAAAATCAAGAGAAGAAATTTTTTTTTTTAAATTTAGTTGACATTTTGTAGTTTTTTTTTGCAGTATTTTGCTTGAATTTATTTGTATTATCTTCCTAATTTCTAAATGTGTTTGGTGACTAAAATATTATTTTAATAAATATATCCGTTGAATAAATCTGTTTCGTTTAAATGCACCAAAATGCATTGCCTACATTCACTGAGAAATTGCTAAAAATAATTGTTCAAAATGGGCTGTACTCAATTATGCTGAGCACTGTAAAAAATTTTTTATAATATTTCACTTAACATTTATAAGATATTTAACAAAACAGTTCAATACCAATAAAACATATATACTGTTACCAAATATATAAACATATCAAATATATAAACAAGGGATGACAATGCTCACATTTTTACAAAGCCAGTGTCATGAATATATGTTAGAAATAAAGATGAGGATTTACAAACTTAAAATGCTAAATTCCCAAGAGTCTTAAGATAGGTCCCCACACAGCTGATTTCAGCTTTTTTTTTTTTTACGGTGAAGTTTCAAGACGTAGATGTTCCACTTGAATGACATAAATCAACTTGTTCATCAATCTCTGATAACAGGGAGCCTTTGAAGATCTCCAGTTAAGATCATCTTAACTTGCATATAATCTATTTTATTTGTTACATTTATTTTAAACCATATTTCAACTTTGTGAAGCTTTTTGCATTGGCAAAATATGCAGTAATATAATTTACTGCTTTCATTCATTCATTCACTTTCTTTTCGGCTTAGTCCCTTTATTAATCAGGGGTTACCACAGCGGAATGAACCGCCAACTTATCCATCATATGTTTTACACAGCGGATGCCTTTTCAGCTGCAACCCATCACTGTGAAAAACACCCATACACTCTCATTCACACACATACACTATGAACAATTTAGCTTACCCAATTCTCCTACAGTGCATGTATTTGGCATGTATTGTGAGAAACCAAAGCTTATTTACGGTTTTATTAATTAAGACAATTGAATAGTTTTAAAGAAAAAAAAAATCAATATTACAATTTTACATTAATATAAAAAAATATATGTATGTTCAAAAACCAACGGTCTGTTCTATATCAATCACAAGCATGTTTTTTGGTACCATTTGGAGGGCTGTAGTAGAGTAGGAGGCTCAGCTTTGGCGATCTTCAGCAGGACTCTCATCGGGTTCATCTCGTGGTTTGGAGGTTCGATCTGAGCCAGTTCAATCAGAGTGATTCCCAGAGACCAGATATCAGCCTTATAGTCATACGGCCTGTCCTTCGACGTCTCGCACATCACCACCTCTGGAGCCATCCTGAAGGACAAACCCAGAGACATCAGCATGTTTCTAATGCCAATGTGTAGCAGTGCAAGAAGCTGGTATGGTAAACTCACCAGTAAGGGGTTCCAATGAAAGAGTCTCTTCGCTGAACAGTCTTCGTGTTCTTGGCAGACACTCCAAAATCCGCTGAAAGATAAAGAAAATGTGCTTGTTAGGAATCAATCTGCCTGAAAAAGAGTAGTTTTTCCAAAATAAACATGCTTGCTTTTAAATTCAATGATGGAATACAATGATTTTGTGGCTTAAGCCTCCACATCGTTACATGCTAGCTTGAAATTTCCTGGCAATGTTTGAGTTTTGTTCTACATTTAAAATAGTTCTGAGTTTTAAAAGGTAGAATTGTAAAGGTTTCAAGAACAGACAGACATTAGCATGTGTTAGTACAATCTTAGTGTGTATTAGTGTATGTTCATCAAGTAGCTAGCATTTTTCTGATGTTTTAAAACATTACTAACATTTTCTAGCATGTCATACCTTGTTTGCTAAGATGTTTGGGCACATAGATAACATGTTCCAGCATGATGCTAAATTATAAACATGCACCTAACATGTCTTAACATGTTGCTAGCATATCTCTGTAAGTAGGCCGAGCAAGCAAGCCTGTTATAAATGACCCTCCTCACCTAGTTAGCTATTATTTCAGTACAAAACATTTTAAAAATACATTACTGTTTCATGAACTGCTGAATGAACTTTTAACATAGTTGCTAACGCGTTTCAACAAATTCCTGGTTTGTTCTAACACGTGGCAAGCATTTACCAACAAATTGCTAACATGTTTTAACAAACTAAAAACATGTTTAAATGTTTAGCATGTTGTTAGCATATCTCTAAGAAGGTTAAATTAGCTGCTAATGTTTCAGCTAATTTACTATACGTTCTAACATGTGGCTAGCATTTTACATAAACATTCCTAACATGTTTTAAATGTTTAGCATGTTGTTAGCATATCTCTAGGAAGTTTAGGTTAGCTGCTAATGCTTTGGCAAATTCATGATATGTTCTAACATGTGGCTAGCATTTTTCAACAAACTGCTAGCATGTTTAAACACATTCCTAACATGTTATAGCATGCTGCTGACATTTCTAAACAGATTTCAAAAATTACTAACTTAAATCTTAATAAAAAGTCACAAACAAGTTACAACAGATTACTTAACGTTGTTGTTTTTTTTCTAGCATATTTTAATGTTATTAACATGTTTTACCATGTTAACAAGTTATATGCTTACTTTACCAGAATATGGTTTAGCCTGGTGTAAACTACCCTCCCCAGCTCCTTTCTGTACATATAAGTTACTAGCTTTTTTATGGCTAGCATGTTTTAAAGTTACCAGCATGTTTTAAACACATTTACAAAAAAGTTTAGCAAGCAAGCCTGATGTAAATGCCCCTCCTTAGCTCCTCTTTGTATGTCTAAGTCTTTCTTTACCTTGCTTTTATGTAATCGTAAAACTCTTTACCAGCACAGCACATCCTAAAACATCCTCCTGTGCTGGACTTTATGCATCTGATGTGCAACAAAATATTAAAAATACTTCAATGCTACTATTATAATTAAATTGAGGATGACTGTTGACCTGGTTAACTTGATGCGCACACACAGAATCCGCAGCATCAGCAGCTCTATAGCCTCATCTCACCCAATTTGACGTCTCCATCCAGCGTGAGCAGGATGTTTCCAGCCTTCAGGTCTCTGTGAATGACCTTGTTGTCATGCAGATACAGCAGAGCATCCAGAGTCTGCTTACAAACCACCCTGATCTGCGGCTCCGTCAGAGGCCTTTCCAGTTCTATACACACACACATACACAAACATATAAACAGAGATATGTGTATAATAGGAGTTAAAAAATAAGCAGTGTTGTCAGATTCACAAACAAATCACTCCAATGAATCATTCAAAAACAGTTAAACTCATCAGCTACCTGTCTGAATAAGTCCTACACTAAATCGGTCAAATACAATATATGTGGGCTGATAAAGGGGGCTAATAATATTGACATGAAACTGTTTTAAAAAAATTTTAAAACTGCTTTCATTCTAAAAAAAATATTATAGGAAATACTGTAAAAAATGTCTTGCACTGTTAAACATCTTTTGGGAAATATTTGAAAAAGGAACTCAAAGGAGGGTAAATAGTTTGTTGGTTACTAAAGGTTACCGAATTTACCAGTCAATAAAAGTTTATTTCGGTCAAAATGAAGTTCATTTTTTGTGTACTGGAGGTTCAGTGTCATTGCTGACATTTTATGTGACACTATGATAAACCCTGCTGTCAGAGTTTCCTACCTGCACCAAACATGATGTGAGATGCAATCACTTTGAGTGAGCTGCCTCGGGAATTAATATGCAATTTCTGGATTAAACATACTCAGTAATTATACATGGTGGCCTTTTTTCTAAAATGCAGCTATAATGTGAATAGCTCACTTGTAATGACTGGTAAAATAAATCTGCTGCTTGGAAAACAATATAAAAGAATTTTATTTTTGCATGAATACATTCATCATTAATAAATGCTAGGCATACTTTCATTCAATTCAAGGTCACGCACAGAATACACTGGTGTAGAACTAAACTAAATACTCAACTTGCCTTCACTGTACAGCGAAACCAGGCACACTGTTAGATACTTTCTGGTCTTGTTTGAAACTGTCTGATTTGGGTTGCAATGGGATTTTGCTATCCAACATGCTCTTTGAATAGAAAAGATTCGGACCGCAATAAAACAAATGCCAGAACAGTTCCTGAAAGTCTGGAGCCCTTTTCTACATTTTTAAAGGAGACACCTATATCTTAATTGCCTTTTTAGCTTCCTTTTCTTTGTATAATTAATTTATTTTTTAGTTTAAATTAAATGAAACTAAAAAAGCTTAACTAAAATACAATTCTATTAAATTAAACTAAACTAAATTAAAATAAAATGAAAATAAACTAAACTAAAATTAAACTAAACTAAAATGTTATTAAATTAAAATTTAACTAAAATAAAATTAAAAAATGAAATAACTAAATTAAATTAAATTAAACTTAAATGTTATAAAAATAAATTGAATAAAATAAAAATTTAATTAAATTAAACCTAAATAAACAAAACTAAAATGAAATTAAAATTAAATTAAACTAAACTAAAATTAAATAAAATTAAAATAAAATTAAAGAATTAAAGGAAATAAAATTAAATGAAATAAAGATTAAATTTTAAAGAATTAAATTAAACTAAATTAAATTAAATTAAACTAAAATTTTATTTAATTAAACTAGCTGAAATAAAAATTTTAAAAATAAATGTAAACTAAAAAACTAAAATGAAATTAAACTAAACTAAAATAAACTGAACAAAACTAAAATATATTAAATTAATTTTTTATCAAATTAGATAATTAATAATTAAATTAAAATTTACAAAAATTCATTAATATATAATTATAAAAAATATATATATTATATTCAAATCAATGTAATTGCATTTAACTTTTTCCAGTGCAAAATGTTTATAAGAGATGGAATAAATCAATATATAACTTATATATGTAAATTTTTGCAACAAACTGGTTACTTTGACTGAATGATTCTGTTAAACTTCATCTTGGCCTGAAAAAATGAAATGTGTTTTTGTTTAAGTAATGGAAAGGAGCTGTGACCTTTTCTTGGTTCAGCCTTGCATGTCAAACTTTTATCTGAACTCACCAAGCATGACGGCATCGACGGCCCCGCCGGCACAGAACTCGATCAGGATCTGCAAACCGAAACATAAAAACATTTAACCCATCAACCAGACTTCCCATGCACAACACTGACCGTCTTTATTTCTCAATATTCAGCCGGGGCACAATGTCCACTTTGTGCTTTTGTAGACAAAATCTGTTTATCCTATTGTCATGAACACACACACATACTGTACAGCTGTAGTTGTTCATAAAGCCACTGTTAATTCAACTCAATCTAGAACACTCATTCATCTCCGTTTGGATGCAAATTATTGGATAAATCTATAATTACTAGTTCCAAACCAGGTAAGACAAGTACATAACGTCCCACTTAATATTAGCTTTCCCAAACAATTCACTTTGCAGGGCTGTGATTGGTCAATAGCACTGCAATGCAGGGTCACGATTGGTCAATGAAGCTGCTGAGTCTCGAAGCCTTTTCTTGTTCCTCAATGTAGTGTTGAATGACATAAGAGGATGACTGAGAGGCCTGTATGAGCACGAGGAAGGCTTTCATTAGCACAGTGCCAGACTTGAGTCCTTTCTGCCCTAATAGGATTAGAGTTTCCATGAACAGTGAGCGGATGTGGGGTTATGGTTAGAGATGGTCATCGGGAGCTGACAGGTATCAGTAGAGACTGCTCACCTATAGTCAGTACTGAACAACAGCTGTTTTTCCAGTATCAGGTTAAATTGGTTTTATCTGGGCCTGTTTGTATGAAAGTTTTTAAGCTAAGAAATCCCCAACAAATAATAACTTGACTTCTAGTTGATCATTTGGAAAAGTGGCAGAAGGAAAATCTTTCAGATGAATCATGTGTTGAACTCCCAATCATCACAAATACTGCAGAAGATCTATTGGAACCAGCATGAACCCAAGATTCTCACTGAAATCAGTCAAGTTTGGTGAAAAAAACTCGTGGTTTGGGGTTAAATTTAGTATGTGGGCATGTGAAAGATCTGCAGAGTGGATGGCAACATCAACAGCCTGAGGTTTCAAGACATTTGTGCTGCCCATTACATTAAAATCACAAGGGAGGGCAAATTCTTCAGCTGGATAGCGCATCTTCTAATACTTCAGCCTCCACATCAAAGTTCCTAAAAGCAAAGACGGCCAAGGTTCTGAAGGATTGGCCAGCTCAGTCACCAGGCATGAACATTATTGAGCATGTCTGGGGTAAGATGAAGGAGGGGGCATTAAAGATGAATCCTAAGTATCTTGATGAACTCTGGGAGTCCTGCAAGAATGCTTTCTTTGCCATTCCAGATGACTTTATTAATCAGTGATTTGAGTCATTGCAGAGATGCATGGATGCAGTCCTCCAAACTCATGGGAGTCATACACAATATTCATTCTATCTCCACTACAGCATGACTTTATATTCTATTCTGGACATTATTTCTGTTTTAGTGTCCTAATTAAATAATTAAGAATCAAGGCATGATCATATTTTATTTTGGTCGAATAAGCATAATCTAGATCAGGGGTTCTTAACTGGTTTGGCCATGGGACCCACATTTTTACATGGTCATCAAGCCGCGACCCAAATTTTTAGGAAATTTAGGAATTTTCTGGTTTCTAAATGTTGTTTTAAGTTAGAAAGTTTCATGCTCTCTTATTAGAGCACCTCACTATGATACACTGAGGCTTTAAGTCTTTTTTTGTCGTCAATATATGTAAATCCATACTTAACATATTCGGGGTCATGCTTGCACTTCAACATATTTGTTGCTATAATTAAATGAAATTTCACATTTCAAACGGTAGAATTGTTGCGTGTGCATTTCAAAATAAAAATCCAGTATAAGCAAATTAAGTTAAATTAATCTTTTGTTGTTCACTCCACGACCCACTGGAAATGTTCCCGCGACCCACCAGTTGAGAAACACTGATCTAGATGCTTTTGCCCTTCATCTAAGCCACTTCCGATACCAAATGATCAACTAGAAGTCAAGATATTATTTGCTGTTCCTAAACTTGGATAGGCAACAAGACTTTTGTCAGGTAGTGTGGAAAGTGTTATTGGAATCACCCAAAACGTTCTCTTTCTAATAAATATTTAAACTTGTCTAATAAAAGTGCAAGAAACTATCGGCTCCTAATCTATTGCATAAAAACAGACGCAGAACAGTCAGTCATTCATGCCTGCGAGTGTTGTTTCACTGTGGGTGAGACGTTGGTTTTGTCTGGCGGCTATGAGAACACAATAGCCCACACAGTGCAAGTCATTCAGTCCAAAAACTACAATGACCAAACTCAACACACAAGACGAGACTTCCTTTCCAATTCTGAAAATGTATTTCCATTTGCATTCATCTCCAGTCTGGAATAGATATCAGAATGCACCATTAAAGGGAAAGTTCACTTAAAATAACTTGCATTTCCTCATCATTTATGAATTTCTTTCTTCTGTTGAACACAAAACAATATATTCCGCATAATGTTGGGGGAAAAAGCTATAAATGCTATGAAAATCACTGCCTATTTTCCCCCAACATTCTTCAAAACAAATGAACAAATGAAGGATAAATGAAATCAAAATTTGTATTTTTGGTTGAACTATCCCTTTAATCGTTATACACTGCACATATAAAGTTTGTAAACACCTAAAAACGTCACTTCAAGCTGCAAAACATAATCAAAATAATCTTCAAAAAAATTGATGTTATGTAATTTTCGTCATTATAAGGAAACCACTTTACTCAGGTGACTGAATGGGATTATTAAAGGTGTGTGTTATTTATCCTGTAAAGGCTGTGAATGGCTGATGAATAATTGTGTTCGAACATTCCCTGAATCCCAGCCAAATCAAAGCCGTCGTCTTTCTGCATAAGGAAATGGGAGAGGCTGATGTCAGTCTATTTCCTGGTGTCCGACAGGATCAGAGTAAAGCACGCACACCTCTTCCAGAACATATTGTTTAATACACAATAATGCAGATGACAAAATAAACTCAGGTAAAATACAAATGGTCTGATCTCACCGTGAGAAAAAAATAGTGGGTATGACCTCACAAACGGCGCAAAGTCAAATTTACTGCCAAATCAGACTGAGCTAGTAATTAATAATAAATAATAGTTGCTTATTATATGTAATAGTTATTAGCACTGCACAAAAGATTTTGCTCTATTATTTGTTACTGACTGCATAGAGTCATTTGAATATAAAATAATATATTCTGCATTAAACCATAAACGGAATAAAAACTATTAATAAATTGCCTTTCATTTGGAGAAAAACTATGTTCTGAGTGGTAACCAAAACAAATCATGATGCACGTAAAAATTTATACCTCTGCTTAAAAAAAAATCATAAAAATTATTACAGCGTTTATGGTGATATGGTAAAAATACATTTAACTTAATACATAGTTTCATAGTGGTGAGTATCACCATTGAAAATAACCCCCCAAAATAAAGTAAAACTAAACTAAATAAAAAAATAATAATAATTTTTACTAAAAATAAAATAAAATCTTAAATCTTGACAAATTGTATTCCCAGAGATGGGTTGCGGCTGGAAGGGCATCCACTGCTCAAAAACGTGCTGGATAAGTTGGCGGTTCATTCCGCTGTGGCGACCCCGGTTTAATAAAGGGACTAAGCCGAAAAGAAAATGAATGGTGACAGATTGTGTAATTTTACAAATGTCTTTAAATACATTAACATATAAGTTAGGGTAATTAGGCAAGTTATTGTATAATGATGGTTTGCTCTGTACACAATCTAAAAAAATACTGCTTAAGGGGGCTATTAATATTGACCTTAATATGTTTTTAAAAAAAATACAAACCGCTTTTATCCTAGCTGAAATAAAACAAATATGACTTTCTCCAGAAGAAAAAATATTTTAGGAAATACTGTGAAAAATTCCTTGTTCTGTTAAACATCATATGGGAAGGAAAAAAAATTAAATAAAAAAATAACAATAATAAAATACTAATAAATAAATAAAATCATGACCCAAATAAATAAATTAATAAATATAATTTGGTGACAAATAAAGTTATTTTTCTTTTTTTTTTTAAATAAATTCATATACATTTATATTGTTATATATGTAACATAAAATATTTCATGTCCTGTTTGGATCTGAACCAAGGTTAAAAATAACACACCAGATTCAATTGTCCACGTACTGGAATGATATTGGACTGAAGTGACCAGAAAGCTTTCTAGGGCCACATCAACCATGTGCAAAACTTCTGCTGAGCAGGAAGGAAATGATTCAAGTCAACAAGAAAACAACTCCAATGCCTTTTCCATCTATTTTCCTGTCCACAACAAGAATGACCATGCAGTATAAAGCAACGATGTAACAATGAGTAATAAAAAACTGACAATTAACCCAAATAGAAAATTTGGCGGCAGCACGGTAGCTCAGTGGTTAGCACTGTCGCCTCACAGCAATAAGGTCGCTGGTTCGAGTCCCAGCTGGGTCATTTGGCATTTCTGTGTTTGCATGTTCTCCCCACGTTGGTAGGGGTTTCCTCTGGGTGCTCTGGTTTCCCCTACAGTCCAAAGACTTGCGCTATAGGTGAATTGAATGAACTAAATTGGCCATAGTGTACAAGTGTGTGTGAATGTGAGAGTGTATAGGTGCTTCCCACTACTGGGTTGCGACTGGAAGGGCATCCGCTGCGTAAAATATTGACCAGAGTAGTTGGCGGTTCATTCTGCTGTGGCAACTCCTGATAAATAAGAAACTAATATGAAGGAAGTGAATAAATTATGAATGAATAAATGAAAACTTTTGGCATCGGTTACTCATAACATTTATATTTTTTGGTGAACCATCTCTTATTTTACATTATTAAACAATATAACCATATTTTTGTATATAATACTACCATACTACCAGTATAATACCACCATAAAAAAAACAAAACCAACACTAACTCACCCACAGTTTGCTCTCAAAGTAAAAAGCGTCGAGCAGCTTGACGATGTTGTGATGATCACATGATGCCAAGATGTCGATCTCCACCATGTAGTCCTCCAGCTCATCTTCAGTTTTAGTGTCGATCACCTTTGCAGCCGCAAAAATACCAGTCTGCTTGTTCTGTGCCTGAAAAAAATAAAGGTTCAAGTCCATAAATTCAGAAAGTTCACTTATATCTCACAAACTTTATATTAGTTATATAGTAACAAATAGCAGACATAATAATAAGTGTCACGTATGTTATAGTAAGAAAACAAACTTTCTGTTTGTTTTCAGTTAAATGATCTGATTATGTGATTTTGAGGTATTGGGTGTGGCTAACATACTTAACCACGCCCCTCCAGCTTTCAGTTTTGACAACAAATACAAATGTTGAAGAGGAAGAGTCTGTAATAACTGCTGTAATAACTGTGCCAAACCCCCTTCTCAATCTTTCTGAATTAAATGTCTACTTCACTACATCCAATCAGCTTGCAGTAAAAAAAACAAGCCCCGCCCACTGTTTTCTCATTTAATATTACATTTTTCTAGAATCTGCATCACAAAACTAATAAATGTTGGTTGTAGTTTCCGGTTCAGGCGAACTTTACAGACTGTGTAAACAAAATGGACAATGTTTTAATTTCCACACTATTTTTAGCCCCTCTTACCGTTAGTTTGCGATAAGGAAATGATGCACGAAAAGAAAGCCCCGCCTCCTTTAATAAAATATATCAGCAGCTTCTGGCTCATCAGACTGACTTTAATGTTTTACTGAATAAAAAAATGGTCTTCCATGGCCTGAAGGCGAGTTAATTAAAGGGTCAGGAAACACAAAAACATATTTTTGAGATGTTGACAGTCTTATACATGTCCCACCCTGCTAAAATCACTTCTAAGACACACATATTTCACTAAAAAGTGAAAATTGGTTGTTTTTGCGTTATTTCGAGCAAATTCATTTTCTCATGAAAAGAAATTTAATAAATAAATCTTGAAAGCCTGATAAAGATGACCCGTACCGACCCATATCGTACAGTACTGTACCAGTGGAAATGAGCCATTAGATGAACTGTCCCTTCAAGTGTCTTATGAAAAAAAAAATTGGTTGGCATACACTTTGAAAAATATTTTCTTACTGATAAAACTGAAAGTCTATTTATAGTACTACCTATCAACATATTTATAGACAATGCAATCACCTTGTTTATTAGGTTATCTTTTATTGTACTCCTGATGTTAAACTACCTGTGTAGATCAGACATTATGCTTAAGGCGTGACATACAGACTTTACACACACGCAAACTTTATGATTCAACACATAATCTCTTTCAGCAACCTACAAAGCAGGCTCGTTAGAGGTAAAAATCATTAATTAGACTCCAGCGTTCAACAGAAATCCCATTCAGTGTCATTCATACTAATGAATCTTTCTGGAGTGCAGAGGAATGAAGGTCACTGAACAATACCACCCAGCACACAGCTTTTGTAAACGGGAGGTAATCTACAGTATTTAGAGGCTAAAGTGATACAGTAGTGAAAAATTAACCAGGTCAAAGTCCGCCGGTTTACTACAGGATGATTCGGAATAATAAAAAGAATCATGAATTTGTTTCATTGTGTGAATATCACCTTTTTTTGGTGAGTTGCTTAATGCCTGTGAATAACAGCATCTGCTAAACGACTAAATGTAAAGATTTCTGTGACTCGGGTGCATTCTACTGATCTGATTAGTAATTTACCTGCTTTTAATTTTAGGAATTACACTTTAAAAATTCAAACTTTGAGAATGTATAGATTTAATTGAGAAAATTTAATTGTTTAGAAATAAAAAAAACAATAATAGTATATTGTAATACAACAATAATAATAGTTGTAATACAACTATAAAATTTCAACATTCAAAATAAGATCATTCTGCAGGGGACAGGTAGGTTGGATGGCGCAGACGAAGGACGAAATTGAAGAGCTGGGGGTTTAATCATTTATATATATTTATATTTATATATTTATATTTAGTCGTTTATATTTATATTTATATTTAGTCATTTAGCAGACGCTTTTATCCAAAGCGACTTACAAATGAGGACAAGATTTCAGAGGTGCCGTATCCAGAGTGTTCGGACACAATTCAAGCCCTGTCCATTGAATGTGTGCTACAGAATCTCACTGGAAGTAGTAGGTCATCCAGGTACTTATTACATGGAATACAATGGATTCAAACATACGACTCGACTCACATACTACATACAGTAGTAGGGAAGTATGCAATTTCAGATGCAACCCTTGTCTTTTGTGACCTAATGCCTCTTTGACCTCTATAGGGGGTGGCACAGTGCCTCAGTGGTTAGGACTGTCGCCTTGCAGCAAGAAGGTCGCAGGTTCGAGAGAACAGTTGGCATTTCTGTGTGGAGTTTGCATGTTCTTCCCGTGTTTTTGCGTAGGTTTCTTCCGAGTGCTCCGGTTTCCCCCACAGTCCAAACACACATGCTATAGATGAATTAAATAAGCTAAATTGGCTGTAGTGTATGTGTGTAAATATTGGAGTGTATGGGTGTTTTCCAGTACTGGGTTGGAAGGGCATCCAATGTGTAAAACATATGCAGGAATAGTTGATGGTTCATTCCGCTGTGGCGACCCCTGATGAATAAAGGGACTAAGCCGAAGGAAAATTACTGAATAAATAGCCAGAAGTGTACATTTTTGGGGGTGGGTCCCACAAAGGGGTCAATTGAACACACCTTCATGTTCACAAGCATAAATCTAAATGAAGTGTGTCATTTGGAATTGGGCCATACTGAGTAGGAAGACGTTGGTTAGCTGGTTCTGGTGTGTAATTGGTGGTTAAGGCTAATCTCTGCAGAACAGGGGCCTTCCAGGAACACTCCTGGCATAGAGGTTGTGTCCTTAAATCTGCAAATCACCCTAAGCGACAATAAGCCTCATGGCAAAGAAAGCTTTCACTGGAACAAGACCAGAAAACAATCAAGCAGACTGGAAACCGAAGGGTGAGATGAGGTCATGTCAGTGTCAACCATGCGCATGATGATGATGATGATGATGATGATGATGATGTCAAGGATAAATCTTTAAGAATTCAGAAAACGTTACTATATTAATTAATAAACTAAATTATATTAATCAATTATAAATTGTCTTTGTGAACTGTAGGCATGGGACGATAACTGTTTTCAAGGTATACAGCGGTTTGAAAAAATTAAGGTTTTAAATCTGCCAACATTTTTCGTTATACCGTTTCTATGGTATATTTACCATTTTTTAGGACAACAGTACCTCCAGCAGAAAACATATTTAAAGATGCCATTTTAAATTGTAAAGAAATCTTTGTTTTTGAAACTAATAAAGACAGCACAAGTCAATGATTCCTTTGAATTATTTAGCCTGACATGTTTACTGCTCCAAAATACTTTAAATGTTTCCCCAAATTAAAATACATGGTGTTCAAAAGGGTAATTTTTATTATTATTTTTTTTTTTTAACCAGACATTTAAAAATAACACATTTTAGAGCAGTAATCACAATACTGTGAAACCGTGATATTTTTATCCAAGGTTATCATACTATCAGAATCATATACTGGCCCAAGCCTAGTAAACAATAGTAAGACAGTTTGCTAGTTGCTTGGTTGGATGAATGGATGGACAAATGAAATAATGATAGTCAGATGAAATTGATGGATGCGTGATAGACAGACAGATAGATCGATTTAATTTTAGATCAGAAGGACAGAGAGAATTTATGTTCAACCTACAAATAGACAAATAGGAAGAATATCAGACAATAGACAGACAAATAATGTTAATGAAACAGCGATAGAATGATTAATAAAAGACCAACAGGCAGATAGATAAAGAGAGATAAAGATATCGTGTTAGAACAACTGACAGAGAAATGTCAATACACAGACAGACAAAAAGGTAGAATGAAAGACAAATAGACAGGCAGGGAAAATTTTAGGTAGACAGACAAATAAATACACAGATAGACTAATACAACAGGATGGATGGATAGAATCTCGGTCAAATTGACTGAGAAGCAGAAAAATAAAATATTACAACTCTGTTATAACTGCATTGGAAAGTACTACCTCTTAATTTGTGGAAAAAATAAACATTTTGTTTTACCTTGAACACCTTCCCAAAGGCTCCATCCCCCAGTTCTCCAACAATCTCCCATATTTCCTCTGGGTTTGTGTCCCTGTGCACGTGATCATATTGTTTCTTCTTCTTCTCTATCCCCAGTTTAAAGATCTTTCGGAAATTAAAGAAGGACATCGCCAGATACGACTTTTTTTCTGGATGGTTAGCAAGAGATTTTCTTTCAGTGGATGTTTAAATGCGCGTAAAGCAACGCAGCTCTTATTGCATCTTCATGGCTAATCAAACTATTCAGCCTCTTGTCTAATCAGGAAACAGTCTTGAGTGTTCACATGTTCGTTATTGGACGTTAAAATCTGTGAACTTGATATGTTACACTACTAATTATATAGTGTTCAATAATATGCACAAATGCTCAAACAAAGAAAAAGGTTCTGGCTGCTATTGGCTCATAGACATGTGGTCTATAATTTAAAAATAAAATAAAGCATTAAAATGAATTAATCTACGGTGTGCAGTTTATTCTTGTAGGGAATAAATCCGGCGTATGGCTCTTTCAGGATAAGTCATGAGGTTGGTGTTGTTGTCCTTCGGAGTTTCATGAATCTGGTCCGTAAAAACACCTAGTTTTTCCTCTTCCTATTTGTATAAAGTCTCGTTTGAGGCTCGTAAAATGTTTGAATCCCCGGTACAATCACAGTCGTACGTTGTACATCCTCCGGTCATGGATTTAAAAAGCGAAACTGCTCCAAACGTATTAAACGCACAATAGTTTTTGTTTGGAGAAACTATGCGCGCGTCCTCCTCTAATAGCGGATTTGTTGTCGCTGTGCGCGTTCACGAGGAGCGGCGGTGATTCTTCGCTGGGGTTCGCGCCTGCGCTTTGCTGTCACCTGCCGTCGTGGATGTCAACACCATAGACATGATAAAACTACATAATATACAGACTTTCTCAATTGCTTTGCCACATCAGCACCACCTAAAAAAATTGTCTCTCCAAGTACCATAAAAAATGAACAGTATTGAATACAATAGCGTAGTAGGCCCAGTAAAGCAGCTACACCTCTGCACAGTTAAAAAAAAAACATGGCAGATTACCTCAGAATCAGAAATATAGGCTATATGTCATATATGGCATATTATACCACTATACCACTAGAAGGAAGCCTGCGTACCACTACTACAGTTTGAGAACCACTGCTCTAAACTATGAGATCAAATTGTACAACTGTTTGCTGGAACTTCAGAACTTTAGTACATGTCTGAAAAATGTATTACATTCATTCATGTTCTTTTCAACTTAGTCCCTTTATTAATCTAGGGTCACCACAGCAGAATGAACCACCAACTTATCCAGCATATGTTTTATCCCTTTCAGCTGCAACTCATCACTGGGAAACACCCATACACTCTCATTTACGCACATACACTGTAGCCAATTTAGCTTACTCAATTCACCTATAGAGCATGTCTTTGGAATTGTGGGAGAAACCAGAGCACCTGGAGGAAACCCATGCCAACATGGGCAGAACATGCAAACTCCACACAGAAATGCCAACTGACCGAGCTAAAGCTCGAACCAGCGACCTTTTTGCTTTGAGGTTACCCACTGTGTCAATGCATCGCCCCTTAACTTATTGTTTTATAAATGAGAAATGAAGAATTGAGAAAAGCAATTGAGAAACACTGTAATATAAAGCTTTATTTTAGATATCTATGGTCAGTAATGATCTATCATATCGCCATATTGTTGCATTTAAAAGGTTCTATCAGAATTTTTGACAGTTTTTGTTAATAAATGGGCTTTAAAGTCTTTTTAAAAATGAACACGTCTCTTTCCCAAAAGAAAGTGACCATGGTGCTAAATGTACAACATAGAAATCCTCTGAAATCTGTAATTGGGCTTTGTAGAAGAGGCCAAATATTGATAGAAACTTTTAAAATAAAAAGGTTTGGAATTACAAGGCGAATAATAAAATAAATAAATAAATAAATAAATAGATAAATAAATAAATAAATAAATAAATAAATAAATACTTTTCAATCATTTTCCATTAGTGGTGTTGTTGACTTCTTTAACAACAGCTGATATAAACAATTAGACAGATTTGACCATTAGACAAAGACAGCTTTTGCAAGCTCCGGGGTTGTTAATTGATGTTGAATTCATTATTTATTCATTCATTTTTCTTCCGCTTAGTCCCTTATTCATCAGGGGTCACCACAGCGGAACAAACCTTCAATTATTATGCCCTTCCACTGACGTGTATGATATTCTGTATTTCTTACAGAAATAAAGAATACAATTATGATAAAATTAAGCTAAATTATTATTACATTATTGTATAATCGAATTTTAAATTTGATATAACGTTAATACACTTAGGTTTATACTTTTGGACACATTCTGATTTACGGAATACTAATTGTGTATGGTTTTGAATACCAGCTATAAGTTTTTGATTGCTTGAAAGCCACTTTATTTTAATCCGTTTTTATTTTTATTCTGTTTTTATTAATAATTCTACATTTATTTATTTGTTTACCTTGCTTCACCTCACTGCTCCATCTAAACGTTAAACTTTAAATGACTGAATGTGACTACAACTTGTAGTCAAGGCAACGGACGCAAACGGAGGCAGATACCGGTTTCTGATTGGTTGTCGTTACTCTGATCCTTTGACTGACAGTTTCATCCTGTCTTGTGATTGGTCAGCGTGGATGTTTATCCCTCAGGGTAAAGAGCTTGTTGAGATTTACTTTAACACGCTTGCTTTCGTTTACCAGACCCACTAGAAGAGGTAACAGCATCGAATTTACACAAAAATACTTTGTTTTCTGCGTTGTATAATTCATTTGCAGCTTTTATCTCACAGGCTTATGTTAAATGTAACTTTTTTCGTGTTAATGACTTTTCGAGCTTAGTATTGCATTGAAGCAAGCCACATTTAGGGCAGGCTGTGCCTTGTAACTGACGTTATTATCAATATTCTCTAAAATAGCAAAATACTTCATAAGTTTGACCTCATATTCTTGTTAATAACTGATTTTTATTGTTATATCGTGCAACCGTAGTATTTGAGTTGCCATGACAACCTCTGTCGCCTTTTGAAGTTTATTTAATTAATTTTGCTTGTATTGAAAATATTTTATTGCAAGTTTTCTAGAAACTTATGTTAACATTTTAAATATGCACCAATTTGCCTAATTTTTTACACAAAATGTCTGAATATTGGAGAAAGTGATATAGGTTATTTGACATCAGCATCAGATTGTTTACTTAAGGTATTATATTGTATATAATCAGGCATATTATTTATGATTTTTTAATCTCAAATTTACAGTATAAACGAGTCTTCATAGTCCATAGGATAAAATAATATGTTAGCTATAATAAAGGATAGGCAGTATCCCTGATACGTCTATTTCAGATACGTATTTCAAATACAAAATAGTATTTTGAAATTTGAAAAAGGTCGCTGGTTCGAGCCTCAGCTGGGTCAGTTGGCATTTCTCTGTGGAGTTTGCATGTTCTCCCTGTGTTGGATGGACCTTCACAAGTCCAAAGACATGTAAATTGGGTATGCTAAAATTGACCGTAGTGTTATGTGTGTGAATGAGTGTGTATGGATGTTTCCCCAGTGATGAGTTGCAGCTGGAAGGGCATCCGCTGTGTAAAACATATGATGGATAAATTGGCGGTTCATTTCGCTGTGGCGACCGCAGATTGGTGAAGGGACTATGCCGAAAAGAAAATGAATGAATGAATATTTTGTAATTTGTATTTGATAGAGATATAAGACGCAATGAAGAGATCAACTATATTCTAACTTATTATCTACATTGCATGGTTTTTACATAAAGAGATCATCTTTAAGACAGGACAAAATTTATGCTAAAATGAAAGAGAAAGTTTGTTTAATGGTGAAGGGATTGATCAAATATGCCCGTTGATGGAAGGTTTGTGAAGAAATGTCATGCTCCCTTGTAAAAGTATTTTTTATTTTCAAAATACAAAGATACAGTATTTTATTTTGATACATTTGTTGCTGCTGTATTTTGTTGTTTATTTTGATACTTGTAAAACTGAGGTATTTTATTTTAAAATACATTTCAATGTATTTTTGCCTATCCCTGGCTATAATAATATACAGGAAGATATATATTAAAAGTGTATGCCAATTCTTTCACTGTACATAGTGTAAATCTACAGCTAAAGTTTTCTATATTTACATAGCTAAGCATTTTTAATATCTTGTAGTTTGTTCAAATTTTCTATAGTTATATTTTCTATAGCTAAAGCCTGTCTGTATTTAATTTTTTCTTTTATTTCAGAATTTATTTCTTGTTTATAATCTAGTTCATGGGCAGTTGTATAAGCATTTCACTGCATGTGCATGACTGTATGTGAAAAATAAAATATGAATTTGAAAATTTCAAGTTGTAGTAACATTTTTGATCCAACAGGGGGCAGCAGAAACCGTCAAAACTGGGTCAGAGAGCCTGTGGTGATAACCCTGGTAGCTGTTGCTTTATGCTATAAACGCTAGGTTAATCTTTTAAAGTAGGTGTCTCATATGTATCTGTAATTTTCTTTACATCTGTATGTATGGATGTATTTTTATTCATTCCATGTCTGTTTCACAATATTCTGATTTAGGAGGAACTGTAAGAGATGTTGAGGCCTCGTCGCTCCACCAGCCCTGTCAAAGGGGCATCGACTCACCGCAGTCCTGTCAGACACTCACCTGTTAAAGTACTATGAACAGAAATTTTTAAAACTTAATTTGCAAAAAAATAAATATTTGTTTTCTTGATATATTTTTCTGAATTGTGGAGTGATTAAAATATTTCCACCAATATGTTAAAATAAAAAAAATTAAAAAAAAATAAACATGAATTCTGACTTGACTTCAGATTTGTGTTCCAGAAATGTATGTATTTAAACATTTTAAACACTTGTAATACAAAAAAGATGTTTGCAATTCTGAATGTAATATATCAACTAGGGAAATAGGACGTTAGCTATTCGTTTTTATAATCCTATTCTCCTGCAGTGCCTTGTCTTAATACTAACTCCTTTATTCTTTTAATGCTGAGTCGACTTTCTGTTTTATTTAAGGGCGGCTCATTTGATTCAGAGCTGATGAGGGTGTTACGAGAAAGAGATGAGCTGCAGAACATGCTGGACAAACATGAGCGGCATCTCTCAGAGACCCAGGCCAATGTTAAAGTGCTCACAGCTGAACGTGACAAGACCCGAATGCACTACCAGCAGGTAGATTAACTATTATTATTATTGTAAAAATTATTATTATTAATCAAATTAAATTAAATGTATGTGTAAATTTAGGATTTGAAACACACACAAACATTATAAAACAGAGCAAAAAGTTCACATACTTGACACTGACACTGAGGTACTGAATATGAATTGAAATAGTATCAGATGTCCAGTTCGATTTTGATTTGCAAATATTAAATCTGATTTGATTCTCTAAAAGGAATGAAAGAATGTTTATTTAATGTTTTATACTATTTTGGTATCACTTTATTTTGATCCATTGGTTACATTTGGTTATATTGCATCTACATGGCAACTAATTCTCATTAGATTATAAGTAGACTATTAGGTTGGGGTTCGGTTTAGGGTTAGGGTTATTGTAAGTTGATATGTACTTGCAAAGTTATATATAGTCAGTTAAACGTCAGTATTAACAGATTTTAGCAGACAGTCAAATGAGAAGTAATTGGCATGTAGTTGCAATGCAACTTTTAGTCATGCACAAATTGCAAATAGGGACCATCAAAATAAAGTCTTACTGAATATG